GTCAGGGGGAGAAATAATTTAAATTAAACTTTCCAGACAGGTATTCTCGCTAAAACAAAAGGTATTATAACCCATTTTAATTAATAAAACTGTTTATAGTTTTCACGCTTATTGATTGTGGGAAATGCACATGATATAATTTGTTGATAGAAGACTGCGTTATCGCGCACTTTGTCGGCAAAAGGGTACTTTAAGTACCGTCGCTTGGCCTAATGTACTTTAATTGAAGTTACCGACTTATGGTTTCTTCGCTGTTATTACAACCTGCGGGAAGATCACTGTTTGGAAGTGAAAATCAACTCAGGATTAGACAGACTGGCCACAATTTAAACGTAGCTTCAAGGCTTGAAGGAAAAAAGTAAAAGAAATGTATATTCATCCTTTAACCTCTAGACGGTCTCGTTTGTTTTATTCGCCCAAGCGTTGGTTTTAACATATCGAAATTTGCCATGGTCTACTGTACCAAAACATACAGTCATCGCTCTTTTAAGACGGAGGCATTTGGGAACCGGTCATTGGGTGTTTAGATAGATTTCCACTTTCTTAAGAGATAATGATTACAAATTATATATACGTCCTGAAAAACGCCAGGGACCGAGTGCTGTAAGTAGAGAGGTGTCTGCTCAAGGACAGTCAACGGTGTCCAATGACCAAAATTAATACACTTTCAAATAATTTCTTGGCACCGCTCATCGCAACACTAATTTATTTATTTATATTTGATTCTGGAACTACTGAGTTAGCATTAGATCGAGCTAGTTTAAACAGAGTCCTGTAAAAGAAAACAACAAAACAAATAAACAGATAAATGGAAAGTCAATTCAAAAAGATAAATATCACACTGATGAAACAAAACGAGACTTGGCACAAGAGAGCTTGAAGTTTCCTTTCGCCTAGGACTTGAATGATCGAAGTCAGTGGCAAGTAAGTTCCTGATCTAATGTTGGAAGTTAAGGATGTTCTAAGACCTAATGATAATGTAATTTATTCAATATTTTGATCAGAGCTTTGCTAACCCGAGGCAATCTGTTGGTCGCCATTGCAATGCTTATGATCAGTTCCCAAACAATGATGATTGTTAAACTCCACCAGCTTGGAACTGAAAGTAGATGAATTAACACTTTGTATCTTGACCTTTATAATACTAATAAGAAGAAAAAAGCAGGCAGAATGTTATTCTCATGAACATGTTATTGCCAGAATATCATAAAAGAGCCGGGGTTTGACTGAAGATTCGAAACTTTTATTAAGTACGTCACGAAATTCTTTCATATGTCAGCTCCAAAACTCTTTAATTTGCTTTTCCAACCAAACAGATTCTTGCATTTAAAATTAAAGTTATATATAGCCTGTTCTTGTGGGCGCATGCCGAACAATAGTGCACCGGTTATAAAAACAAGAATATTTATTTTTTGCTTTACATTTTGCACTGTCTGTAATTGCGTGAATAATTCGCATCTAAGCATGGAAGAGGAAGAAGAAAACCTCGAGTTGTCAGATCTAGAAAATGGCTCTCCACGCAGCAAAAACAACGGAGAAAAGAAGCAAAGAAAGTTTTTACTTAAAGGAGTGAGTACGGAATTTAGCCAGCACTAGTAAGATAAATTTTTGTTGGGTGTTTAGAGTTATTCCTTATTACGATCCGAGCTGATCCGGGAGTCGTACGATCAAACTCGTCAAAAGCAGACAAAAGATGTTTCTCGGATAGTTCCGTCGCGAAAGAGCGAAATTATAGGGATCTGTTAGAGAGCATCTCTTAAACTTGGATATAAAGTTGTTAACATTTTGATTAGCAAGGAGAAATCACTCTTCGTCTTGCAAATCCTTAGTTTTATTGATATCAATGGCGCTCTTGCGTAATGGCAGAAGGTTCAGAAAGTTGAGCTTTTACAGTGTGGGTGTCCTGTAGTGTGCTTGAAGCCAGAACTTAGAGGGTTCTTGCGCCACTATTAAACAGTTAATCATTAACTGTACCTCGATATAACGAACATTTTGCTTGTTTTCCCAAAACTTCGTTAAATCGAGGTTTTTGATATAACGAAGCCTCGATATTACGAACAAATTTCCCTAGTCCCTTGGCACTTCGTTAAAATCGAGGTTCCCCAGAAGTCTTCTACTAAGTTTTTATAATGGCAACTTTGGAGATAGTTTTTGCCCGTAAAAAAAAACTGTTGGAAGTAAAAGGTCCATTTGGTGGTAACGTAGAGTGGTTTATTTCCCATGACAAGTACTTTCATCCAAACCGCCTCGCAGTTTGAGTCCAGATTACTTTCGTGGTCGCTATCAATTTGTTGGAAACAGCTGTTAATATACACCACCACCATCAAGATTTCGGTCTTTTCGAAAAATCGTGTAATTTCCACCAAGGATTTCCCATGAGAGAATCGAATTATCAATATGGGTCTCATTAGCATTTATAACATCTGGCTTGTATGTGGCAACCATGAGGTGGAAATCTGGCCGCTTCGAATTACTCCGCAGGCTGCAACAATTTAACGACAACACTCGTAGTGTGGAGGTACATTGTGATGCCTTTCCATTCTTTTGTGATTGAGTTGGAATAGAGCCCTTTCCATCTCTACGCGAAGTTGGCGGTTGTCTACAAGGAGTTGATGAAGCGCAAGGCTGGCCGTCGTTTGTTGTTGCGTTGAATGATGAAAATCGGGCAGTTGATGTAATATCGTCAAGGGGTGAAGAGAAGTATCTTTACGTTCAGACTCTTCGGGTGACCATCATACAGATGCCAACGGTAATGCCGCAGCACTTACTGAAACTCCTAATAAACACGCCCGTTTTAAACACCACCGGGTAAGATATGAATTTACAGACTGCCTTAAACGATTATCAGACTTTTGCGAGGTAAGTTTATTGAAGATTGTGACATGGTGTCGTTTGAAAGAGCGAGGCATTATTGACTTTAGTATTAGCATAGGCAATCAGAGGTTTCATACATCGAATAACATGCACATATTTTCTATTAAGAGTTAATAAAGAAAATTATTGGTTGGTGGTATTGAACTTAAGGTAAGTCTCAGTCATCTATTGTGCATTTTAGACAACGTTTTTTATGAATATCAGGGCATTAATTAAAAACCTCCATGCAGTTCCAGAGTATAGCGCAGGGGCGGATCTAGGGGGAGGGTGCAGGGGGTGCGCACCCCCCCGAGATGACCCGCGGTTTTCTAATACAACTGGTATTCTGCAAAAAAAAAACTATGTGGTTTATTGGTGTTGAAGTAGAGCAAGAGACGAGTGCACCCCCTCCTGAAAAAAATCCTGGATCCGCCCCTGCGTGTTGTTGGACTTTCAGGTGTAACAATTCTGCAATGACGGGATGAATTTCCTTTGTTTGCAATTACGTTCCGCTAGCTTGATAGAGACATGTAATTCCACTGAAGTGCATGCAACAAGTTTAGCTATGGCTCGTAACAACATTTTCAACTTTCACAAAGTGAGACAGCTTTAACTTCTTTAAACTCCTTAATAACAAGTCGCTTTACGGAGCAATTACTGTCATAGCTACGGCTGTAGCTAGCTACTCATGAGTTCGAGTCAATAACCTGAATGAAAGGCGTCTGGACAAAGCAGGGGGAGCGTGAGCTCATACAGGGTCACTGATCAAAATTTCCTCTTTTTGCTCTTTTGCTTTTCCTCTTTTGTCATCCTCATCTCATCCCTTCTCTGCCACTGTAGACGAACGATCATACGACACAGCCATGCCCCAGTTATTTCCACTAAAGTCTTATTGAGAATTAATTACCAAAACGCGTAGCAGATTTGAAGTCGTTATGTAAAGCTTCTTTGTTTGTTTTCACCTTTAACAGAAAGCAGGCAAGGGAAACAAGCTGCAAAAATTACATCTTGCTGCTTTATCAGGAAATAAAGGAGAGGTTCAAAAATTGCTTGGAAAAGGAGTAGGTAAGAAAAGTCCAAATACTATGAAGTGAATTTAGTGTTCGAAGTTAAGGCTTTCAGTTCTTTATTGTTGTTGTCTTGTTTTGGCCGGTCTCGAAGTATCACTGAGATGTCGCACCAAACTCTCTCTGAAATGTTTCATATAGCTTCTGTAATAATCAATGATTATTAAAGAAATTCAATGCTGAAGGAAGCTTTAGTAGGCGATACCCAAACGCGCTATCCCTGATGGTAGTGGATTTTGTTTTCTCTTATTAAAATAATGAATGAAGTTTATTTCTGAAGGAAATGAATTTTTTTACGGCTTATGGCCAACAATTTATTCTGACTTCCGGGTCATTGTACATCGGAGTTCTGTAAGTTCTCTAGTCATGAAAGCGAGGCACAAGGCTTTTGCTAGTTGTAACAAGAAATTTAGGAAAAATGCCTTCCCTTTCCTGCCTTTTTGCTCTATTTTTTCTTTAGGGGATGGCTTGTTTACCCTCACCTTTGTTCTTAATGTTCTTGTGTATTTCCCCAGCTTTTTATTCTTTGATTAAAAAAACGGCGACGCGAGGCAAAATTCGTTCGTTAATAGATTGCTCATTATTTGGTGTCCCAGCAAAAAGAGCTCACCCAAAGCAAGACTCCACCAACATCATCGTGTTGTTCACATTTCGCACCCTTCGTACATCTTGTCTAGCTAACAAGACTCGGAACCTTTACCCTCGCAGAGCCGTAACAAGCCTTTAAAAACTTGGAGGGGGGCGAGCGCGGGGGGGGGGAGGGGGGCAGAAAGATTTTAGGTAGCTCATAGTCATTGTATTTGAAAAGCAGAGGGCTTTGGGTCAGGAGGACCCCTTGGACTGGTCTCTGTATCTTAAAACCCGAAAATGTTTCACCTAGCTGCATAGACATCATTGTGTGCTCTGGGAGATGAATTTTTATTTTCAACTTTTATGCGTGCATGTTTTGACTTTTTGAGGCAAAAAACTGGGGTGGGGGGCACGCCCCCCTTCCGGCCCCTCCCCATGCTACGGCCCTGCCTCGTCATGATCATTTTCGTCATGAGTAATTTGCAATTTTTATCATTCAATCCTTGTGCAGATGTTAATGCGAAAGATACATTCGGCAAGACACCACTGCATAATGCTATTCTTGGCAAACACGTGACCATTGTTGGGCTACTTCTTAAATCAGGAGCTGATGTGAAGTGTTTGGACGAGCGCGGTGACACGCCACTGCACAATGCTGTTAGAGTGGACAGTGAAGTCATTGTGGTGGTGAGCTTTTAAACAACCTGGTTCTCAGGGCTTTCACCCTTGTTACTGAGAGAAAAGTCCTGGGAACCAGTTTGCTTTTAAAACTTCTTAAACACCCGAACGTTTTCCCTCATTGTTAGTCTATTATACAAACCTCTTCCTATACTCCTCTAATCTTCTCAAGTTCTGGTAATGAACGGAAACATCTGTGCTATCTTTATACTGTATCTCCAAAACCTCTTTGTAAATAATGGCGAGAAACATGAAAAAGCTTGAATGGGCCCTTTCCAGCTTGTAATTCACGTGGTACAACTCCGCCATGCGGGAAAGGAATACAAGAGACGCAATGGGAGAAGACAAACGAAGGAACTTACAGTTTTAAATGATGTGAGTCCTTTGCTTGTCTTCCATCAGTGCATCCTTTACTCTTCAGCATGGTAGTTTTGTACCACGTGACTGACTAGATGCGAAGGGCCTATTGTTTAAGATAGAATGCCCTGTAATTAGCAATTTTTGAGGTTGTGCTTACTCGACTGGGTAAATTTGGTGCCAAATTGCACTTTTAAACTGTTTAAAGGGACGAACTTCGATCCAGATTTATCCTTCGCAACATCGCAAGAGCCGGTAAAAGAAGCATTGGTATTCATATCCCCACGACAGTCCCACAGTGCATTTTGACACGACACTGACCCAGTCCCACGCCCAAAATTAAACTGGCCAATAGTATATCCATTAGAACGGAGACTGTGATATTTTCCTCGAATTAGAGGTAATTCAATGAACGATAAACAGAAAATACAATGAATGCTCCCTGTTGTCTGCCTTGGTTAGAGCTCGCGGAGTAATTTTATTTATATTATTTTCTCTTTGCACAGCTGCTTCTAAATAACAGTAAAAGTAATTCCAATGCCAAGGGATTTGGTTCGTACACACCTCTACACATTGCTGCCCAAATTGACAGCGTGGATATTTGCAAGCAACTGGTTAGTAAAAATGTATTTACATTCGGCGGAGCTAAACGTAGTGGCAGTGACAGAGAATGTAAATACTTTCCTATTGGTATGAACGCACGTGAGCCGCTATGGCGTTAATTGACTCTATTGTTATTAGGTTTATAAGGTTTTGACAGTTGTTCTGTATTCATCTCAGCTCTCGAACTATCAACTTTTATTTTCATATCTTACTTTATTCATCTATCGATTGATTTTTTACCTTTTACCCCCAGAGGCTGTGCGACCGAATCGGTTGGGGAATACGTTCCCAATTTTTTCCCGTTGGGTTTTTGGGCTTTTGTATCAGGCAGCGCACGTGAATAGTTAAGCCTGAGTGACTTTATTTAGGAATATTTGTAAACCATTCTTTAGTTATGATGTTGAACTTTGTATGTTATTTGGACGGCATTAAACACTCAGGCTCCACAGTTCGAGCTGCACACCCATTCCCGTCTCTTAGTAGTGAACATACACTCCTCTACCTTCAGACACTCTTGGTGACGACAATTGTCCGGATTCAAGTGTTTGTCACTTACGACAAGCCGAGAAGAATTTCTATACTTGACTGCTCTTCTGGTCTGCCCCAGCACTACTGTATTTCCTTATTAGCTAAACCATACAGTTAAACAAGCGGAGCTACGATTAACAGTCCAGACAGCAAGTTGTAGAGCGTTTTCACATGACGTCACGGCGGCCATATTGGTGTCCCAAGACAATGAAACGGCGGCCATGTTTGTACTCCAAACCAATCGTGTAGGAGTTGAACTCTTTTCTTATGTAAAAACTTTCTTTTGTTCCAATAAATTTGCATAACGGCTGCACCGTAATTTTTAGGGAGTTATTATAACTCCAAAAATGGAGTAAAAATTTTAGGTACAGGATAAGCCCTTTTTGGGGGTTATTTTAACTCGTAATTTAACTCCGAATTTGGGGTCATTTTTACTCCTGAAAAAGAGTTCTTTTTACTCCCAGTCTGGAGTTAAAAAAACTCCGAAATGGGGTTACTTTTACTACTTACATGGGTTGTTTTTACTCTTTTTGGAGTTAATTTAACTCTGAAAAGTGGAGTAAAAATTTTAGGTACAGGATAACTCCTTTTTTGGGGTTATTTTAACTCCTCAATATCTGGGGTCACTTTTACTCCTGAAAAAGGGTTTTTTAAACTCCTTTTTGGAGTTAAAATAACCCCCCCAAAAAATAACTCCACTGTAAGGAGTTAAATTAGCCCCACTCGAGGAGTTATTATAACTCCTTGAAAATTACTGTGTGGACACGAGGGTGCATGAAAACGCGCTGTAAGACACGCAATCCTGGATAGAGGGCCAGACCTAATAGGTAAAAGGTGCTAACATTAAAACCAAACCTAATTTGACGTTAAAGTGTTTCGTCTTTGTTAGGTTGAACACAAAGGTGATATCAGTCAGAGAGCTGAAGATAAGATGACGCCATTTGGTATGGCAGTATCCAAGGGAGCACAATCTGTTGCTGAATACTTTGTCAGTATTTGTAAGTGTCCTAATATCACGTGATCATGTTTTTCCCGCCATTTTTAATCCTTGCCGCCTGGCGTTAGACAAATCTAACAAGGAAATTGGGCCTTGTGGTAATCTATGAGTGACTAGCAAAATGGTGATGCTACGACGCATGCGTAACTAGTGTTTTTCAGTTTAATGAGAGAAGGCCTCCCCAATTAACTTTCAACTATTTGATAATTTTTCATCAGTGGACGAAAAACAACTTGACAAAGACAATCTCCTTTGTAATGCTGATAATGAAGGAAGCACCTTACTACATCTAGCAGTGGACAGCGGCATTCCACAGGTATTTGCATGCGCCACGAGTCGACGGAATAGTTTTAGAGTGCTGTGTCATGTCTGTATAGTTCTTTTTTCTAATAACAGTGGCGGATCCAGGGTAGGGTCGGGGGGGCTGCCCCCCCTTATTTACAGACCAAACTAAGGCCCAAAGGGCCGAAAAAAAATTTTTTGAGACCGCTCCTCCCCCCACCCTCCCCCCACCTCTTATCTGAAGGTCTGTATCCGCCTTATAGAGTGTTTTCACTCACGTGGCCAGCATCTATGCAAATTTATTGGAACAAAAGAAAGCGTTTGCATAAGAAAGGAGTTCAACTCCCACAGGACTAGTTTGGGACACCAACATGGCCGCCGTTTCATTGTTTTGGGACACCAATATGGCCGCCGTGACGTCATGTGAAAACACTCTATTGCCAATTACGCGTCCTAATAGCTCACAATCGATATATTAAATTTCTAACATGACTTCGAGGTTTTCTGGTCATTTTTCTATATATTTTTTTTCATGGTGCTCAAATCTCTTCTGGGAATTGCGAGACAATGGAGTCGTAAAAAATGTGCAATTTTGACCCCGAAGCCTCGGAATCTTGTTAGAATTTTAATATATCCAACATGGGCTATTAGCTATGGAACTTGAGCAATCGAAATTACTTGTGAATGACAAAATAACTGCTTCCTGCAAAAACACTTGAAATATGTCTGATAAGCCTTATATCCAACGCTACAAACAACAAAAATGAACTTTGAGAAACTGTTAGGCTAGTGACACGGCTTCTTAGGCACATTAAACTATATTTCTTTCAGTTGATCTCATCAGCCTAAACCGGCTCTCCGAAAGGAAACAAGATTGCATTCTTTCAACTGAGAGTTCGCATGGTCTAACGTATCTTTGATGAAGTAAAACTGGATTTTCTATAAAGGTTAAACGTGTATTAATTGAAAATTCTTTTTCCTCAGATCGTGTCACTGTGCCTGCAAATTGGAGCAAATGTGCGTCAAAAAAAGGTAATGGCCAATTATATCAAATACTATCTTACTAGCTCAGCTTTTCCCCAGCTCAGGAATTCCATCAAAAACGTCTTTGCTCAAGCTCGCTAAAACAGGGCTGTTTCAACACAAAAATATATCCACTTTTGTAGGAGGCGGACAACAGTACAGCGTTTCATCTGGCATGCTCACAAGGTTCACTGGAGATAGTTCAGCTGCTGGTCGGAGCAGACCCTGGTTTGTGTAAAGAAGAGATACTAGATGAGCAAGGAATGGTACCCCTTCATCGGGCAGCGCAGAACAATCACGAGTCTGTTGTCGGCTACTTAGTAGATGAGGTATGACGTGTATTTTGTCTCTATCTGACCGACGGATTGCAAACCAGCCCGTATTTTGACGTTGGCCAAAAACACGCATGCAGTCAATCAAAAGGTCGATGAGCTACAATAAAGAATAATCCTGAGCATTTGTTAAAAATGTGGTACCATCTGTGGTATAAAATTCACAGCTACAAGGTGAAGCGTAAAAGGTCCTCTGGCTACCATCCTTTCTTGCTATCATTTATATAACGTGGGGGTTGACTGCTTTAACAGTCGACCTCATTGACTGTAAGACCAGCTACAGTTGGATGTGGAAAGGTCTTGATCTACCACGCAACCTCCCCCCTCCCCCCGTTCCCGCCAATTTACCACATCGTTCAACAAACGACAATTCTTTCCATTGTTGTATCGACCGCCATGTGGTCCATACAAGTATGAAGTCCAACAGTACTGAAGAAAACGAGGGTATGTAAGTGTAAGTTCCTTCTCTTTTCAGGGTGCTCCGGTGGATCCCCGAGACATTCAAGGTTGCACCCCCCTTTTCTTAGCTGCGTCAGCTGGTGGAACAGATACTGTTAAATTGCTAATGGACCGGGGGGCCGATATAACCCTTAAAGATGTGGAATTGCGCTCACCCTTGCACGCAGCAATTGTGGATGGAGATTCGTCCACCATGGAAGCCTTACTCAAGGTAATACGTTTGGTAATTATGCAAAAAATGGTTACTTACACGTTTAACCGCCTCCGGTTAGCTCAGTTGGGAGAGACGCGCTGTGATTTCAGATCTTCTCTCAGTTCAAATGTTCGTGGCATTGGGCGGTAACGTTAAGCTGTTGGCCTTATCCTCGTCATCCTTTCTTATAAGTTGTAAAGTGACGTAAAAGAAGCCACCCTGCTGTTCGAAAAGAATAGGGGATGTAGACCCCCGGGTGGTGTGACCTATCTCACCTGAGGGTAGGGGACTGTTACGGGCCGGCAGTAAATGGCGTCATGAAGTTGAGGTGTCCCCTTCAAATTGGCGAATCAGAATAAATGAATAAATAAATGATGTAGCTGTTCGACGGATCTGGACGAAGATGTACCATATAACAAAAGTGCTCATTGTGTTTGACAGAGTTTGTTCCAATCCTTGCGCCTTAATCCTCATGAGTAAACAGCCATTTCAGCCAGAAGACGCAATTTACGCTCTTTGTTTTCAAAACATATGTGTGCGGTCTGATAAAAAAACCGTTGGCGGACCGGCGCTATGCTGTTGCTGAGAACAGTTGGGAAAAACGTTTCCTAGAATCGCTTGATTCGCCCACCCTAGGATCGGAAGAACTAGCGCTTAAACCATCATCATTTAATTTATTTAAAATGACATATTTGCTTACCTGATTATTACAGCTACCTTTTTGTATTTGTTAACTTTTCTTATAGAGCCCTGCGGCGAAGGCGTTAGTGGTTGATAAGGACATTACCGGATACACCCCAGTGCATTACGCTGCACGAGATGGTTACTTGCAGGTAAATGTCCTTATTATCGAGGTAAGGTATTTCTAAAATTCAATTTCACATCACAAAAAGGCACGCATTACTGGCATCTCAGAGCTCTCGCAACCAATATGCTCACGACCTAACTGACAGACGATCAATAACATGGAGAATTAACTTGTCCAATCAGGTTACTAGCTAGTCGAAAATACAACAGTTGACTATACGCAATTTGCTCTGGTGACTCTGACGTTGACTTGCTTGCAAACGTCATTCACTGAACAACACTCCTATTCTGGACTACACACACGGCCAATCATATTCAATCTATTAATTTAATAATTGTTGTTTCTCTATCTGCAGCACATCGCTCTCTTCATCAAAAAGAACAAGGCGGCTCGTCAAGTGACGTCAGACTCACTGGATACCCCTCTTCATATCGTTGCTCGGTACGTTTTGCGGACCTACAAGAAAATCTAGCCGGATACCTCATAAAAGCAAATCAACGCTTCATGAAATTCACGCGATTTTTAATTTAAGTCCTATCAATTTATGTATACGTTAATTTCTGCGCCATTAATAAAGTGGAAAGTTAGTTATCGCGACTTTAATTTCCATTATTTTGGCCTCAAATTCTTGATACACTTTTGACAGTCTTGACACCTATGAAAGAGGAGTACAGTGTTTTATCAGGGTAGTAGTAGTAGGGAGGAAAGCTGCTAAGAGGGAGATTTCTTTGGTTGACCCCCTTCGTACATTTATGGGAAGCACCACGAACAAAGTTCCCATTTCGGATTATGCGTTTTATCCTTTGTTCTTGTCATCTCAACAAGTTTTGTTTCTTTGTAAAGGTTGCGTTAATTTCCTTTATGCGAAAGTCGTTTTCCATTATATTCGCGTTAATTTAAGTCGCGTTACCTTTCAATACCTTAATTTCGTGGAACGTTAAATTCCTATAAGGTAAGCGCTCTGCAGACTGCAGACCTACTTAAACCTTGTGAGGACTATCAAGTGATCTGAACTTGGAGAACCTAACATACATCCTAAAATGGTCTATGAAAACGCGCTTTTTTGAGAAATTTTTTGTCGAACATAAATCATTGTTTGCTTTTTCCAGGTATGGCTGGCTACAGATTGCTGAAGCATTACTGGCTAAGAGAAATGTCCGAATAATTAATTTGCAAAATAAAAAGGGAAAAACAGCCCTTCATTACGCATGTCACAAAGGGCATGAGGATATAACCAAGCTTCTGTTGAAGAAGGGCGCTACACTTGAAAGGTAATATAAAGATGACTACCTTGCAAAACTTAATTAGATCCATTCGTATTTCTTTTATTTATCCTTTCACGCACTTCTTTTTTCTTAAACAATAGTTAAAATGACAAAGATAAAACTGAAATGGCAAATAATTAGTGGCAAATAAAAGGGAAAAACCTGCAGGTCGTCTCTGGGACAAACGTGGATCTTCACATGCTACAAACTAAACTAATAAATTAGAAATTTGTTTGATAATGTACATAGAATCGTTCGGGAAAAAATTTATTACTGATCTAGATCTGATTCAGCTGATTCATTCGATGCATCTTAAGTTCGACGTCTGACCCAACAGACGATCTTAACTTAATTTAGGTCGACCCAAATTAGAGTTTGGTCCGTCTCATGAAAAGTTCGATGTTTGGCCTAGGCATTCGTCACTCTTCTTGTAATGTGCTGCTGTTTCTCCAAGGGAATCCTTAGTATCACTATCTAGCTATTTAGATTTACAGTCAAACCTCCTCAATTCAGGCGCAAAAAGGAAATAGAGCCTAGTGTTCGCATTACAGAGATGCCGTTTGTATCACAGAGTCAGGAATCGTATAAAATTTTAGTCCTAGTGGGACCAAGAGAACTGTCTGTAGAGGGGTGCCCTCCGTACTATGCCGGGGGGCCCTAAGAACAGGTTTGACTGTATTCAACATTGATATAAAGCCCAAAATTTGTCTTCAGCAGCGCGCACTTTCATTGAATACTTCAAGATGATATCTAACAACAAAACTGTTTCCCGCCAAAAGCCCTGAGCGGACAGCATGACAAAATTATGACGTCAGAACGTAACTGTGCCGTGTTACCCGCAAATGTTCACCGATTCACTTTCATAAATTTGTAAAAGTGGAAGTTTTCTTCATGCGCTATATAACAAACCACTTAATGACTGATCTTTGTCCTCGAAACTCAGCACTGAGATGTTCGAGAAACAAACTAAACTCTCTCCCACTGGCCATTCGTTTAATGGTCAATATAACATGGTTTTTCGCGTGACATTGTCCCTTCCCCCTAGTCCGGCAATCTTGTTCTGCGTATTAATAAGGCCTATGTAATTTCTCTCGTCAATTTATTGTTAGAGATCATGATGACCGCACTCCACTTCACATGGCTGCTGTCAATGGCTCCGAGCGCTGTGTGGAGTACATACTGCAGACTCACCCTGAAAGTCTCAACGCTCTAGATAAACATCAGGTGCAGTGTCGGACTCACTTGCTATAGCCCACGTTCGATATTTTGAAATTCTATCATGACTCCGAGGCTTAATATGACTCCGAGGCTCTAGGGTCAAAATTGCAAATTTTTCACGACTCCATTGTCTCGCAATTCCCAAAAGGGGACTGAGCACAAATAAAACCAAACCAAATATATAAGAGAAAAATGGCCAGAAAGCCTCGGAGTCACGTTAGAATTTTAATATATCGAACTTGGGCTATTTGTGATTACTCTCAGAAAGTACTGTGGTAGCAACATGTTGTTATTCTTGGAGACGCAGTTGGTTAGAAAAGAGTTTTTTTAAAAACAAAATCAATTATTTGAAAGCATGTTGTCAGTATGGCCGAGCGGTCCAAGGCGCTGCGTTCAGGTCGCAGTCTACTCTTGTAGGCGTGGGTTAGAATCCCATTTCTGACATGTTCGCATTTTTGAAACTGTATGTTTTTGTTTTTGTTTTTGTTGTTCTGGTGGTGGTTGTTGTTGTTGTTTAAATTAAAATCTAGTAAAATCGTTCAAAGGATAAAGGACCCCCCCCAAAAAACTTCTTTCGTCGTTACACAGGCAAAACGTTCAGCCGTTAAACTTTCGTTTCACGAGGACATACGGTATACACCGTATTCACAAATGGCGGACACGCGGGAAAAAACTGGTGCCTAGTCATGAAAGCGAGGCGTTGGAGGGTAAACAAAAATTGCAAATGAAGACTTTCAGTGAACTTGCAGAGTGTTTAGCACGGATTCCACCTAAAATAACTTTGTACGGACTTCTTTTTAAATACAATTACGTGGGATGTCTTCTGCTTTTAATGTTTAGTATTGATTTGCTGTTTGCAATCAAAAGGGACGCGTATATCTTCAAGGAAACAGGTTGATTTTGTAGGTTTCTGAAGCATCAGAAGCTCGACAAGTGGGCGATGGCTGGAGAAAAGCGGCAAACATGTTGGCCCAAACTTCACATTGAAACCGAGTTCGAAAGCCAGCTCACTGCAATTCGGTAAAACAGAAATATAAACAATGAAAATCTTGGTGGCAAGAAAAAAAGAAATAAGCGATGGATATATGGCCTACTTGTTAACGCAAGAGACGTGTGCCATTGAACAAAACAGTTCAAATCGAGATGGAAAAAAGGAAGACAGGAAAGAAGCGGTGACTGAGGTTTGGATGAAGTTATGTTTGGTGTTTATTTGCCAGGACGTTATTCTCTGGTCTTTATCGATGAAGGACATCAATTAGAACTATCTTTTTGGTATAAATGCAGGAGCGATCGAGTGGAGTACGCTCAAAATTTCAAATTGTTACTCGGCAGACTCGGTAAGCCGGCCACATTTCATTTCAGCGAGTAATTTTCCTATTTCTTATCTTTAGCTGTTAAGAGTTTTAACTTCATGTTCCATAATATTTTAAAAGTGAAGAATACATAAATAAATAAAATGATGGTCTTCTTAAACGGATCCAGACTCGCATTTAATTATTCGAAACAGAAGCTTGCCGTGTTCAGTCCTGATATAAACATTGCCTTAAAAGTTTAACCTAGTAAAATGTGAGCTTTATACCACTTTTTTTACCAAGAGCTCTCCAAGATAATGCCGTAAAGGAGACCAGGCAAATAGCAAGCCATAAGATTCACACACTAGAGCGTCTAGTTTTGATAAAATTATTTATTTCGCAATGACAAAGAAATCAAAAGATTTTAAATTTGCACTGAATTTGCTAAGCTCTGCCAACGTACCTCTAACAATTCACTCCAAAGTGACGGAATTATAATATCATCCAAAGGAAGTTGTAAATACAGACATACATAGATATGTGTAAAATGACACTGACATGAATGAATGAGTCTCGTGAATGAATCTTTCACCCGCTCTCGACTTGACCTGTTTTGAGTAATGGCGGAGGTCTCTTCCGTTGACAAGTAGGCCATATATCCGTCGCTTATTTCTTTTTTTGTTGCCACCAATATCTGTTTTTACTTCTGTTTTACAGAATTGCAGTAAGCTGGCTTTCGTATTCGGTTCCAGCATGAAGTTTGGGCCAACATGTTTGCCGCTTTTCTCCAGCCATCACCCACTTGTCGAGCTTCTGATGCTTCGGCAACCTACAAATCATCCTGTTTCCTCGAAGATATACGCGTCCCTTTTGATTGCAAACAGCAAATCAGTACTAAACATTAAAAGCAGAAGACGTCCCACGTCATTGTATTTAAAAAGACGTCCATACAAAGTTATTTTAGGTGGAATCCGTGCTAAACACTCTGCAAGTTCTTTGAAAGTCTTCATTTGCAATTTTTGTTTACCCTCCAACGCCTCGCTTTCATGACTAGGCACCAGTTTTTTTCCGCGTGTCCGCCATTTGTGAATACGGTGTATTCTGCTTATCCTTGTCATTGTAAATAGAATGTTTACGCTTACACTCGTGTGTCAGGATGGCCAAGCGGTCTAAGGCGCTGCGTTCAGGTCGCAGTCTACTCTTGTAGGCGTGGGTTCGAATCCCACTTCTGACATTCTTGTATAAACATGGTTAAAACTCTATTTTTATTTTTTCTATTCAGAACACGGCCCTGAACTTGGCTGCAACTTCTGGCTACGCATCTCTCGTGTCATATCTGCTGTCCGTAAAAGAACAAGAAATCCTGTTAAACAAGTATAACCAGAATGTGCTGGACCTTGCCATATCCAACGACAAAGAAAAGGTTGCGATGGCCATAATTGAACACAGCAGGTAGGTACAAAATGACTTCTCGAGGCGCGCAAGGAAAAGCTCTTTGTAAAGACACACCCTTTGGCGGAGACAACCTCGAAATCACAACACGCGAGGTAAACACAGGTGAATCCCCCGTGCGGCTTGAATTTGAAATGCGCTTACTATGCAGGCTAGTATTCGAACTGCTTTTGGTAGTCTTGTCTGTAAATGGGAATAATAAATAACGTGGTTGCCGAGTTGCATACCATAATTTTTTTACAGCGGAGCACCATGGAAGCAACTTTGGTTATATCTTTGTATCCAAGAAATTTTGGTTTGGAAAAAATTGTCCGTAGGTGCGTCCGCCCCTTCATGTTAGAGGATGTGTTGTGTCTTACTTACTAGCTTTAAAGTCTAAGGTATACATCCATTTCGAGAAAGGTTGTCGGAAAAAGTGCACGCGACAATCTTGAAAGGTATTGTGGGTGGTTCTGAGTTAACTGTTCTTCAAAGCAATTTGAAAGAATGGCAAGAGAGGCCATAGACGTATGTTTGCGAATGCTAAAGGAAAGTAACAATAGAAGATTCGACACTTACAATGACAGGAACAGCGTATTGATCATATCCCATATTACCCTTCGGGATGGTCAGGTGCATATTTTTTCCGACAACCTTTCTCGAAATAGCTGTATACATACCGTGTTTAACTTACTATTAAATGGACATCCATGTTATGATCGTCGACAGCTGTCATAATAGAAAATAGGGTATCCGCTGACCAGTGTCACATGACTGTATCGCAATCTCATTGAGGCGACGTAAATTTATCCGCTTATTACTTTTCAATTGATCTAGGCACAGGTCCAGTTTTAAAGGAGGAATTCAGTTCGCTTCTTGCTTACGGCAAAAGTTGAATTACTTAAGAAATAAGTTTCTTAACAGATCCCTCGAGAGCTTCGCTCTTGGTCTTGGCTGAATGTCTAGTAACTGTGAATAACTAAGTATTCTTGCTGTCCTAAATTATAGGTGGAAAGAGGTGATTGATACCACTGAGGGTGGAGGTGTATCTCAGATTCAGACACTTGTGGCAGAAATGCCTGACGTAGCAGAGGTATGTACACTTCATTCTCAAACTCACTAATAATTGATGAAACGAAAATAGGAAACTCACCACATGAGTTCCTGGGGAACTTTTATTTCAAGATACCGGGATGCTCGTGGGAGGGTTAGCCGGCTCTATTAAATCCCATACCAATTGTAGAACATTTTATATCATATGTAACAATTAGCAATTATTGGACGAGGTTGAGCAAAATATCGTGATTTGTCAGTGGTGAGCGGATCAGTTATTCGGCTTCGGCAAATAATTGATCTGGGAGACACTGACAAATCACGTTATTTTGCGATAACCGAGTTCAATAACTGTTTTATCATTCGATCACCGAGTTTGTTTCTTTGATGAATATCCTCGGGAAGCGAAGCGATCTGCCATTTTCACGCAAGAGCGATCGCAAGAAGGAGAAAAGCACGGTTCCCTTTACGCATGTGCGGAATATTATTTGCAGCCAAACACAGTTGGACGGCATTGCACATGAGCAAACCATTATTTGTAGGCAGTTATTTGCAGGTCACGTGGTGGGCTCTCGGCCACTGAAAAGGAAGAAACATTTGTATCAAATGATAATAAATATTTGCCACAACATTTTGCTGCCTACTTTTACGCGGTGAGCGTGGTGTTTGGGACACAGTGTGGGTTGCCGTATCTTGTAATCTTTTTTTTTTTTTTTTACTGACTTCAAACAAATTCATTGCTTTGTTTTGAAATTACTCACTGGCTAACTTTTTTTCTCCAGCGCGTTTTAGACAATTGCATTGAACAAGATGGAGATCCAAGCAGTAAAGATTTCAAGGCAAGATATCGAAACAATGCGCTTTTACTATAGTCATTTTACATTATTCATAAGTGTTTTATTACCTACACTATTTGATAACATGTACTACATAATAGTGAACGAGACCATAGAGAAGCTTAATGTATCGAGCTTTCCTTGTTTCCAATTCGAATAATGGATTGATGGCTCTTCATTTGTTAGGTAACATACGATTTAAGGCTAATACAAGGGAAGCAGAGCACGACGAGTCCATTGGAACACTCTCTTGACGCGCTTAAGGTATGAAATTCCCCCAGCTTTCTGCTAGTGATAAAAGTTCTTGCTTGAAATCAGTATTATTGCGTTAAAAAGTGACTTTCAGCTAACTCGTCAAGATGGCCGAGCGGTCTAAGGCGCTGCGTTCAGGTCGCAGTCTACTCTAGTAGGCGTGGGTTCGAATCCCACTTCTGACATCCTTTTTTATAATGTCGAAACCAGCTCTTATTGTTTTTTTGTTGTTGTTGTTGTTGTGGTTTAAGAATTCTGTCAATGTGTTCAAAGGATTTAAAAAATAGGGCTAAATATCAGTTTCCCTCCCCAACAAAATGTTACTTATTTGTTACAGAGGAAAACTTTTGTTCAGCGAGGTTTCACAATAATGTTGTCCCGGTGCGTATCTTTATCATTGAGAAAAGAATAAGTGACTACTCGCTCTTGTTGTCAGGATGGCCGAGCGGTCTAAGGCGCTGCGTTCAGGTCGCAGTCTACTCTTGTAGACGTGGGTTCGAATCCCACTTCTGACATTATTTTATTCTTTGCAAGAGTTCTACATTTTTTCTGGTTTTGTTTTCGTTCTTATTTTTCCCTTTTTTGATTTGTTCCATGTCTGTTCTTCTTCTTAAGACCATGGCAGAACGACGGCGGGAGAAATGTTTGACTCACCCTGTGTGCTACTTCCTCATGAATATTAAATGGTTAGTTTCTCTGTTCTTCCTGGGTTTTATGTGTTATCGATTTTCTGTCAGCGCGCTCAGGATTTGTTTTCTCGTTTTGATTAGCCAAAAAAAAAATCGCGCCACCTTCTTAGCCAATCATAGATAACTTCACAAGCAATCCTGAGGTACGTGCTCATGTTTTCCCGCGCTGAAAAAGGCAGCTCAGATAAGTTGATTGTGATTGACTAAGAAACTGCTCAAGACATAATTTGCGCACTGGATTGAAACAAGAGAGGATAAGAGATTCATCTCTTCTGATTGACAGAAAAATAATGGAATATCTGTTTATTTTTTTCTGTCATAGGAAAAAATTTGGATGGATAACCTTTATCGTCAACCTGTTGTTTTACTTGGCGTTTCTTCTTCCTTTTACTGCCCTGGCTGTTAACCTCAAGATCAACATTTGTGTCCTGTGCAATTATAGCTTCTGTAACAAGACACCTGCAATTCCCAATGGCCAGTCAGTAAGTCAAAGTGCCAATTAGAAATACATTCGAACCTCCATGTGCAACTACGTCTCGTAAGCGACTGCCTCCCATAAGCGACCGACAATAAAAACACCACAATTTTCTCAGTCAAAGCCTTACAGTTAGAACCTGTAGTAAACGACCACCTCTTGTGAGCGACCGCGACCACTTTTCGGGGGTGACGGTTTAACTATTTTTCTGTTGTTTGTAAGCGACTACTTCACGCATGGTCTCATCTCTATACACACTCTATGTACTGTGTTACTTAGAGTATACGAACAACTTGTAACGACAACATGGAACTACACATGTCCTAACTTAGAAACTGCACACAATAAATTATCTTCCATAAAGTAAATGTGTCCGGACCTCTTCTCGGAAGAGACCCTCTGTGGTTCGATTCTTGTAAACGACCACTAAGTCTTCGCGGATACACATTTTTCGTGGTCGCTTAAGAGAGCTTCGACTGTACAATGAAAATTAAATGAGCTGTGACGTCATAGCTGTCTAGTTCATTTTGTTAATAATGCCAAAGTTATGCGTCTTTATTCTCTATGGAACTTGAGAAATTTCTTGCAAATGAAAAAATCACAGCTTCGTGTCAAACAAATATATCTCCTCAGCATTTTATCAAACGCTACAAACAACAAAAAAGAACACACGTGAAGATTTATACCTTTATGTTTCATGTTCTGAGCAGTGATTTTTCTGTTTCACTCAGGGGTTTCGTGGCAGATTTCGTGATACAGCTTCTTTAAAGAGATCTGCTTCGGCTCCAAAGGGCCAAATTAGCCGTGCAGACACAATTAAGCCCAATTTGAATCACGACAGCCTCACAATTATGTATTCCAGCTCATAATGTTAGACCCAAAAATACTATACTCCAAAAAAACTACCCCCATTTTGGTTGCCAAAACAGGTTTTTTTACTTGATTTACTTTTTACATGACTCGTCGTTTCGTTTACTAGATTTTCGCCCGATGACTTATGGGTTTTTTTCTGGTTCGTGACATCTCATCTCTTGCAACCCCGTGGTTTTCTTGTGAAGTAGAACAATAAGGAAAATTAAGTTTGTCTTTGTCACCTGAAAGAATATAAAGAAAATTGGAAAAAGAGCGCATTTGCAGGGAGCGACATCACCCTTCAGGCGCTTACTTTTTAAATTCACTTTCTCAGTCTCCTTGTGTTTCAGAACCTTTGCGAAGTCACAAAAATGCCTCTGTGCAGAAAAGAGTTTTTCCGTATTTAATTAATTCTCTTCACACAGCAACATCATGTGTTGCTGGACTAGTTATATATCTCCTTATGCCTTTACACTGTTCTTTTCAGGAGTGGCATGATGAAATTGACACCTGCAACACATATGACAAGGTGACGCAACACTCTTGTATTTTCTCTTTCTTTTTTTTTTCCAATTTTTTTATTTCTAGAAATAGTAAGACACTAAAAAACTGGGGGAATTTATGTTTGTGTTTTATATTTTTAGTTATGTAAATGTTCAAGAATTCATGAAAAGTTTTTTTCTCTTCTATTCAATTTTCTTATTAACAAGACGCTGTGGGAGCGTATATTTGGGCGTGGTCGCACCACGCGTATGATTCTTTGAACATGCCTTATTGCAGCTAAACAGCTGTCATCATGTCTTACCAGAGAAGATAAATCCTTTGCTATATTTGTTTGCTGAACCACAGAGCTTATACAGTATGTCCCAATCCACAACAATAATCCTGTCATTTCATGACAATGTTTGAAAATATGGACATCTTCAATGCCTACATGCTTGGAGCCAAATTGCAACATAGGACATGAGTGGTTACAGCCCGGAGAGTAAGGTTTATCTCAGCTCCACTGATACTGACACTTTGAGGAAGATTGACTGACAGATGTGTTTTCACACCCATCACATTGTACAGTGTATTCCGGTTACTAACAAGGGCAAATAAAGTTCCTTAAGTCCAGTATCGACAAGGATTAGTAAGAGAGTAACACATTGCATAAACTGCTATAGGGCAGCATTGAATATATTAACACGTTCCTCGAAACGCGCACGGCCAAACTGCTTCTTACTGCTGCTTCGAAAAATTTCGGATCGAACGATATCCAAATCGTCCCTCATTGGATTATCCACTCGACATAACAAAATCGACCAATCACAAAATAAGGAAAAGAAAATAGAAATAAAATAAAGAAAACATCAAGTTCAGATGACCTCTTAGGAAACATGCTGTCTTTCTATGATTGGTGCATTTCGATCCTCTCGTCAAAAAAATGTCAGACGCAAATTATCTTAGCGGACTTCTTAGGAGACGAAAGTTTACTTCAACGGGTTCAAAAGGTCATTCTTGGTGATCTGTGATAGGTGGATTTCGATCCGTTTCTGTGTTTCAAGGTTCGTTGCTTATGATCTTATTGTGACCAAAACCCGACGTTAATATTCCAAATATTTTTGATAGATTTCATCCCTGGACTTCAGACTTCCAAATTTCAATAAGCTAAGAATACTGAACATTTAGATTAACTTTTGAGATCGTAAAAGTGCGATGAAGTGCCGTGCTGGCAGATCTTTCTTTCCCACATGCCTCTTATCTTGTACAAGACGTTGGCATGGCAGACATTCGCCTCGCTTCACTTGTTTACTTGCCTTGCTTATGTTAGCACGTATTGCGTGCCTATTGCACATTTGCGTCAAAACAAGCCGTTTCCATTACTCTATTTGGGGCATGCCCAAATAATTATGAACGTATTTACATTGTAATTGTCACATTGTTTGCTTATATTCTAGACTGTCGTGTTTCTGCATTACTTTGTAATTATCTCTGCCTTGATTCACGTCATAAAAGAAATTATGCAGCTTGTTCGCCAGGTAAGGATCCGTCAATTTTTCTTAAAAAAAACCTTGGTGCAAGTTAATTTTATTTCCGTACTTTTAGCCGATATCACCTTATTGACATTGTTATTTATTAATTAAGTAAACTATTTGTATACATGTGAAAGCATCACGTTAAATATGAAGAAAAATGTACGCATGTAACACAGTTCCAAGGTCAAATGTATACCATATACCTACAAGCGTATATGATGTGCAGTTGTGAAAAAATGATTGGACCTTCCTCGTATGGGTGCTATGTGAAGAAATGAACTGTACGATACGAACATTCACGAATATCAAATAGTCCAGTTTCGAATAGGCCATTTTACAGTTATGGGTGGAAGCGAGGCTGGCGGTGACCTTGTTTTGGTACAAACCTTCCTGCTTTATTATGAAAATCAATTTATTCTTACGCTAATTAGTATTTTTCAAGAACAATTTCCATAACAAAGCAAAGGACGTTTGTATCAAAACAAGGTCACCGTCAGCCTCACATTTACTCGAAGGCCAGGGTACTAAGTCCACAACTGTAAAATGGTCCATTTGTCGTGGCCGCTGAATAAAAGCACCGAAGAGTTATTTGTACAAGGTTAGTCTCAACAAAAAGTAAAATATTCACATATACCGGCGAGAAGGTGCCTGAATTTGAATTTCAAACAATAGACGCAGTTGTACACAGGTCTTCTTCTGAGGCTAACCCTGTATGAAAGAGTCTTCTTTGCTTCTATTCAGCGGCCGCGACGAATTCGAAACTCGACTGTTGTCTTTAATTTCCTTAACAATGTCTCGACGAGTCTGTTCTGTTCGGGATACGACAATGATCGTCGGAAATCCTCGGGTAGTTTTGTAGTCCTTTTGACGATCAAACGTAACCGTTGCATGACTTGTTTCCACGCCTTCTCCCGCGCTTTACAATTGGAAACCGGTCACGTGTATTTGCTTCAAGGTGTCTTATTGGTTCATTGTCTGTTTCTATTGTTATTAGCAAAAGTAATTAGCGAGTCTTCATTATCTATGGTTTGTGGAGGTTCACTAAAGTCACGAGGTTTACTTTTGGGGGTGGGGATGGGGGAGGTCATTTGAGTTTTGCCATTGCCCGAGGGGGTTCATATGGATGATCAAAATTGGGGCCATACAAGATGCCACTCCTCCTCCCCACCCCCCCCGCGCGCGCCATAGCACCACAAACCATAAATAAGACATTCAGTATTAAAATGTTACGACACGAAGACCGAAAACATTCATTCAAAGCCAATTTATTGGTTTTAATTTTCGTTTTTGCCTTTTCACAGCGCCTTAAATACTTGACGTCCAAAACGAACCTTATCGAGTGGGCGATATACGTGTCCGCGTTATACTATGTATTTCCAGTATGCGCCTGCAAGTCACATTTCAAATCCATGGCAGCGGCCTTTTCTCTGTTCTTTGCTTGGCTCAATCTTGTCCTTTACTTCAGAAGGTTAGTCATTCCATTTTTCTCAATAACGCCTCACGCAGCAAACACGAGGTAACTGTGTTAGAGTTTGTTTAATAAGAGTGCTAAAGATCAAGAATGACCTGTATTTTTGTTGTTGTTGTTGTTGTTTTGTTTTGTTTTTGGGGATCAAGGGTGGTGCAGTGGTAAGAGTACTCGCCTCCCACCAATGTGACCTGAGTTCGAATCCTGGCCTCGACGCCATATGTGGGCTGAGTTTATTATTGGTTCTCTTCCTTGCTCTGAGAGGTTTCTCTCCGGGTACTCCGGTTTTCCTCTCTCCTTGAAAACCAACACTTCTAAATTCAAATTCGACCTGGAACGCACGCACACGTTTAAAAGACTTCTTAAAACCTCCTAAGTACTTTGTGGGTAAACAAACAAATAAATACAAATTAAATTACAAGTGCAATTTTGTTTGTTTTGTTTTATGTTTGTTTGCTTGTTTGTTGTTCTTGTGGCTGTTTTGTACCATTTCTTTCTTTTCTTTTCAGACTTTCGTACTACGGAAAATACGTGATAATGCTGCTGACAATGTTTCGGACGCTTTTCCGGGTATTTATGTCCATGAAAAATTAAAGAAAACAATGTAATGTGAAAAAAACTTATTCGCGATCGATTTTAACGCTTTGTTATACCATGATATCTTTTTATTTAAGGTCTTCCTTCTCTTTTTTCTGTTCGTGGTAGCATTTGGAACGACCTTTTTCTTGCTTATGTATAACCAGGTATGTTGTATTGTAGATCTCAGTGCCTAGAGAGCTTTAAAAAAGACGAGGACGACTACGAGTACAAGATTTTCTTAACACTAAGTAGTGCGCGCGCGTAAACCAGCGTCATTTGGGCGGGAAAATTAGTGGTAGCCGCCCTCATTCTACTACAAGGGTTAGCGAGAATGTCGTAGTGGCGGAAACAAGTTATCAAATATAAGAAGTTCTATCATTTTGCAATCGGGAGAGGGCTTAACCTCCTCCAATAAAGATAACAGGGCTAAATTTTGTGGTGAAAATGTACACTCTTGGGTATGTATTTTTTTTTTTTTTTTACAATATCTGAAAAAACGTACGTTAAATCAAATCGTAATCCTCGAATGTAAAGGTCTCTAATAATGTAAAAATACAGGACTTGCTTCCAAAAACAGCTATTAACCAATATGAAGTTCCGAGAGGGAAGCGCCCTGTTTAGACCAAATAAATGCTGGAAATTTATCGGAAGTTGCTTCCCGGAGTGGTCCGCAAACTTTTATTCAGTCTTGTCAAAAGAATAGTCCAGTTTCGAATTAAAAGATACCGCTGAATACAAACATTAACGGCACATTTATACAGGGTTAGCCTCGACATAAAGTAAGTTATTATTCATTCAAAATATTTCCCCGATTCTGATTGGCTAAAAGCACACGTTTAATTCACCATAACCAGTTACTGATGACCAAATTTGGAAGAACTTTGACTTTAACGAGGAAATGACGTCAAAAATGCAGCGTTTTCGCAGGTTAAGGCACCGTTAACCGAGAAGACCTGGGGACGAGGTTGAGTTGTTTTGGTTGTGAACTAATGTGAACTTGAAAAAATGGCGGACATTTCACTCGTTTCAAGAGTAAGAACTAGGCCAAAAAATAGCTAAAAACATGGCAAGAACAGCAAGAAGACAACTCGAAGGGCGACATCTGCTATTTGGAGAATATCTGCGGAGCTGGACAAACCTAAACGTACATTATCGAAGATGAACTGAACATCGATGGATCGATGGAGGTAAGCATGTTTTAGCTATGTTTTTATACTAGGAATTATTTTGAATGAATAATAAAACAGTTATTGAATTCGGCTTTCGTATCATATGAAGAATTATGGAGATCTCGGAGGGTGTTATCCGCCTCGGCCTACGGCCACGACGGATAACACCCTCCTCGATCTCCATAATTCTTCCTAAGATACTCAGCCTCATTCATTAACTGTTAAATATTCAGAAATTCCGGGAAGTAAGTGTTTGAAATTTGAATATACACAAGAGACAGAGTTATAAACAGGTCTTTTTCTCGGTGGAATTTGTGAATATATTACTTCAGATGGAGGCTTATTAAGCCTGTAAAAAATGCGTCTTTACTTCTTTAATTCAGCGGTCTCAGCGAACTCGAAACTGGACTATTCAGCAGCCGCCATTACAATATTCTGCATTGTTTGCTTTGAGGCATGTCGCGCGTGGTTTTGAGGACGTTGTAAACGACGTCTCGGGAAATAAACTTCCGTTAAATTACAACCTCTAGAAATAACCTAAGTGTAATTCACATCTCCCGGCCAACGCCCTAAGATTCCCTCTCTGTGCCAATCAAAACACGCGAAAATGCTATCTACTGATTTAGTAAAAACTAATAATGCTAATCACCTTTTTTTTTTGTTTCACAGGAATTCCACACATATGAATTTGCTTTATTGAAGACATTTGCAATGACCTTGGGTGAACTGGAGTATGAAAATGATTTTATTTTAGAAAATTCGAAGCGGCATTACTCAGAAGCTGTCAATGTAGTCTTTGTATTGTTCTGTCTGGCAATGCCCATTATCCTCATGAATATGTTGGTATGCTATTTTGTTGTTTATAATACAGTCATCAAATTATTTTTTGCTGGAGTGCGAGCAGTCTCCTATTTCTGTTTTGAGTCAAAATACACCAAGAGCACGCGTGAGGGGTGAGCGGGAAGGTCGCGAGTAGCCTGGGACCAGGCTCCGTGGTGGATGAGGGGAGGAGGTGGGGCGCCAATCGGTCTTCGCTCCCCGATATTTTTTCGCCCTTTTCCCCCACTGCGCAACCTGGTGTCTTGCTGGTCCCAGGCTGAGCCGTGAGGAACAAGGGCGGAAGTACCCTTGTCTCTCCTCCTTTTTTTTTATCAATTTACATAATTTTACTTTTTAGCTCGCCACCCGTTGCTCTGAGGAAAGAAAGACGACCGCTCGCGGTCTTACTTTTTGCAGCTGAAATAAACGATGACAGAGTTCCAAAAAACCTTTCGTTTTATATGCATAAGTATAGGTAATCGGCCCTTTAACTCGGGGATATCGGACTTGTTCAACTTGAAGGCGGAATCACAGTTTGTAACACGGACATTCCCTAGTAAAAGGCCAATTTATAAAATGCGTATTTATCACATTGGGAGTGCTTTATAAAGAATATTTTGTTTGATATGTCGGTACTGAATAACTTGGGGAAGTTTTCGAAGGAAAAAAAAAGTCTAAGGGGTTTACATTCCATTATGTGAAAAATTGTGAAGGCCCCAGTGGAATAGCCCACTTTCGATATATTAAAAATTCTAACATGACTCGGAGGCTTTGTGCTCTCGTTTCTATATTTGGTTTAGTTTTCTTTGTACTCAAGTCTCTTCTGGGAATTGCGAGACAATGGAGTCGTGAGAAATTTGCAATTTAGACCCTAAAGCTGCGGAGTCATGTTAGAATTTTAAAATATCGGACGTGGGCCATTGTGAGCACGTTATAGCTTCTTACATTAATTGCTTTGGTTCGACATGAATCAGTCTTGGGGAAGAAATTTATCTTGAAACAAAGTATTTACGGTCTTCTGGTGGTTTAATATTGTGGAGATAACTCAAGGAATGACGGTGGAGGAATGAACTTTTTGAAGAAAATTGCAAATACAAGAAACGCAAGTTTAAGTTACGTCCTGCTGAAAGGATAGACGAAAATCGAAAATGTCCCATGTTTGTAAAATCATGATAGGATGATACTATGTGTACAAGGTATTCATTTCTGGCTTACTCATTCTTTTATCTTGAAACTGGCCAATTTTTGAGGACAATGTTTAGGGGAATATGGCGATAGGAATCTAGTATCCATTATTTTCTTGTTGTTATCAATAGATTGGTTTGGCCGTTGGGGACATAGACAAGATTCAGCAGAAGTCAGTAATGGCTCGTTACGTCATGCAGGTATAATTATACATTTTACTGGTTTGTGACGTCATGGCGGCCATGTTGGTGGTCAATAAAAAAGGGTTTTCTCTCTGATGGAAACTTAACTCCATTTTTGATTGTATTGACCGCCAACATCGCCAACTTGTCACGTGTTTCCAAACCAAGAATATGCTAATGATCGAGTTATGATGGTGATAACGACGCCGATTATGTTAACACCGATGACGATGACGATGGTGATGATTACAAAGATGATGATGCTGTTGATGATGATGATGATGACGTTGTTGGTGATGATGATAATGATGTTGATGATTCTGTTGATGATGATGATGATGATGATGATGATGATGATGATGATGATGATGATGATGATGATGATGATTATTATTATCATTATTATTACAATGACCATGTAGAGGTTAAGCAACCAAGTCAACGACGGTAAAACTTTGACAAAAAACTTTGACAAAAAGTTGGGTTTAGCAAAACGCTATTGCTATTTGGTGCATTTCTTTGACTTCCACTGCAAGACTACTGCGTAAAATTTCCTAATGCGACGTTTCAGTCGAGGAGGTTAACAGATGACGACAAATTGTTGTGTTATTTTTCTTGAGCTCTTTCATCTTATTTTATTTAAGGTTGAGCTGTTGCTGGAGATTGAAGAATCGCTACCTCAGTGGATTTTAAGACGTGTCCAGGTCGATAAACACGAAGAATTCCCAAACAGAAGTTCCAAACTACAGACAAAGGTCAGAAACCTCCATTACAAAATTACGTTTTAAATTTTCGCTACCCTCGTTGCTTTAACACACCCCCACCCGCAAAAAGCGAGATGCTAATCGATGCGGACTGTAAAAAAATCAACTTAGCAAACTTCTGTACTCGGTGGTTAACAAAAGACAACGATTAATCAGGAAAGGGGCAAACATGAAATGTTTGTAATGGTGTGCTTTCTGATGCCAATATATATCATCAATTTGTTTGTTCTTTTGTTTGTTTGTTTTTTTGTTTAGATCTATGAGAAATTCATTGGTTTTGGCAAGGCAGAAAGCATGGGAGACGATGATGGCGTCCCTCCAGCGTTAGCACAGATTATTAACAAAGTCTTGGAGCAGGATTCAAAGTACAGCTGAATTATTTTCTCTTTTGCATTAATAAAAATGGGCCTGGTCTCCAAAATAAATTTGTTCGGCCCTTCGGGCCTCGGGTTGGTCTAAAAATAAGGCGGGTGGGGAGGGGGACGGGCCCCCGGGCCCCTCCCCCGGATCCACCACTGCCTAGTGTTCCCTAGCCCACATTGATGCCGGCCCATGCGTCGTCTAAACCATTGGTCTATAGAGCGTCTTCACATGACTTCACGTCCGCCATATAAGGTTCTAAAACAATGAATTGGCGGCCATGTTGGTGTTCCAAATCAGTCCTGTGGGAGTTTAACCTTATTAGGTAAAAATGTTCTTTTGTTTCAATAAATTTGCGTCGCTGCTGGACACGCGACTGAAAATACTCTATACAGGATCGGCCCATGTAATGGAATCCAAGACAGTCTTGGATTCTGGATTCCATACCGTGGATTCCGGATTCCAGGTAATGGATTTCAGTCTTTGTCAGTGGAACTTGGGTTGTGGATTCCAATCGTTAGTGGGATTCCGGATTCCTTGTACTGTATTCCGAATTCTAAAGCCCAGGATTCCAGATTCAACGTGTAAAATTTTCCCAGATTTCGGATTCCACAAGCAAAAATTTTCCGGAATCCGGAATCCCTTACGCGGGGCGAACAGGAAGTGCTAGGTTTTCTCCAGCAGAGGAAGTATCTGTGTTATTCTAAAACTCTTCTATTGTTTGTGTCAAACACAGAATTGATGAGATGCACGAGATGCTGAAGCAGCAGGGTAAGGTAGTCAAGGCAATTGGACAACGTAAAGGCGTGGGAGACGACGGTGGCCCTGGAAACAGAAAAAGCATCTTTAACTGGTTTCCGAAGAAATAATCGGCGTCTTATGAGAATCCATACGTTTCTGCGAGTTTTCAACCCAATTCCGAGACAGTTATATTTTCCTGTTAAGTTGTTAGTTACAGAAAAATTAGAAAGGTCGGGGGTAAAGTATATACGACGTAAAATTTGATAGACGTGCTCAATCTTGTGTTCCTGCTCAAATGTGAAGGAAACAAGAGAGTGAGTATTTCAAGCAATTCCAAAGTAGATTGAAATTTGTGTTCACAATCCGATGTTTGTGCGCAAATATGAACGCAACACGATAAGTAGTGTTTCAAACAACTTTACTAGCTTAACTTTACTAGGTTATGACATTCTGCTTCTCTATTCAAATCAGTGTGTACAAATCTTTGCTCGGAAAATTTATATTGAGGCAAGAAAGTGTTCATCTCTCATACGACGACCTGTCGTTAAATCGAATCCACGCCACAAGAGCAGGAGGTCAGTGCTATCATTATTATTTGAAATAGACTGCTCTGCAAAATACCTAGCATTATCAACCATTTCTGATAAAACAATGCCATGGTATGTTTGAACTGCAAATGAACAACTTTAAATATCTATTCCTTAAGCTTTTTTATGACTATTAACAGACTTGCTTAACAATTGAATCAATTATTTGATTTTCAGCCATAGAATCTGTCAGCCGAAAAAAATGGTGTTTTAGAGGATGACTGGAAATAACTTGTAATTCTTCATCTTTCATGCTGTTTGTGATTCCCACTGCAAACATTTCAATTCCCCTTCTTTTCATTTGACCTACTTTCTCCTTTACCATTTCGGTACCAATGCCGCTCCACCCATCGGTGACAACTACGGTTACTTTTTTAATGTCTGAAATGTAGGGAAAAAGCGCATACATGTCGTTTTAGTTTGTGCTAAGGAGTTTAAGCGGCGACGTTTTTGAGCGAGGCACGGGAACCGGAAGTGGACTTTTTGCGCTATTGAGCTCTGATTTTCAACAAACGTTTGGTCAAATCGTCTCTATAAGAGTAAAGACACATAGCCATACAAATTTGGGAGCATCAGGGCATATTAAAATAAAAATAGCTCATTTCCGGTTGAGGAACGTCGCTCAAAAACGTCGCTGATTAAGCTCTAATAATGTAACGTGACCCAGTTGAGTGTGGGAGATAAGGGGAGCGGAAGTCGGGGAGAATAGGCGGAGGGTGGGGTACGGGACGCGGGCGAGGAAAGTCGGGTGAGAGGTAAGAGTTTTAAAAGGGTGAGAAACGGGAGAAATAGGGCCGGGGTTACGCTGTTTAATATTTCGCAACCCAAAAGGGCAAAAAAATGAGATCCCCTCGCCCCGCTCGTTGAGATATTTGATACCAGTTTCAGGCCTTCCCGCCCGTTTTAAGGTGAATGGAGCGATATATGTACTGAACGGTAAACGCGATTCCGGGACGAGATTTACCAGTTCTAAATTTTGTGAACAGACCGGTTTGTACAAATCAGTTCCATTTGCCGAAAAACAGCCGCGAAGGCCTGAAACTGGACTGAAAAATGGAATACGAATTTCCGTTTGGAACATTCCGTCCGCAAAAAAAAATTCCGCTTCAATTACCCAGAATGTCGTATAATAATCCAGCTACTTTCCAACCGGATTTTCCGGGACTTTCCAACGAGATTTTCCGGAATCTGTTTGTTCACCATTGTAAGCTACCGTGACCGCTGTTTTATTGTTTAGGTACACCAACATGGTGTACGTGACGTCATGTGAAAAGGCTTTACATTCTAGTTGCCTCTAGCCTCTGTTTCAAAGCGAGGCTAAGAGCGAAACCATTGATATGAAATCTCATGCAAATAAAACTCATTTACACAACAAAGCTTTTGCACTTAGCCTCGTTTTGAAAGTGAAAGTTTTTGGAACTGGGAAAAATAGTCTTCTTACCAGGCCTCGCACTTCTTGCCCCACTCTTCTCTGTAAACACCTCGAAATTGACGGTCTCCAGAGTTTTTCCAGTGCCGCTTGAAGATGCCTCGTAAACAATGTTGTCCAAAGTATTATCCAGTGACTTCTCGTCATTATTATCATTAAACCTGGACGCTATGTTGATGTACTGAGAATAAGCGATAACAGACACTTGAACTTTGTCTTTTGAAATCGTAAACCTCTTTATCAGTCTCTTGGCAAAATCTTTTCCAAGTTTGAAGTTTTCTTCACCAATGCTGGCAGACGCATCCAAGACAATTGCCAAGTCGATCTTTTTCCCACATATTTTTTGTTTCCCTGTTGAAATGCAAAGAATTACATCAAAACACCAGCTCTTTCTTAAGTTTTCTTTGGGATTTACAGTAGAATTGTTCTCGCTGTGAGTTCGCCTCTCACGTTGACTTCGCGTTTCTTCTCCACGAGGATTGTGTGACAAGCCAAAAGAAAATCTGCATTGACATTTGCGTGAGAGGCTAGCTCCGAGCATGAGCAGTAAGGTTGATGTCTACCGATACCCATGGATTAAATAATCGATACCACAATCTCTACCACCACCAATGTTCTCTTACCCTGAGTGTTAAAGGTCATGTTAAAGCTACTTGCAAACGGACTCAACAACTCCCAACACTGTTGGGCAACAATGTTGGGAGTTGTTGCGTCCGTTTACACGTAGGTTAAAGTTTGAACGGTTTCAAACTTTGCGCAACAACTCCGACAACAACACGCAACAACATGCAAAAGGGTGTGGAAACGGACGCAACATGTAACATTCAAGAATACTGGGAGTTGTTGGCCAACAATGTTGCGTCCGTTTGCACGGCTCTTAATATACTATGACCAATAGGCCCCAAAATACAAAAAACAAAACTCTACCTATAGGCCAATTCCGTGCCCCAAGCCTTTGTTTCAAAGCGAGACTAAGTGCGAAGCTATCACAAGACAGCTTTTGCATTGGCCTCGTTTTCAAAGTGAGAGTTTTTTGAACTAGAAAATGGCCTATCGAATCATTTCCAGAAACAAAAAAAAAACCTACCTATTAAATCTATAGGCAAATCCGGGTTCCAAAACCTCTCACTTTTAAAACGAAGCTAAGTACAAAACCTTTCTTGCCCTCTGCTTTCTTGTGAAAATGAGTTTTATTTGCATGAGAATAAGAATCATTTTCTTCTCAATGGCTTTACATTAGATTCGCTTTGAAAGAGGGACTTGGGACGACACTGAAATGGCCTATTTTGAGATAGAAACTTATATGCAATGGTTAGAAGAGCATTAAGAGAAGGAGAAGCAGATTATTTCGTTTTTATTTCCTTTTTAGTGGGTTTTAATCGAAATTTAAAAAAAAATTAGAAAAAGTATTTTAGTTATTTCGAGCATGGAGTTATATCCATATAAAATACATCATAACAAGACGGCACTAAAACACCCACGTCTGTTTTTCTTTTTCTCTTTCGAACAACAGAATTCACTTCTGACAAGCATGTTTGGTTGTGAACTTAGTGTATTTACCGCGGTATCTATATTTCTTTGAATTTTTTAACCTACCGGGCATTTTTGACAGAAATATAACAAAGATTAGCATATAGGCGTTGCAAGTGATAACCGATACAAGCTCTTGCGTGCCTGGTGGCGCTTTCTTGTTCAGATTAATAAAACACCATGGCAAGTATTCTTTCGGCAACTTCTGACTCTTTACTATTTACGGCACCGACAAATTAGCCGACAAATGACAGGTCTGTTATCGAGTTTGAAGCCTTTCAAGTGAAAAACTTTGCTCAACTTGAACAATTTTCAACGTCCATGTTTACTTCTAAGAGAAAAATCGGAAACGGCCAATTATTCCAACAATAAAATCTTTAAGCTTAGGGTGCACTATAAGTGTTCTCACGCACGTTAGTGCCACGTTTGCGTTGAAGTTAATTCTAACTGGCTTCTAACCGATCAGATATCAGTGTTAAACATCAAGAATCGTTAAAAGCTCATATGTCACATTTTTACCAAAGACGACCATAAACCAACATAGCTTCAAGGAAATTAGACAAAATCTTACTTTTTTCTACCGACTATGTTGATTTCATCATTGCAGCTTCTCAGATTTTAGTTGCAAAAGTATTTGCTACGAAGTATTTTTAATTACTGGACGTATTCTTTAAGCCTAAATTCAAGTACCTTTCTCAAATCTCCTTTTTTGATTAAAGAGGTTCTCTCGTTACAGGTGTCGCCCCTCCTCACACATTCCCCTGGCCTTACAGGTTTCTTAATCAACTGGTCATAACATGAAATGGGTCGATTTCGAAATTTTGACAAGGAGACGCTGCTGATTAGGGATTAAGAACCTCCCATAAATGAAAATGTCAGCAGTGAAAAACTTGACCTTTTTAGTTTGCATGCTTTTTCTTTTATATGCAAATTTTCCTGCCATTTGTCATTTTTAACGGTTTATTACTTCTGACGATGTACTTGGAACACACAAAACGTCAAGTTGAAGTCTTTTTTCTTTCCAGAAATGCGTTTATATTTCCTCATGTTTATCACCGCAGTTTGGTTTTTGTTACTTCCAAAGTGAGAGAGGTTTTTCAAGCTTTCTCAGGATAAGGTATCCGGCTCAATGGCCGGACCACAAAGCCGTGTGAATAAGATAGGTCTTTGATTACAGGCCTCAATTTTTTTTATACAAGTTCTCATTACTCTCATTATCTTACCTTCTGCTCCAAAATTAACAGCCACCACTAATAACGAAAACACCCACCAACAATTCATCTTCAGATCACTTCAGTCCGTATCTTCATCAAATCCAGAGATAGCTGATAAGGTGATACTCGGTAAAGAAATGTGAAAAAGTGTCAAATGTTTTCAAAAAACACAGACGTTTCGGGTTTATGACCCTTCTTCAGTGTGAGAAAAAACCAGAGATATGCTATCGTCAGTTCTTTACTGATCGAGACTGAGCTGTCCAGTCTCATGCAGTCAACAATTGTACTTCCTGCTTGCCTACGACGAGTATTCTATTTAAGCTGGTAGTACCTCTGTCTAAAAACTGTGGGCGATCACAAAAACATTTCCAATCGTGAATTATTAATTGAGCCCACAAGTACTGATTATTTGACAAATGTATCGTGACAAGACCCATAATTATGGCTCTTGATCGTGATCGATACCAAAAATCTTTGTGAACGTTTTAGACAGCCGCTGTCGAAGGCGAGAACCACTTCACTCGCTGCTCAATCAGGGGCACCCAACGAGGATATAGTTCAAAACCACTTAAAATAGCATTGTTGAACGTATTTTAGTATTCAAACGGTAAATATTGGCATATTTTTATCCCCTAAAAACTTTTCATCAGTTCGGATTTCCTAGCTGAAAGTCTAGTGATCCGAAAATTATGGGGATAAAAACTTACCTTCTCGAAAATTTCAGCCAGGAAAAGGCTCCCGAAAATTCTAGGTGGCCTTTTTTAGGGTCAAAATCCGTTAAAAATAGGTAATCATACCATTTTGTCGATGTTCGAAAATCCTAGGAGAGGCAGGCAAGCAAGAAATTTTACAACAAACGCTCCGAAAATTCTAGATCTCAAATCGTCTTCCGAACAGATATTTTCCCGAAAATTGCCGTTGGGTGCCCCTGCTCAATGAAGTACCATCCTGGTTCTTTGGGCTTGTTCGTAGCAAAGCCCAATAAATGTAACGCCTGTGTGAAAGGCTAAAGCAAACCTGCAGCATTTCCACCGCATGTCCAAAACAGTCATTTCAACTGCGTTCATATGACAATGAGATTTGGAATCGTCTTGCGTTTCAGTGATCCAGCCCGAGTTCTATGTCTTTCGTTTAATAAGCTGGGAGGGGTACGCCGCTTTAGTTTATTGACGGTTGTCAGAGATAGGGTAAGTTCTGATACACTTCAAGAGCAAAGAAGAAACTATTTATTTCAGTTAACGTCAACCTCCCTGGGAAACGCGGTTGGTATGTGGAATTTTAAGGTTGAATAAAGAAGTACCTTAAACACTGCAAACCCCATCACGAAAAAAGCAAACCTCAGTGGAAGAAAGAGAGAATGTCAGTTTTATTGAAAGGACAAGACTGTGTGACACGAAGAAGCGGCGATAGCGGGGATTGGAGATTACTGTGAGCAAAAGCTCGTTTTAAAATAGTCCATTTGTACGATGGCCTTATTCTTTTCTACTACAACCAGAGTCTTTTTCGTTTTTCCTTTCACATTTAAATTTGGTAATTCCAGCGAGGTTTAGATAATAAAAGGCCTCATTTGCACAAGAAAGCAAAACCCTGATAGATTGTGGTCGTAGTAAAAAAAAAAAAGTCATCTCGTAAATCAATAAAATTGCTATGATTTACCTTTCTATCTGTATCTTCCTTTCGTCGTTTTGGAAGTGATTAACCAACACGGGGACCGGGAACCGGGAAAGGGGAACGCAAAAATGAAAAATGGAGACAAAACAGAGAATTGGAAATAAAGTTACTGACAGAGCTATAGGGTTTTGATAAGGTTTTGTTCCCAATTTTCATTCTCCCGTTCCACGCGCTCACTCCCCGTTCGTTGCTCCCTGTTCCTCATTATAGTAACAGTCGTTTTGGAAGGAATTTTTATCAAAACAAAGACGGTTTTCTCTGTTCAATCATCGGCGTGAGGGAGCTTTGAATTTTGATTTTTCTCTGGACCTGAGAGAGTTACTGGAGAGAGTTTCCAACGATTGAAATACCCTGATCGAAAGGTTTTATCGTTGTAAATTTTAAATTGGAATCAGTTTACCAACTCCTGGTGGCTCTAAACATTATAACTCGAAAATGTTTCCCAGCATTAGAACTGTATTGCTAAGGTTATGAAACCATCTACATTTGAAACTTGAGTAACAACATGAACACTGAACTAAATAGCTTTCCGCACTCGATAAGTTAATATCGGGCATTAAAAGAAAACTGAATGCAAGGTTGGTATTACGGCAAAGAGCTGATTTATTTAAGGCTAATATTTCGGCTAACAAAGTTAGCCTTCCTCAGGGCCAGAGCTACACTGAAAGGGAATCCTAAGACTTATTAGTCGACCCATGTAAGGAAATTCGGGATTCCAGCTACTGGATTCCGGATACCAATCGGTAGTGGGATTCCGGATTCTAAAGCCCAGGATTCTGGATTCCAAGGCAAGAATTTGCTGGATTTTCGATTTCATAAACAAAAATTTCGCTAAAATTTCACAAAAAAGTGAAAGCCTACACTCAATTCGCAGACCTTCTATTTTAGTATCAGGGACTTTAAGATCCAACGACGCGGACGACAACGAGAACGTCAAAAAAACAATAGGTTTAATAAGCAAAACAACAACTTCGCACGTGCATCACACTTTTTTGTACATTTCTTTCCCGTGTTTGCACGACTACGACGTGAAAATGCCTAATTTCGCGTTTTATAGAGGACGTAAACAAGCACCGAAGAAATTATATTTATCTCTCCGAACTTGAATATGGTCCCTTGAAATTCAGCTTCAGGATGGTTCGCCTACATTTGACAAAGTAAATGGTTAGGAATAATCGCTATGAAGACTGAAAGAACGCAAATTCACTTTTTAAGCGACGTTCTTGTCGCCGTCGCGTCGTTGGATATTAAAGTCCCTATCAGTTATATTTTATTTTAGAGACCATTCTTAAACGCTTTTACAGGTCCTTTGTCTAGAGCTTTGAATTCCATTCACAGTCTATATATTTCTATAGCTTTCATACATGCGTCACATCTTTTACACATTTCTCCCTACACTTTGTTTGCATACAGCTATTTCGAGAAAGGTTGTCGAAAAAAGTGCACGCGACAATCCCGAAAGGTATTCTGGGTGGTTTTGAGTTCGCTGTTCTTCAAAGAAATTTGAAAGAATGGCACGAGAGGCCATGGACGTATGTTTGCGCGTGCTAAAGGAAAGCAACAAAAGAAGTTTTGACAGCTGCAATGTCAGCAACAGTGTAATTCATAATTGATCATACCCCATATTACCTTTCGGGATCGTCGGGTGCTCTTTTTTGCCGGGACAACCTTTCTCGAAATAGCTGTATATATAGCGCGCGAGGAATATTCTCTTATCCCTGATGATGCCGTTGATCAGCGAAAGCTTGGATTTTAGATTTTACTTTTTAAACAGCAGTTTAAGGCCTCACTATAACAGTTTTGTATATTTGAATGTTTCACGGCCGATTCCGGAATCCCGATTCCCTTGCATGGAGCAAATATCTGCTGATACATTATTTGCACAGCTGGTTTGTGATTGACTCAACAACTTTGTTTACATCTTGGGAATCATTTAACCTTAATAAATGATATTTAACTGGTGTACTAGATAAAGCTAATAATTCCTCTCTGTTTATCCGGCGTGTTATTCCAATTACAAAAACCTCAATTCCTTGATCTCTGATCATTCTCACTTTGTCCTTTAAAAATTCAACTCCTGTGGTGCTAAATCCATCTGTAACGATAACAACCACCTTCCTCACATCTGTTCAAGGAAATAACATCATAAAGAAGAGTGTTTTGAATTTTTATATTTCTTTAATGTCAATTTTTTAATTCTTAAGCGACTAGCTGGCTTCCGTAATAGCACGAATGTTATAAGAGGACTAGGAGCGAAAGATTCAAACGACAAAAATACGAAAAATAAGGAAATTCTTTAATTGATACATTAAACACGAGAGAGAGTCTTTCATCTGATATCCAAACACCGAGAGGTAATGTATCAAACACAAGAAGGGGTGTTTCACTTGATAACCAGACGTTAAGAAGTAATATATTAAACACGAGAAAAGGTGTTTCATCTGATATTCAAACACTTGGAAGTAATATAATATATCAGGCACGAGAAGGAGTGTTTCATCACTACATACTCAACATATATAGCACCAGGTACTATGAATACATGACTATACCACTATCTACCATCCATTGCTTAACTATTGTAATTTTTATAACCAAACCTACTTACCACGGTGTCCGATTCTCGCTCCTCCTTTAACCCCAAACAAATCATTGGTGACCATTTTTAAAGCTCTTCCTGTGCTAGTGGAAGATGACTCGTAGAAATGCCTGTCCAACGCCTTCTCCAATTGCGTCTCGTTATAGTAATCATCAAATTTGGGAGCAACGTTAATGTGTTGTGAGTAGGACACAAGCGATGTTAAAACCTCGTCTTTGGAAATTTCAAATTGCCTTAACAGTGTTCTGGTTAAGTCCTTGGCAAGTTTGAAATTCTCTTCACCGATGCTCGCAGAAGCGTCCAGAACGATAGCCAAGTCAATCTTCTTAGCGCATTTGTCTCGTGTTGCTGTGAAAAGTTACATTTATGTTATGAGTAAGGAGACCAAAACGTCATCAAAGTCTGTAGGAGTCTTGTAGGTTTTGCTGTCTGATTTGTTTTGTAGGTTTTTGTGGGACTTAAAAGAAATTCCAAATTCGCGCCAAAATTGTTCTAAAAATAGAATGGTTTGTAAAAACGCTGTGACACGAGTATCGATAACTAGTAATTATCATGGTTATAAAGCCTTGAAAAAGTGCACTAAAAAACTCTTTCAAAACGCCACCTAATTTCATTTAATAGGTTGTTAATCAATTGATACACATATTAGTGCGTTTATGTGTGTTAACCTCTTTCTACTTCGCTGGAGATGTTAGTTCCCAAGGCCTTCTTCGCATGCTGTACATAACTGTCCTTGCTCGCTGCACTTGGGTAAACTGCCTGGGGGAACGGCATGGCTGTGCCGGACTGCACATAGGGGATATTCATACTATGGGAATTCACGGGTTTCTCAGACGGCGAATAGCCTCCCCTTTTCTTAAGACTTGGAGTAAGGAGAGACCGGTTTCTGTGTCGTGAGTGCTAGTCGAGGCATATTGGTTCTTTCTGGTGTCAAGGAAAACTTTGCTGGAGTTCTTAAGGCTTTGGCTTAAGTTGGTTATCTTACCTTCAGCCACCGCCAAAAACAAAAAGGACCAGTAAAACTCCATTTTCATCGATATCGTTCCCACGGATTGCTATCGTTTGTGACCTGCCGATGTTGATTGAAGAAACAATCTGTTTTATGATTTTTCCAAAACTGGATTTCCCCTCCGAGAAATCCGTCCTCAGGATGGATTTCAATTACGAAATCCAAATCAGGATTTCATGGATTTCGCTTTAAGCGTTCGATTGGGAATCCGAAAAAGGATTTGCAAAACTGTCCTCATGAACAGCGGTCTTCTTTTTGCCAAATATGCGTCAGCGTGCAAGACCGCTGTTCCTAAGGACAGTTTTTCAAATCCTTTTTCGGATTTACAGATCGAACGGTAAAAAGGAAATCCAAAAACAGATATCCCAGCCTTGAAATCCGTTTTCGGATTTCGCGTTCAATTTCAAATCCGAAATCAGGATTTTAAAATCTAACTCCAGATTTCCCAATCGATTCAACGACTCGACGGCAACGAGAATGGTAAAAAAACAATAGGTTTTAATGAGCAAAACAGCAACTTTGCACGTGCAGCACACTTTTTTGTAATTCCCTTACCGTTTTTGCACGACGCCAACGTGAAAATGCCTAATTTCGAGTTTTACCGAGAACGTAAATAAGCAACGACGAAATTTTATCTCTCTTTCTGAACTTGGATATCGCCCCTTGGAATTCAGTCAACTTCAGGAGGGTTCGCCTACATTTTACAAAGTAAGTGGGTAGGAATAATCGCTATAAAGACAGAAAGAACGCAAAATTTACTTTTTAAGCGACATTCTGGTTGCCGTCGCGGTTGTTGAATCTTAAAAGTCCCTTCCATATTACAGATGACATCACTCATTCTGAAGAACTCAAAGAAGTTTTATCAACGCTAACAGGGAAAATTATCAGTTTCTTTTTCCTTAAGTTAAGGATTTAAAGAGTACGTTGTTATACAAATTTGCCATTTTAGTAGTACTGTAACGGACGGAATAGATAAGAATTGTCGTTAATCGGGTGTCAGCCATGAAATGTTCAGCGAAATACTGTACATCTTCCTTGCTTCACGTAAAGAAAAGCGAGAATATTTAAATGGCATATTGTAACAAATTAAACACACCCTTGCTCATTTGAAGCTTAGACCGCGAGCAGTCTTTTATTATTCGTTGCAAAGTTACTCCACAAGTAACCCATGGAACTCCACGCGTAACTCAAGCCGCGATGAACGAGGGCGTAAGTTAGGATAAGAGCTAGACTGATTTATCTGGATTTTAAGAGAAAAGGTGGAATGCAAGCAGTCTATTTGAAGTTAAGTTAACTTAAATGTCGATATCTCCTAGGGAAAACGCAAGGTTATCACTACAATTGAAGCTCCGTTAACATTAACATTAACACAACGCCATTAACTCGACACTAGCCGCACTCCGTTAACACAATAACCACAAAGCTCTGGCTACCACAATGGCCTTTTTTGAAACATTTACTGGTATTGCTACTTGAAACTTCCAGTTAATGGCCACTCTTGCTGACAACTAACCGCCAGCATTTCATTGTGCTAAATCCTAGTATATTTTTTCAATAATAACGTTCTCTCCGGCCAACCCTGTTTTTGGAAAAATACAATTTCTCTTTTTTCAAGGTCCGTTAACAACATAGCTAACATTTGATGACCATAAATCTTCATAATAAGACAGTAAATTTAATATTTAATTTAATTCTTTGTTTAAGGGACGATATCATACGAGCCCCCTTCCTTTTACACTATGACCACCAAATATACTGATCGTGGCCACTGTCAATAGATTGACCAGGTGATCAAGTGTATTTAAAAAATTAATAGACTGCTTGCAGTCATCCTTTTCTCTTAAAATCCGTCTAGTTCTTATCTCAGCCATCGCGATTGCAAACCACGACGCTATGTTACAATAAGGGATTGGGACGACCTTATCATGATGTTACGCCCTCATTTATCGCGGCTCGGGGCTTGCGTGCTTGGGTTTATTTCGCGTGCAGTAACTTTGTAAAGAAAAATAAGAGACTGCTCGCAGTCAAAAAAAAAAAAAAAATCAAGTAGATGCAACCATTTTCTCGGGAACCCTTGATATGGTTATCGGGGATAAATAGAACACGAAGCCTCTCGTGAAACGTAGCCCTTGTGTTTAAAACGTAGCCCTTGTCATGCCGCACCGCCATCCTCCCGACAAAGGACGTACGCTTTTGTCAAGCGTTGGTCATTGCAATCTCAAAATCAAGAACGTACTTCCGTCGCACATGACATTGTAGGACTCTAAAAAGCAGCTCCCGAGAGAGGGCAAAACTGAAACTGAACGGGAACTAAATTTTATTACAGAATCTATACGTCTGTTCCATAAACTGTTTAGTTTTCAACACTTACCCGGGTAGTTCGAATAATGGTTCTGATCAATGGGTTCACTAAATGAAGACCATAATAAACTGAATAAATTTCTCACGGTTGAAAAATTGCTTCCGGAAATTTTCAGCGATCCAAGCGTCTCTTGTACATTTTAACGTTGCCTGTACTTGTGTTCATTTATTTTTCCTTTTTTTTTTTTGAAGACGAGATCATTTGTTCCCTTGTTCTGGCCAAAATCTTTTTTCTGATGAGAGGCAATTGTTTTAACCAAAAATACTGAAGTCCATAAAAAAGTCGTGAGCAAACATTAGAAGCATCTTGACCCTGGCAAAGAAATCACTTCAACTTACTTACCAAATGATTTGATGTGACCAACCAGTAATTCGGTGAAGCCGTGGTCGCTTTAGTCATCACGAATTCGAAACTATGGAGCACCTGTGCTCTTAGACGAAGGTGGTTAAATAAATTACTGTATTGTATTGCATTGTTGGAGACTGTGGGCGGATATTAAAGACCACGGGGCGCAGTAGCTTTTTAGTCGCGGAACTTGTAAGCTGTCTTGTTTCACCCTTTTTTTTAGACGGGTGGAGGCTGGAGAGAAATAAAAAGAGAGCGCGCGGGGCGAACGTGGGGCGCCTTTTCCCTCTTCCCATCGTTTCCCGCGCGCTTGCTATTTTGCGATTATTGCCATTTATTGGGAAACCCAGTAACCCAGCGGAAGCCTTGATCATGATAGGAGGATATTGCCATCTTCCCAGCGTGCCTTGCGCCTAGTTCGGGTTGTTTCCGGTCTGTGGTGATGAAAACATAAAATTTTACTTTAAGTTTCGGAGAAATTTTCGCCGCTTTAAGGATGAGATATAGAGTAGGTCTTTACGCAATTTCTCATGTAACCTTTGTGCAATTCTTTGTGCAAGCATTTGGATGCAGAGGCCGATACCAGCACAGGCAGACCAAGCAACCTAAGTTCATTATGATGGTTTCAAATCATTTACAATACTAGTCGCCCCATGTAAGGGAGTTCGGATTCTTGTTCAATCTGAAATCCAAGAAATTTTGCTTGCGGAATGAGGAATCGTGGGCTTTGGAGTCCGGAATAAAGCTCAAGGAATCCCGAATTCCTCTAAGAATTGCACTCTTCCACTGACAAAAAATAATGAATCCAGCCCTGATATCAGGAATCCTCGGAGTGGTATCCAGAATCTTGGATTCCCTTACATGGGGCCAGCTAGCCTGCAGAGTAGGCTTTTTTCAGAGAAAGCGCGACCTAGAAGCCGTTGAAAAATCACCAGGTTACATACGTGTGGCCTCGTATTGCGTAATTCTAAAATGGCAGAGGAAGTTTTCGGAACGATATATTAAATAATCAGTCAAGAGTGAATCAAAACAACTCGTTTCACCACCAAAAAGTGAAACTGTGCAATAGCCTAAAAATAAAACTTTCGTAAGTAAGCGCCCGCAACTGTCACCTTGTTTGTTTAGCTCCAACCAACCAGTTAATCCAGTCATGCTAGCAAGTGCAGACATGGAACTCACTAGGGTGGCGTTAACAAATAACTTATGTTGAGCTCTATAATTTTTTTGCGGGACATTACACAGCTTTGTCTACTTCACTGTGAAGAAATATATATTTTTTTGATTTAATGAAACTGAATAACACTCTGAGCAATAACACTCATAGCAAGAAATTCACCAATCGTAGCTTCTTTCCTCTACCCTACCCTGGAAAGTATGTAAATCAGTTCTAATCAATTTTGCATGGCAAAAAGCACGCGCGAAAAGTTGTCCGTTTCACAGTTGCCTTCGCTGCGGAGTAGAGAGAAGGAGTTTGTTTGTTGGCTTCTGAACACTGCTTTAGCCTAAACTACAGCGATTTTACCTTCCTAAATGAGCGAATTTTTCGATGGTGATAGCGAGGACGACCTGGATGGCAGTAGTGGCTTCAGGGGAATTCTGGTGCTGCGAGAAATCTTTCAAGTAATTTTTGACGAGGGAAGCTAACTCAGGAAAACAAGACTGAAATTGATCGTTCTTCGCGCTATATTTTTAGCTAGCGGGGAAGGAATTGGGATAAAAATTGGGACTGTGTTAAACTCGTTTAAGAGCTCAAGAACTGAATACAGATGAAGAACCAAGTTGCTAGTCAGATTGGGATGGAAGACGAAACGGAAAGCTGCTTCGCTTCACCCGGATCCATCTTCTCCATTGTCGACAACATTCACTGGGCGATCGCCAGCGCTAGACACAACAAAGCTTATGTTCTTCGATTTGTACCTGTAGTTCAACGGATCACCAAAGTTCTGAACGGTGCAGATGTTAAGTTTATCCGCCAAGCGGAATTCTACAGCGACCTGAGGGAAACTCTGTTCAAGATGGAAAGCCACGTGAAAGAAAATTCCACGCGTGGGAAATGGATGAGCAAGCTGTTGGCGAAGAAGAACCAGAAAAGTGTTGAAGAATTTGAAGAGCATATTGAACATCTTATTACTCGAATTGTCTTCTCGTTTGCGCAACGAGTTCAACTATTGAACATGGCTCGCCAAAAACGACAAAGAAGAAGGGCCTTATCAGAAATTCAAGAGGAAGACGAATCAAGCGAGACACGTAGCAACGGGACCGCTTGTTCTAGCTCATCCTTCGAGGAAGAGCCATCCAGTGAAGAAGCATGTCAAGAGGAATTTACAGGAGAACGTTAAATTTCAAGGTCAATGCGCTGATAATCTAAAGGCATGAATCAAAGGACATGAGAAGTGTTTAAGAGAGGGGCGTCGCGGTTTCTTGGAATCATTAAACATTTCTGACTTTGCGGTAAAAATCCTTGGTGATTGAGCTTTCTAAACAAGTAGCTGAATAGATTACCATATTATTTATTATATAAACCAAAGGACGCTTTTTCGAAGTCACGTATTCGGGTGAAATCTAAATTAACTTGGAAGGGAAAAAAGTTGTACTTCATACCCGTTCTTAACAGAAATGTGTGTCTATTATCACTCTAAAGCTTACTATTTATATAGTGCGTGGTTATCATTTTCTTTAGGGTAAACAATAAGGCTCTTGAAATGTAAATTAGCCTCTCTAAAATGATGAATCACTTATCTTTATTTTCAATATTTTTGTGGGGGCTCACAGCTGTACAAAAAATGGTGAGGATATAAAAAAGTTATTTTGAAGCAGTTATATTTAAACATTAATCATGGGAAAATGATGCACAATAAAGTTGAATTCACTTGCTTGGCATTCAGGTATTCAGCCAAATCCTTAACATAATCCCCTATTTCGATGATAAATAGTGATGATAAGCAATTATTATCGCTACCGAGCTATCCTCCTTTCACCCATCGGGTGTGTTTTTTAAAATGTTTGGCCATGCTAACAATGGGAGAAACCAAAAAAATTGTCCTGATGTTACAGTGAAATCCTGTTTAATAAAATCTTCCTCAAGGAAACCGTTCACAAAAGCAATGGACTCGCACTACACTGAAAAGCTTTGGGCTGTGTGCAGGTGTCTCTCTAAAAAGAAAATGGGAGACATCAGGAGCAGAGATGTCTGTTCACAGGCTGTCAACCAAGGGAACAAGAGTTTTGCTCAATTGACCACCGTAAAATGATCGATAACCTGATGTTTCAGAAATGCTGGACTTTTTCAACGCTAACAGTTTATGTGGCATATCACATGCTAAACATGCCAACATGTACCTCAAGGAAACAGTGGAAAAGAACACTCTCACATGACATCACAAGCTTGTCACACCAAATGGCTGAGCAGTTCAAAATTATGTTTTGCTTTCCATTGGGGGTGGGGATGGGGGATATACCTTGCATCGCATTGTACACAAAGAAGTATGGATGTGGTGTAAAAATTTCCTCTTTACTAACAATAATAATTATATTTACATAAATTTCTTTCTTATACAAAACTTAAGGGTAAACTGATGCTGCCTTGAAAACAGACAGGCTTTGTAGATATTCCAAATGCAGTGTCAAGGCCTGAAAACTTTGAATGCTGAAAGATACTTGTTCATGCCAAAGTTATGCTGTAATTGAGCAATTTTCTCTATTTTGCAAACAGATAAAGTTCTTTTGACTGAGTGTCATCTCTCTGGTAGTTCATCTAGCAGTGTGCTGCCAAGGAGTCCTCTTCTGAATCTTGAGATGAAATGAACATGGGCTTTTAGATAATCTGGTGTTCTACCTAAAAGGAACAATATAAAATTAATTACATATAGGATGAATGTTTTAATTTTCCCAAAAAGTGACATTCCCGTTGCCATTTTACCCTAACGTGTTTTAAGTTTTCAACACATACTTCCATGGGAAGGATGGTTGTAAAATAAATAATTACCAAGGCCCTCCTAGGGAGGGCAGTGCATATGTCCCTAGTCTGAATTTTAAATACGGTCATTTCGCATTTTGAGGAGTATGCCATGTCCCTGTTGGTATTTAAACCATCTATATTTTATTTGTTGTCATTTCATGTACTCTTGTGCTGCTTTTTCAATACCACATCACTTGTGGAAATTCTACCCTAATAGGGCCCCATGCCCATTACCTGATCTTGGTCCCTGGAGCTTCACAGCAAGCTGCCTCATGACAAAATCAATACTATCACTGGGGTCCGTGAGACCAATCATATCAACATATCTAAAATAAAAACATATTTATGGTTTTTGGCTTAATAACCAGGGAAACACTTTATAACATTATTAAGATTACATTAAGATATTAATATCACCAGAAAGTCAGCTAAAGTGACAAGACTGTCTGTAAAAAAAGATGGTTCAAACTGATCGTTGTGGTACAAAGTATCCAAAGGATGCATCAATCTAATGTCAACTAGTGGAAGTTGAAAATGGATAAAAATAAATAGTTTAAATAGTTCTCATTATTTTATGACTCACTTGAAACACTTCTGTTTATTCAAAGTGAATAACAGATAGTCAGCAATGAGATCTTCACCCACGACATGGTCTTTAAAACATCCTGCAAACAAATTCAGGTAATGTGACACTTTAAAATTAATGTCTAAAGTTTTTTTTTTCATTGAGTCAACTACTATATAAGTTCATTCCACAATAACAAAACAACCTGTTTAATTTTCCATATGATTTAATTACAGCCAAGAAAGCATGCACGTTGTTAAAGACTTCATGGTTAACAGAACACTTTTGTTCAGCTTAGAAACAATGTAGACACGCGTCTTGCTAATTTTTAACAGACAATTTAACAGTAATAATAACAGTACCTGTTAAAGCCAGTTTCATTCCCACTTCTGCTGTTGGTATGTACGGAGCCATGATACCTTGAGGAGATGAGAAAAGCCATACATACATGTTAATAAAGCAATCAAAAACTTTGTAACTGTAGCAGGTTCCAGCTTGGTTTTTTCAGTACATACTACAAGTGTTTCCAGTTTATTGCTGGTTTGCACGTGATGTCATGGCGGCCAAACAAAAGCATTTCTTTCCTCTGGGAACTAAACTTCATTTTCATGTCAATTCTACTAGAAATGTTTATTATATTGACCACCAACATGGCTGCCTTTAATTGTCACATGGTTGTAAACCAAGAATTTTTACCTGGCGTATCATACATGTATGCCACTGGCTCATCACAAACCTGGAATATATAACACATAAATCAAATACGAATTAAGCTTGAACATTCGAAAAGCATTTTATAAACTGTTCATGTTTTAATTAATGTGACAGCAGTAAAGAGTTACCTTGATTCTATTTTCAATAGAAGTGGTTATCCCAGGGACTGCTCCAACTCTGCTACCTTTACCTGAAATACATAAACTATAACATGACCAATGATTACAGAAATTACATCAACAAATTATTACAAATCAAAGAACCAGAGTTACAAGAATTGACATTACATTTGAGAGAGAGAATAAAATTCTCAAATCAAATCCCGTAACCCTGGCAGGACACAACCTTAATGAGTACAGCACTTGACTGCAATGTGGGAGGTCGACAATTTGATCCCTGGAATAGTCTACATCTTAACATAACTGAGAGATAAAGGTATTGCCTTTTCTCCGCAAATGGCTAGATCTTCTTGTGGCTCGGATGACCTCATAATATGGCAGTCCCATCTCCAGTAAAAACATTGCCCATACCTTTCTTCATGTATTTTCTTCTCAGTGCATTGACTAAAGAAGACTTTCCAGTATTTGGTAAACCACAGATTAGAATGTTGTAAGGCTTGTCTGGTTCCTTGAAAGAAAATTGTTTAGGTTAAATAAATTAATATCAAATAGTAAATGATATATGCGGGTAAATAAACTTGACAAATTGGCCAACTTCCAGTGCATTGGTCTTCAAAGCTCAGTGGCTAGAGCACTGCTGCATATCCTGTTGAAGCACTGATATTTTCTCAAGTTTAATTTGCAATAAAACTGCGTAAATTGCAATTACTGCTGCGATGATTATATTTCCATTTAAATTTGTAATCTTGCAGTTCACATCATCTTCATTCAATAATATGATAAATTAGAAAAAAATGAATCTATTAAGCAAATTGCTTAAGTGTGAACAACCTTATTGTAAATATAATTGCAAGCACCAATGCAACTAGCATTCTTGTTGTGATGTGTGAACTACAACAATGCAAATGAAACTAAAAATTCAAAGGTGAAGATTGTTTAATGGCCATGTTGGGATGCAAGATACCCAAATGTATAGAGATATCTTAGTGCTTGAATCTGCATAGAATGTGATAATCTTTTGTGCCTGTGCTTCCGGTTGCATTTTGCATAGCACATGTGACCCATCCCTAGCACTGCTCTATACTCTTAATCAAACAAAGACCATAAAGACCTTTGTTGATATAATGATTTAAAAAGTTTTAAAAGTAGATTATGAAATCACACTTACTGGTCTGATATATGTTCCCTCGTATTCTGCATCCTTTATAGCCTCTAGGGCCGTGGGAATTATCTGTTGACGCAATAGAATGCTTTGCTTACTTTTTCAATGATACACTCTATTTCTTAGAATAAGTGCCCCTTCCCCGCCCCCTCCCCACTTTTAGCACCTCTCCCTTCTCAGGCGTAGATCTAGGATAAATACTAGGGAACTTAAGATGGACACGTTTTCGGGGCGACGGCAACTTCAACCGGACGTGACATCATGATTTGTGCACTATTGTGCATGCTCTTGCTCATAACATTGCCATCGTGCTCCCGTCGGCGACGTGAAACTGGTCTGTTTAGCGTTGTGGCGAGAACGTGAGTATTTCCTCTCATTTCAATCAGGTTTGTTGCATTTAGCAACCAGAATTTTGCAGATTATCGTCCTTAAATTTTCCTTGTTTTCTTTGAGTCACAATTCAAGCTCGATTTCCAAGCTCTGTTATCTAAACTTACATCTTTATAATGTTTCTATGTTTCATGTCACATAGTCAAGATCCAATCTGATCCAATATGGCAAACAGCAAACCGTAAGTGAGATTTACATGGACAAAATTCACCTACGAGCCAAATGAAAGTATCCGAACAAAAAATATGAACTCCGATATTTAATTGTGTGTTTTTAGCTCACTTTTTCCGTTAGAGTATCGTATAAATGAAACGTGTGTATTGAAAATTGTTTAGAACAGTTGGTAATACCACGTACTAATGTGGGAATAGTGAAATAAAGTTGTTGTTGTTGTTGCATGCAAGCAATTAAGCATTAATTCTCTTAGTTCTTTATGTGAAGCCATATTTTCCTCTTCGGTAGTTTTCCAAGGCGCCGTCCTCCTAAGTTCACTGCGATCTTAATGTTCGAATTTTGGAGGGAAGCGACGGCTACCTCTGTTCCAGGATTACTCTGCCAGTCCGGTCGCCGTCGCCCCGAAAACGTCTCTATCTTAAGTTCCCTACTGACCGATTTCCTAAGTAAGCGCCAAAGGCACAAGCTTCTTGCGGGGTCTGGGGGTAGGCTCCCTCGGGAAATCTTTTGGATTTTTACTCCTTTAAGTCCCCTTTCACACACACACACACACACACTATACTTTATTTCATGCACATCATTTTGCCATCTCCACCCGCAAATAGCAAAAGCTAGACGAGGCGGGCGGAGAGGAAAGGTGACAGCAGTCATAACATAACAAGTCATTCAGACAGGATTTCAACTTGGAAAGTGTTTTTTATCATTAAAAATATATTTATTATGAAAAATGTGACTGATTTCCATAAAACAGTGGAAATTGGTGTGGATCCACGCCTGCCTCTTTCCCTTGTTAAACAGTGAAGGTATCACAAGAAAAACTCTCCTTCTTTTCTAACTGTACGCTCAGACATTGGCACTGGCAGCTCACCAGTAGCAGTACCATACAAAACAGTTCTTGGTATGCAATGATTTCACCTGAAAACCCAACAATTTGATGGAACGTGCGCAACGAAATCCACACCCCTTAGGTATCCATACAGCGACTCCCCTGTTGTGATAGAGTTACCTAGACATACTTTACCTTTCTGATACTATGATGATACTGTGCTTTACTGTCGGTAAACATTGCTCTGATACCGTCATCTTCCAGACATGTAAGAATATCCTTCAATTCAGATAAAAACATGTGTATAATAAAAGTAATGGTCATAATATTATTATTATTATTATTATTATTATCAAACAAGTCCTAGCCAATTAGCAGAGCAGGGAATTGGGCAATTAGGATAAAAATCACTTAAAATATCCTATATATAGGTTCTCTCTGTAAATTTTACCAAGGTGTAAGTAAATCCAATATATATCCTTTCTTACCACAAAACACGAAAAACATGAGGCTCCAATCTTCTGAAATATTGTACCTGTTTCTTCTTTGTATTTCCTAAGAGATCTGCCTTGTTCAGCACCAAGACATGTGGTCGTCCTTGTAATTTATCTTTTAACTTAGGATTTCTTCCAGAAAAGGGAATTTAAGTAAAGTTAAGGAACAAGGATTTAGGCAGCACAAACAGTGCCTTGAGTGAAAGATCTGAAAACATGACTGTTTAATACATGTAAATATGCATCCCCAAAAAGATCCGTAAGTGTCGGCACCTATATATCTTGAATAGGCTGTACAGCTTATTTAAAGGTCCTTTACTTTGGTAAGTGTAAATCTTTCATGACAATTATTCTATTGTTCTTTATTGTAACCTTGGGTCTTAAAAAGTGCAAAAAATTACTGTTTGGAAACTCCATTACATACAGGTGATCATACATAGTACTTTAAGTCAGCCTTGTTTCCAGGAAGTCATCTCCTCCACCCAGAAGCGGGTTGGAGGGGGGCTGTTGCGGGGTGGGGGGGGGTGGTTGAAGTGTTGGGTGAAAGCCCTTGATAGCAAGTTTGCATAATAATCGCTCGCTTTACTTTAATCATACAAATTTTTGCACTGTAAAGGATATTCTCGCATCATGAACTTCTATTACACAGTCGCATTTTTGTAATCGGAGTTGCATCATACGTAAAGCTGTAACAAATATAACAACAATGAATGAGTTGTCATTTGGAGATTGTTTCCTCAGTGTTATCGAAAATAATTTCAACAGCGCTGCGTAACAGACCCTTTGCCATGTGTCCTGGGAACCATTTGAGAAAAACACTGGGATGGAAGTCATTTGGAAGGTGGAAAGTTGGTCGAAAACTTGAGTTTGCCAGCCATAACTCTGCCCGACTCACGTACGGGCTGACCGCCATCTTGGATTACATCTAACGCGCGCGTTGCATTGTGGGCATGTTTGGTTTACCGCTGAAGATTCCGGAAAGACCGCAGGCGGATAAACAACGCTTGAATTCCGAAGGAATGACAGTGTCGATGCAGATGTGGTTTCAAAGCGTCGTAAGCAACATATGAAAGTATTTTGAAACGTTTAATTTATAGCTTGAGAAGAACAAGGAAAATGCCTGGAATTACAAGTGAGTTTTCGTTTAGAAACATAAAAATGAACGCGAGAAATGTAACTGGAATGTCGCAGTATCAGTAACTATGGCGTCGTCCTGAGTTGAGTTTCGAGTTTATAATATTTACTCTTGGCATTAAGGGTTCTTTCTCTTTTCCCTTTTGATGACAGGTATTTTAACAGACGGCTGGGAACGTTCCGAAACAACCAATGGAGTTCCATATTATATAGAGTATGTACAACGAGTAAAATTAATATAAGCCAAAAATATGACCATGTTGTTTATAAAGCTTGGTTGCATTGAGGGTTTATGTGTTTTGGCAGCCACTATAAGTAAGCTTACCTATTTTGCAGTGAAGTATGAGAAACGAAGACTAAGTTGTCACTGGTCTATGTGGCAGTATAAAGATTTCGTTATCCTATAACTTGTCCTTCGCAGTTTTTTAGTGGTAATATTAATAGCAATTTTTCCGTTTTAACGCTACATATGTTTAAGTCGTCTGTTAAGTGCATCTGAACGACGCACTTAACAGAAGATTTTAATGTTGTGAGACGTTGAATGGGTCTGTCTTATTTACAGTTTTTATACCAGAAGTTAAAGGCGTCTTAAACAACTTTAACGTCTCCAGCATAAAACAGCGATTTACATGGAGTATTTAAAGTGATAGTAAAAGTGGTTATTTAACAGTTAATGAATGAGGCTGAGTATCTTATGAAGAATTATGGAGATTGAGGAGGGTGTTATCCGTCGAGGCCGTAGGCCAAGGCAGATAACACCCTCCGAGATCTCCATAATTCTTCATATGATACGAAAGCCGAATTCAATAACTGTTTTATTATTCATTCAAAATAATTCCTAGTTTAAAAACATAGCTAAAACATGCTTACCTCCATCGATCCATCGATGTTCAGTTCATCTTCGATAGTGTACGTTTAGGTTTGTCCAGCTCCGCAAATATTCTCCAAATAGCAGATGTCGCCCTTCGAGTTGTCTTCTTGCTGTTCTTGCCATGTTTTTAGCTATTTTTTCGACTAGTTCTTACTCTTGAAACGAGTGAAATGTCGGCCATTTTTTCAAGTTCACAACCAAAACAACTCAACCTCGTCCCCAGGTCTTCTCGGTTAACGGTGCCTTAACCTGCAAAAACGCTGCATTTTTGACGTCATTTCCTCGTTAAAGTTAAAATTCTTCCAAATTTGGTCATCAGTACCTGGTTATGGTGAATTAAACGTGTGCTTTTAGCCAATCAGAATCGGGGAAATATTTTGAATGAATAATAATAAAATTTAACTGTTGAACGCACTATTATCATTGAACTATTTATTGCACCTGTCAGGGCTGGGGGAATTGAAAGCGTAAACCCAGTGGGTGTGTGATAATATTTCAGAGCTCAAGCCACTTTAAGTTTCCCCTTCCCTGAGAACAAATGTGTATCAAATTACATTTTACTGTTCCAAGAGTGTATTGACAGATCACTGATCTGATGCACATGAAGTACAGTCTAAAATTCATGTTATCATGATCGTAGCCTGCGAGCAAGCTCTCTGGGGCACTGTGACGGCAGGGCGGGAAGAGGAAAGAGAGCTTGGAACTACATCTCTGGAATTTGAATATCTGCATCGAAAAAGTTGATGCGAAATGCTGATTGTTGGAGATGACATTAGTAATGATGTCATCACCCTTAATTGGCATCTGTTTTTCAATGTTTGTTTACATTCGCGCTTGTTTCCGCTTGGCACTGATTGGTGGAAATCTGACAGCTCAGTTGATGGGGAGCCACGGGAGAATTGAAGGTAGAAGTCAAGTTGTAAGCTCTCCTTCCTTTTCCTGCTCTGCCGCCAGTGCACCTGGAGAGCTCGCTCTCAGGCTATTGTTATTGTGTCTAGGGGGACTGGAAGCAAATTTGAAGGTAATCTCAGTAAACTAGAAAATTATAATACACTGTGAATATATTTGTAATAAGCTGTACCTAATGAATAATCTCACTATTTTCTTGCTACAGCCATGAAACAGAAAGAACTCACTGGGATCACCCAGACATGATCAGTTTATTGGAAGAAATAGGTATTAATTTTGATCCAGGCTGAAAGTTCCCTTGTATATTATCTCCTGTTACATTAGCTTAGTACGTTTGTACTCTAAGCAGATCCTGGCTTCCGGATAAGTTTGATAACATACCGTAAAATTCCGAAAATAGGCCCCTCCATGTATAAGCCCCTCCAAATATAAGCCCCCCAAATTTGTAATGCAAAAAACCCTTCATTTAATCCCCCCTCTGAATATAACCTCCTGGGGGCTTGTACTTGGGAAATTGCCCCTAATATTAAGTAAAACAAAGCAAAAACAGTAAATTTCCTTCCAACTAGAAGCTAGCCCAATCAATTTTGAAATGCAAATTTCCCTCCGTACATAAGCCCCTCTGAATATAAGCTCCTCCAAAAATAAGCCCCTCAAAAAGGGTCTTTGAAAAATATAAGCCCCGAGGCTTATTTTCGGAGTTTTACGGTAGCTTCATGTATAATAAATGATTTTTTTCTAATTTATCTGTAGAGAGTTTAAATAATATCAAGTATGCTGCTTACCGCACAGCCATGAAACTGAGAGCCATCCAAAAGAAAACACAATGTAAGTGATTAAATAATATGACAAAATTTTAAATCATTGGAAAAGAAAAGGACATAATTTTGTAAGATAAGGAAACTAGACAGTTTAATTTAAAGCACAATGAGTGACATGCGGTTTTCTAATACGACTGGTATTCTGCAAAAAAAAAAAAAAAAAAGATTGTTGAAGTAGAGCAAGAGCTGACCCCTCTAAAAAAAAAGTTTGGATCCCCAAGTTTCTCACTAAATCTCTGTCATCATTAATTTATTCACTGATTTCAGAGGAATCTTTCTTTTATTAGTAATTGCTACAGAATGATGAATTTAATTGTTAAATTACTAGTCCATTCTTCTTCAGTTTTATTTTTTAATTTACCTACACTATGTAAAAGTTGAGATGACTTAATCAATTCTCTAATTTTTTTTATTATTGTTCTATATTTTGATTAGTATACATGGTTGGTCTACATGCCATCAAATCAACCTTTGATGGCAATGGCATCAAAGACGGCTTTGTTGACGGAAACCTGTCTGTAGAAGAATTGATGACAATAATTACTGCAGTCTTTGAAAACCAGTCTGGGGTTCGTGGCACTAATCGCATTGATGTATCTCTTGCAAGTGAACTGGTTTTGAACTGGATTCTTAATGTCTATGATCCGTGAGTACAATATGAATTTAATGTCAGCATGCAAAAACAGCCATCCTTATTGTTTACCTCTATAAGGGATGTTTTGTTTCTCTTTCACAAAACATCATGAGGGAGTGAGTAATGAGAAGCAGTTATATTTGCAGGCTAATAAATTAAAGTATACTATTACTAATATACCATAAAATTCCGAAAATAAGCCCCTGGGCTTATATTTCTCAAAGGCCCTTTTTGAGGGGCTTATTTTTGGAGGGGCTTATCTACAGATGGAAATTTGCGTTTCACACCCGATTGGGTTAGCCTCATAGTTGGAAGTAAATTTACCGTTTTTGCTTTGTTTTACTTTGTATTTGAGAGCAATTTTCCAAGTACAAGCTCCAGGGGGCTTATTTTTGGAGGGGCTTATACATGGAGGGGCTTATTTTCGGAATTTTACGGTAGTATCACTTTTCACGTTATAAACTAATTTTTTAACATCTTTTCACCTTTCTACCTACCTCTCTCTTTTATAGTTGTTAAGTTGTTTTTTGTCTAAGCCACTTTATACAGTTCAGTCTTCCTTCTTGTATGACTAAAGCAGGTGTTCTCTGCCCCTAAACAAATTATTGAGATGCTGTGCACAGCATAGCATATCAGAGATATTCTCTCCTTAACTCCCCAAACAGTTGACCCTCTCAAGGGGGTGGGGCAAAGGGAAGACTGACATATCAGACTTCAAAGGAACAAAAGCTTTCCTAAAATCAGAAAGATCTGTACATTATCTTTATTAATTTTATCTCCATAGCCTCGTTTCTCTGTCAGTGAATGTTCTTCCTTCTTTAATTTGCAAATGACTGACAAATATAGTAAATGACCTAACAATGGATAATGTTGTCCAAGACTCTCACTAAGGGTTGGGAGCTGGGGATTTTCCCCAGCTAACTATTAACCAAATGAATATCCTTGCTGGTCAATTTTCTGCCTTTATACATGTATTGCATTGAAGCAGCAACTTGAAATCTTAGTGTCAGCCATGATACTGGGCATCTTTAAATAATATTTATTATTTTTTTCTTTATTTGTGACAACAGGGGAAGACTGGGTTATGTGCCAATTCTTTCATTTAAAATTGGTCTTGTTGTGATGTGTTCTGAGAAAGTGCAGGAGAAGTACAGATGTAAGTTTCTTTTCATCAAAGTGCATGTAAGATTGATATAGTTTGTTGCCTGTAACAGTGCATGTTTGTGCTGATCATATTTATCATTTTTTTTTTCTTTTTTTGGTTTAAAGACTTGTTCTTACAACTTTGTAACAATCAAGGATTTTTGGATAGCAAAAGGCTTAAATTGTTCCTGCAACAGATGATTCTGGTAAGAAATAAAGAATTACATACAAAGTCAAACTTGACACACCTATATACTAAGTTCTCACTTAAATTCCTGGTAGATTCCAAAGTATATCTACGAGAGTGCAGCCTTCAGTGGATCTAGTGTTGAGCCAGCTGTGCGAAACTGTTTTGAAAGGGTAAGTTTATAACTGTGGTGATATACATGAAGCCCTTAGTAGTACGTACCCTTTATTAAGACCACAATTGAGGGTCACCAAATGTATCTGCTGATTTTTTATTTTCATGCAAGCAGTAAGACAAACCTGATTGAAGGGTTTCTTTTCTCACAAAATGCTGGAAACTTTTCTTTCCTTGCATGAAATCACATGCACAAAAACCTTTACCTAAATGCATCTAAAGACTTAAAGACATTTTTTTGCAGACTGGCAGTACAATTTATTTTATTTGTATTTATGCTGTCTGTTAGTAACATTTTTGTGATAACTTTGCCTTAATCCAGGTGTCAATTCCAGAAATAGTGTCCATTGAGGAGTTTATTGAATGGATGATTGCTGAACCTCAAACGATTGTATGGCTTCCTACGCTTCATAGATTAGCTGTGTCAGAAACAGGTTCCCATTTCCTATTTGTTTGTAATACTTTTTATCCTCTCACTTCAATTTACACATAAACATTGCATTATGCCATGCTGATAAGCTTAAGTTTGCAAAGCCATACAAACTTTGGGATGTATATGTGTTGACAGCTTCTGCCCATATGAGATCTTTGGTAAACAGATAATTAATTTTTGTAGGCAGTCCCAGAGTACGGTGGCCCAGAAGGGTCACACATGCAAATGAAAAATGTTGCTGCAAACTAAAAATTTTACCTGCAAATTAAAAATAGGACATGCAAATTAAAAATTGTACATGCAAACTAAAAATATTACAAACATGAAACATGAATGGGCTGACGACTGTAAGGCCAGGTCGCACGGCTCGGACCAGGTCCTCGTCACTCATACTGCGTGTGCAGGACTTTTCATTTTTAATTTGCAGCACAATTTTTAGTTTCCATGTACATTATTTAATTTGCAGGTAATATTTTTAGTTTGCATGTACAATTTTTAATTTGCATGTACTATTTTTAATTTGCAGCAACATTTCTAATTTGCATGTGGGACCCTTCTGTGCCATGGAAGAATACATTGTAACCTTAACCTATCTCTAAAAACACAACTTTGTGCCAATAAAGAAGTTCCAGGGGCGGGGAATACTAAACAACAGGAGGCATATGATGTAGATTTCAGAATGTGTCTTGTTCAAACTCGCTTGTTAGCAGTGGCATGTAACAGAGATGTTGTTTCCTTTCAGTTAAACACGAGGCCAAATGTAATGTTTGCAAGATGTACCCTATTGTTGGCTTCAGGTGAGATGGAGTGACCTTACTTTTACTGTATGTGTTCATGAAACTCTGTCTATGTTTATGAAAAACTAATGTACAATGTTTGTTCAAATCCACCACCAGATATCGATGCTTGAAGTGCTTCAACTTTGATCTTTGTCAGGTGAGAGAATGCTCTTAAAAAATGGGAAATAATTGGAGACATGTTTGTCTCTTTATGTTAGATAACAATTTACAGTAATTCTTGTTTGTTTAAGTTTGAAAGTTTATGTCATGTTTATTGGCTAGAACAATGAAGACAAATCCAAAGTGATTAGCCCATCACAACAGCCACAGACAAAATGAACCAATCAAAACTAGAAGAATAACACATACTGTCCATTGATGCTAAGCGTGGGAAAACACTTGCGACCAGGTCTTTGGCTTACTCCTAATTGGCCAAGAAAATGGCAAAAGACTTTTAAGCCAATCAGAAACTCTGATGATGCACAAAACCTAATCATGATAATATGGTACTTTTGACACTTATTGAAGTCCTCCTTCAGATTTTTTGCAAACCAACTGCCTTTGAACTTTCTAATATGTTTGTTCTTTGTTTATTTTACAGGGATGTTTCTGGTTGGGTCGTGTAAATAAGCAACACAAGATTGGACACCCCACTCAAGAATACTGTCTAGTGGTACGATCTTATGATGCTATATGATTCTCCCCTTCCCCCGTGCTGCTTCCCCCCAGTTCAAACATGAGCTTCAATTTTTACAAATGTAAATGGGTGTTTCGATGATCCAGGCACTGACGCAGGATGAAAAAAACTAAGCATTTTAATTTTTTTGGAGGTTGGTTGGCCGCATCTTGGATATGCTTTAAGGTAACAGCGCGATTCTGTTAGTGAGTTCTTGTGTGCTAGTCATTACTTGGCTGTGTAGCCGCGTGATGCGGTTCCAGTCGAGACCCACAAATTGGCCCTTGCTCACCATAGAGTCTCCAGTAGCTCAAGTGGTTAGAGCATCTGACTAGATCACGGAGGGTCGTGGGTTCAAATCCCATCTGGGACTCGGATTTTTTTTCCGAGTCCTCCTCAAAATTAATATCATGTTGTTGTTGTTTCATCTTTAATATACATTTTAATTTTGTTTAAATTTCAAACAGTCAACGCAAAAGGAAGATATCAAAGATTTTGCCAAAGTGATGCGGAACAAAGTGAGTAAGAAGAAGAAAAAGGCTCCACAACATCCCTCAAAAGGAAGGTTTATTCCAATTGAAATGGAGGAAGCTCCACCATCCGAGGAAGAGGATGAGTAAGTTTCAAGTTTGTGATTGGGTCAAAGAACCCTCACGCCACTTTCTCAACCGATCAAAGTGAAGTCAATTGAGACTTGCTTTCATGCATTTTCCCAGTTTTCGGTGTTGGTAACAAAGTGCATGTTATTGCCTCGAGATCTGATTGGTTTATTTGAATTTCTCTGCGTTTCTTGATCGGTTAGTACATGTGGGATGTAAGAGTGGTACTTTGATTTTGATTTCACGGCAGTTTTAAACTGACTGAGGTGGCTTATCAAGTTAATGTTTGACCAAGAATTGAAGTTGTAAGGTCATGGCATTATCTTAATTACCAGTCAGTCTATTTAGGGGATAGGCATCAGGGACTTTGTCGCTTAAATGAAAGAAATAAATGTGATGTTTAAATTGCAGGGATTCCATAGATGCCGGTACTCCAAGGAAAGGTCTCCCTGAAACACGCAAAAAACCGGAAGGACACACAGCAAGGTGTGCATTACTTTGTTTACCTAAAGTTTTAATAATTATTGTTATGCTAGTTTCAGTCTTAGTGCCTGCTTACATGGAGGTAGGGGACCCTAGATAGGTGAGGTATCATGTGGCGGGTCACCCCACCTATCATGTAAACGTGATCAAATTAAAATGAGAGATTATATGGACAGGTGGGTTACCCCACCTGAGCAGGTTACCTCACCTACCTGGGGTCCCCCACTTCCATGTAAACAGGCCCTAAGTGCCATTCTTCTTCTTGCACATGGAAGAAGAAACAGTATAAATGACATTTTCTCTTGTGGTTCCCGAAGACCTTAATACACAGTGCGCCCCATTGATTTAAAGTGATATTTGGTAGGCCTGTTTATATCTTCTTCCAAGTTCAAGTTCATGTGTTTTCAGACTGCCACAAAATGAGTTAAGAGAAGAAGATGAAGAACCAACATATGCGCAGCCAGTTAGAACAAGACCTGTCAAGTAAGAATGTCATGAATTGTACTCTTGCTGATTGCAATATCTGGAATAGTACAAATGCCGTTCCTCTAATACCTTCCAGTTTTAGTTGTTTGTCTCACCCCCCCCCCACCCCCTCCCAGCAGTGCCTGCAGTAGGGTGAGGTGAGAGGCAGCTGTGTTCCTAAGCTAATAATCAATCCACTGAAAATGTTTTTAGATAGAGGGTAGCTATTTTGTTTTCTTGCATTAACTAAGTTTCACTGCAGCTTTTTTCAATCTTACACCTGTCAACTATCAGCAGCAAGTTATGACGTATATGACCAAGCAAATTGGTTGGAGTTTGAATTTGAATGACCCAGTGCGAATTAGCACGCAATGAGCTGAAAACTGTAAAAGTAAATTACTGTGACCAGCATGTTTTGAGGTGTACAGTATTGATACGAGAGAATTAAACTGTCATTTCGCTCTTAATGAACATCTGCCTAAGACAGACATCTTTTTAGAGTTGGTTCTTGAGTCCTTTTTCTGCCTTTTTTTCTCTCTCCAACACAGATCCTTCTTTGTTGTAAAGCTATTTGTATGGTCCATTGACTGACATTCCTTATTGCCATTAACGTTTATTCGTGTTTTTTTTTTCTTTTTAACTACCGACAGGAATGATGAACACCGTCTTATAAGGCATTATGCTAAGAGGTAATTTGCTACTTCATCTTTAGATATACATGGAAAGGGTCCGGAAAGGCTGATCAATGAATGTTGAGTGATTAAGAAAATAATAGTTAAAAAAAGTAGAAAAGTCCGGGTTAAAGCCATTAAAGATGATTAATCATTCAGCTTTAGACAAATCCGTGAAGCGTCGCACACCTGTAACCCCAACTTCATAAACACCTGTATGCCCGAGAAAGAACTTCATAAACAGGGTTCCCTAACTGAGTTGCCTGCCGGGGAGAAAGCTTACAAGCTCACTGAACAGTGAGAGAATCCTGCAGACGGGGAGGAGTGTAAATTTTGGATTTTGGTCTCGCTTAGGGTGTTCCGGGCAAAGCGTCAATATTTTGCCGCCAAGGTCTCGTTTAGGGTTCTGCGAAGAACTTGAGATTTATGACAAGCTTTTAAAAAACTACAATGCCGGGGTCTTTATATCATTAAAATTCATGTCGTATATGGTCTCTTTTAGGGGTCAAAATTTGCTTAAGCCACACCCAGATGGTCTCTTTAGGGGCTGAACATCCCGTCCATCCGTCTTACCCGGGAGGATTCACTGCAAAGCGGGAGGTGGCGGGTTCGATAACCACGGCTGGAACAATACTCAGGGTCTTAAAATAACTGAGAAATGAAGGTACTGCTGTCTGCGCCCCACAAACGGGTAGACCTTAGTTTTGCTCGGATGACCACGTAAAATGGCGGTCCCCGGTCTTAAGTAGGAGACGACATGGTGTCCTCACTTAGTACTTTCTTGCTAAGCACATTGACTCTCAAATAAAGTACGTATTAAGTGCGTTTCTAATCTTGTAAGGAAAGTAATGTTTACTTTGTTATTTTTTTCAGCTTGACTGGTCAACCAGATTCAACGGTAAATGAGGTTACTTTCTCGTGTGCGACGAGAAGCTTCGTCGGCCGACACGTCTTTGGCCAAGGGCCGAAGACACGAGCGGCGAAGCCTCGAGTTTTGTTATTGGTTAATTTGAGTTTGCTGGTGGAACTGGGTCATGGTCTTTTTCGTTTCGAATTGCTTTATGGGAATGTTTTGGGGACGCTATGTCATTTCATTGGCTATTACGACGTTACGCACCAGGAAACTGGGTACAAATTTCGTCCCCCAAAAATTCCCTTGGAGGTATACGACACAACACCACTCAGTACTCATGCGCAACCACGAAATGAAGAATGTTGGTCACCATAAATAAATTCAAAAGCTGATGCTTAGCGCTAGTCTCCTTCGCAGCCGGTTTTAGGGTCGTCGTGCAGTCAGAGCGTTGCGTGGTAACGCTAAAAACGGCTGTGAAGGAGACTAGCTTAGCGCTTGAATACTTTTGTTTGCAGCCATTTGCCCATATTATAAGCGTTTCACGAAATTCAGAAGCGAAATGATCTCATATTCAGAATTCGCTTTGCTATTTTTGTGCATGAATTAGCAGTTTATTTAAATGGTCAAACAGCATTTCAGGGTTGTTCAACAAATTTAAAAATTGAACCATAATTATTTCATAAGGGAGATTTAGTACTAGTGAAGGCGCTCATCTTAAAATAGCGCTTCCAGCAACTAAAAATGTCATCGTTGTTTATTTATTGGTTTTGTTTTGCCATGGCGAGCCGCCCTCAGACGTAGTCCGTACGTATCTTAGCTTGGTACCCATGTGCTCAGACACTTTTTTAAAAAAAAGTCTTCTGTATATCTTGTTTTTAGTCTCCTGATGTCTCTCAGATGGCGAGAGACTTGGACAGCCAGGAGAAGCAGGATCTGGAAGATCTGATCGCCAGATTGGAAGATGACAACAGGTATTTTAGACTTTATTAATTAAACGGAATTGGCTCATTTGAGACATTATAGAATTGGAATAAGTAGGGAAACCGGTGGGATTGGAGAAAACAAAGATTAATGATGGTTGATAGGCGTGTTTTTCTGCAATTTTATTTTTATATCATGTAAAACTAAGTTAAAGGTGCCATTTAGCCTTGGAATTGAAAAGCATTCAACGTCTTTTCGATTGTTTTTTGTTTTGTTTGTTTTTTGTTTTTGTTTTTTTTTTACAGAGCATTGCAGGGCGAGATTAACACTATTCACCAGTTACAGCGCCACAATGAAAGCGAACAGAGTATCGTGCCTGCTGTTCAAGAGCCCGTCAAAGAGGCCTTCTTACGTCATCAGAGGGAACGATTAGAGGCACGTGAGGAGGTCCTCGAGGAGCATAATTATCAGCTGCAAGTTCAGCTCCATCGTTTGAGGATCCTTCTACAGCAGGTACAGACACAGATTGAACTGCGACGCTCGCAACATTGGGTTTAAGTTATTTTGTCAATGAAGAATAAAGACTTACTGTACATGTATATAGGAAAGGGCTCTGAGAGACAACTTGTTAGCATGAAGAGCAATAGTCGAGGTCTAGTTGTATTCTCGTGGCAGTTATTGCAGTCTCATTTCTTTCAAAATAGGGGAACTCGCGTTATTGTCAAAACGAAAACGAGGGTAATTGCTCTCGCCAATCGCATCAAACTTAAACAATTTGATCAGTCAATCAGAATGTGTGAGGCATGAAATGGGCGCCAAGCGCGGGAAAATGCTCAAGCAAGTCACGACCAGTTTTCATCTAGCTTCTGATTGGTTGAGAAAGTGGCATGAGTTTTGTCAGCTCACTCGCAAAGCGTAGTAGTACATGACGAAAGCAGTCACATGATTTATTTCTGGTGCTTAGTTCAGTAAAAAAAACTCTCCACTAGAGTGTAAAGAATGGTCGGTTTTTCTGAGAGAATGTAGGAGATTTTGTGGGTTTTGCTAGTCTCCTTCGCATCCGCTCGGGCTGGAGAGATAAACTACAAATTGTAAATTTAATGCCGTGATTATTGCTGTTAGCTAGAACGGTTAATAATTTAAAGCTCTTAACGATTTGTTAATACTGTTCGGACTCTTAGAAATGGAAGCAAAAAAGGTTCAAGTTCCAAAATTTAAATTTACGTAAACAAAATCAACTGCACGTAACCTTCATAACGACCGCTTAACTAAACAGATATGTAAATTGGACCATCTCAGTGAACTTAAAAAAAAAAACTAAACCGTTAAACTTGTAACTGTTATAATGAATTCGCGAAAGAAGTTCGAGAGAAAGACATGATATCGGGCGAAGGAGGTGAGAGGCTAACCTCGGAACTCTTGTGAGTTCAGTATTCGTTGGGATCTGCTTTTCCGGTCCGGTCACCTAGAGGAACTCCCCACCCGGGTGTGGTTCCCCTTGGGAATTTTCTTTCTCCCCGCACCTTGTCAGATCTTCCCCTCGCGATTTCCCTTTTGCTTTGTGGTCATTCTTTAGAAACTTCCTCCCCGTGTAATTTGCCTTTGGAACTCATTTCCCCTGCTGCCTCCTTCCCCTGTATATTCCTACTCAAGCTTTTTCCTGAGGATCTCCCTACTTCGTAACACCATGCTTCGCTCTCGAATTCTCTCGCATTTTTTCCTCTCCGCCTTTTAAGCAGCTGCCTAAATGATGAATTTGATAATTTCCATTAAATTACTTTAACTTTTGGTTGTAAAGTTCTTAAATCATTAAAATCTAAACTCCCTTAAAACTCGTGGTGTGGCTTCATTTGTTTACCTTAGGACGAGCGCACCCTCGCTAGTCTTATCGAAGAAGAAGAGAAAATGAAAGCAGTGTACGCGCGTGACCGCAGAGCAAAGTTACTTTTAGACGCTGAAACCAAATCACCTACGGTACTGCACATTTCTTTTTTGTCTTCTTTTTGTTTTATTTCTATTTTACACCTTGCCTTTCCACTTTTATGCAGTTATTCAACAGCCATGGTTTTTATTAGACGTTAGGCTCAGGTTAAGCTTCGTTTTGATACAATTTCCTACTTTTCAGATGCATGCCATGTTGGTCTTATGCTAAAAAATAGTTGTTCATGTCCACCACAGCCTCGCAATTATTAAAAAGAGAGTTATAGTTAAGAGTTATCAGTAGGGTATAAGGCAATTCCTAGGCAAAAGAAAAATCTATAGGGTACGAGCGATCTTTGGGGTTTATTAGTCAACTTCATAGCCGTCCTTAATGTTTATTCATTGTTTTAATACTGGTGAGATTTAGATGTTCTTGAACCGTATTGCTTATTAACGCTTTCTTTTGTTATTAATTATTTAAGGAGGAATTCAGAAGTGTAAAAATAAGTTATATTTTATTTATATATAACTGCGATCGTATTCAGTGTATTCAGTTAAGCTGTTTTCAACACTGAACTTATAAATATTGCTTGTGCTTCTGCTTAGCAATCTTCCTATAACAGCACATCGTCTAAACTAAAAATATTGTAAAAGAAGGCGTTGGAATTTTGTCCTATCCTGTAAGAGAGCTATACATCGTAGAGGTATTACTTTTAAGCTTTAAATCTATTAAGTTACCAGCTTATATTGTTGAGGTAATATTCCATTTAGTCCTAAAGAATATTCAAACCTCGCGACAAGTAAGATTGTTAATCTATAAATGTAGATATTAAAACGGCGAGGAAGAGCCCGATCGTATGGCTTTCTGCGTTTTCAAATTTGAAAATGCTGTGATTTTCAAACAGATATTACTCGCTTTTTGGAGTAACGGTAGTTCTGTCTGAAAACAAGGAAATGTAACGTTGTGGCTGTAGAGTAAGGAAAATGGTATTTGCAATTTTATTCAAATAACTCTTTGTTAACAACTATAATTAATGCAAAAAAAAAATCTTATTTTAATATTTTAAAATAACCTCTTGCGTGGCATTGAATCGTTTAATTAATGGAAAAATTATCTAATTTTAATCTTCTGTTGCTCTATTGTTGAGCATTGCGCTCTTCACCAAAGTACTTTTCGTTGAAAGATGGCAATTTCGTTGTAGGTACATGGTTAACGCATCTTGACTTCCCTATGCAATATTGGTTGTTGATAATTTACGCTTAACCGCATTTCTTACCATCATAGAAATCATAAAAATAGTTATGGAAGACAGGTGATGGCGTGCATGCATGAATGTTTACTTAAAAGTATTTGCTCTTGTTTTTTAGGGTGATCTCCCACAACCAGTTTCCTCTGCAATGAAATCAGTAGTCCAGCCTTCCCCTCCTGCGCGCTCAAGTCGAACTGTAGCGGAAGCCACAAGTGTAGCTCCCCAGACGAACCACAATACGCCGACTCTAAGCGTTTCCCGCGTTCCTCAGCAAACTACTTATGTATCAGGAATTTCATCGCCTCACATTCTCACCCACTCTTCGATTCCGCAAAACACCTTCCTAACGCCTGGTCCTCCAGTACCAGCCTACCCCGCACAGTACTCATTGACGCCTGGCGTGTCCCCTCCTTGGCGAAACCCCTTAATACAACCGCACAGTGGTGATATCCGGGGGAACTCGCCGAATACAAGCGCGACATCATTGACTGGTCCTTTTGTTCCTAAAACGGCTGCTGAGTTAGGGTTGTTAGACCGGCCGGTCAGCTCGACGTATGAAGGCATGGAGTTGAGTAATATTGTGGATAGAATGACCGCTGCCTTTCCCATGGACATGTATTCTGGTATTTTATACCTTTGTTTACTTTTGTCTCTTCTGAAAGAATGACCACAACATAGATTTGAAAACTTTCAGTTGAAGAGAATTTATAGTCGACCAGTAAAAAGTCACACTTAAGGATTCCATCGACAGACTCAAAAGTAATAACCACCTTGTACACCATGATAAAGACGAGCACCAAGGGAAAGTACTGCTCAGTAGCTTTCAGTTAAATGGCCACACCTCAGGATTTCAATCACAGACTCGAAAGGTTTCTCGTTGCTCCCGCCCCAATCTCCTAGCGGCTTCACTGCCCTCACCCGCCTGAGCTTGTTTGCTCGCCGACAAAAACCTCCATGCTACACAGGCTAACAGCACCATAGTTAGGTTCTTCTCATTATCTTTCTTGAATAGTCGCATTTTAGGATTTCATCCACGGAATCAAAAGTTAGAACTACCTTTTCGTAGCAAAAACGCTACCAAAAGAAAGTACTACTCAGTAGCTTCATTTGATTTGCAGTATCTTTCTCTAACCCTTACTCTTGTTATTCAGACATGCAGGTGGACGTTCACAACGATCTCTTCCTATCAGCGAGTCTCATTGGCGAAGCCATGCAGTCAATGGTCAACACTGTTTCCAGAGATATAGGTAAATACGTACAATAGGGCAAACGTAGAAGCGGAGCTCCAGTTCATAAAGAACATACGTTGAATACGAATAGCGCTAATTTTACAAGTAACAAAATTATCTTTGAAACGCCTGTGTTATCATCGTTACTTTTTTTATCCTGTGTTTGTGCTTGACCTCTGTATGTGCGACAGTACGCCTCCGTTGGGGACATCGCTATTTTGGGTACCCAATGTGTGCGTCGCTGCTTTGTGGCTCCTGTAAGTCTGTTACACTGAGTGTCCTGTGCGTGTGTCGCCAAGTTGGGTGACTTGTGTGTACTTTGTGGTTTAATCTCCAACTTTTTGTGATAATGACAGTGACAAGTCTAAAGGATGGCGACAACAGGAGCCCGCAATCCTAATCTCCAGGTTGTTATTACGCATGCGTCGCATGTATGTAGCCAGCATTCGTTTGGACTTCCACTAAGAATGAATGAAATGCACAGAACGCAATTTGATCACGCGCGTTTGGACCCTCTATCACTTGTAATCTGATCACGCGTGTTTTGACTATCCCCCACGTGAAACTTACGCCAAGCAGAGTGATGGAGCAAAAGAGTTTTGACCTCTATTATTGTCGCCCCACTCCGTAACCTTTGGTTATTACTAGTAGTTAGATGAATGCTTGAAATCGTCGCTGTGAACGCAATTTATGCAATTGCGAAAAGAAGCCTGAAAAAAATTTAGGACTTCAACGGTGTTTGAACCCGTGACCTCGTGATTTACCGGTGCGATGCTCTACCAACTGAGCTATGAAACCACTGACGTTGGGAGCAGGTCAGTTGTGGGTTCATATGTTCCTGTGAAAGAAATGAGTGTTAATGATAAATGAAATAAATCTTTTATATCTATACAGGTGCAAGAAAAGGGGGAATAAATTCTGTAGACGCTCCAAGGTTTAGGAGAGATCCTGACGAGCCTGATTTCTACGGACAGGTTAGCAAATTAGTACAAAGTTTTTTAATTCATCCGTCTTTTGTGCATAATCAAGGTAAGCCAAATTTCAATGCTCCACCCCAACCCCAGTTAGCCAATGCGCTTCCAGAATTCCACATAGCGCGCGAAGTTGGAATATTTATGATGACTGCACCTTTTTTCATTAGGGCATTTCCGGTTCCGGTGAATGGCCCAGAGAAGACCTCGATGTGAGTAGCAGACATTCTAACGACAGGTACGACAATCTATTAGTGGCTGTAATTCAAATTGTTCCTCTTCCTTATTCGTCATTTTCAATTGCAACTGCTGTTTCGACAACCGTTCTCGCAAGCAGGAACCTATACTTGTACAGACTTTCAGAACGTCTGGCAGGAACCTAAAGGGTGATTGTTTGTTTGTTTTTTTATTTTTTGTTTTATTTTTTCCGTATAGTCAAACATCACTTCGCTTATGTATGTAATTGAGTTTATTGTCATTCTATTCCTCTTTTTAGCAGTACCGAGGGATATGAATACGGACCGCTTTAACTAGAGCGCATAGATTCCTGTGTAAAGCTGGAGAAAGTGGGTTCGATTTTGACTGGTCTGTGCAAGATAATACCTGGCTATGGAGTGTGCGTGAATTGCCATTACCTTTGGTGGTAAGCGACTCTGAGGTTCTTGATGGCGCGAAATGGACGCTGTGGGGCTAGACCAGGCGGCGGGAAAATAAAATCTGTGAGGCAAAGATCCTTGGCCGGAAAAAGGGTTCATAATGGTTACAAAATGGAAGTTGTGACTTAAGGAAATATGGCGAGATAAGTCTGGAAAGCCGTGAAGGAAAAGAGGTGCACTTCATGATAGGACTTGTTCTCACCTAGGCACGTGCCGGGAAGTGACTGAAAACGTGACAGTTTAGGTTCATGATGGCAACAAAGCCGTTTCGTTGCGCGCAGACAGGGTTAGAAAGAGCTGATCCTTTATCAAGGCGCATTACATGTTGTATGTTAAAATAACCGAGGCGTTGTCCCAGTTTTGTGGTGAGAAATGAGTCGAAACCTTAAAAGATAACGTTGGGGAAAACACTCTCCCTCTTCCACCTCTTTTTTGAGCCTGCCGCGCAAGCTAGTGCCACCCAATTCTCCGAATCCTGACCCTGTTTCAGATCAAAACACGCCATTTTCAACACCATTCAAACCTGCCCTCCAAACTCCCAACCGGTTCTGAAACTGTTGTGCTCGGTTTGCGAAATAATTACCTTGGCCAAGTGAAGTCAACATAATGTTCAACAATTTTTTATCATATTATTTAATAGTATTGAGAGACAAATACGATCACACCTGTCTCGACCCTAGCCTCTCTCCTCTACCTTTCTTCCCATCACCCCTCGCGCTTTAATAGGAGACTGCGAGAAGACTGAGGACGAGTCAGCGATTACACGCAAAGAGGTGCCATGCTCGATCAGGCCGTATGGAAAGATTTTGTTAGGACGGCTCGGGATGATTCCCGACCTAAGTTCAGACCATGATGAGCCAAACCTATGCCCGTTTTTAGACCTAATCTCTCTAAAATTGTCATACCCACTAATACACTTAAATGAACTAAATTGACGTTATTTCCTAAATAAGCGAGTCCGTAAACTCTTTGACTCTCGCTGGTGAGGTTGTTTCTCCAAATATAGCTTCGTTGTTTCTGTTCACTACCTATGAATTCAAAAATAATTATTTCCTTTCTTATGGGCAACAATGAGCAGAGTTTAGTGCCCTATAAACTACTTATTTTTGGCATCTCTTCTTGTGCTCTTTCCAGTGCTGTGTTTGACATTGCTTTCCGCAGTAGAACACTTTCTTGCAGCCCAAACATCTCTTAAGATCGCCTGTGTTCGAATGGCAAAAAGCACATTCTGGTTCCTCAAGAGGAGGTGCCCAGCGCGGAAAGCCAAAATTAGATCCTCGATCTGGCTCTGTGAAAAAGGGGTCCATTCCACCCTGTAACAAGCCAGTACGGAACTCAAAGGGGTCGTCTGGGGAAACTTCGTGTTCAGCAGGTCTTGCCGCAGTATTATACAAATGACTGGAGGAAAGTTTCCGCATGAGCTCCTCCAAATTTTCTGTGACGCAAGGAGAAAATATTGCAGTTAGAATCATGATTAAATTGAAATGTTTACTCTTTTTGTTTCAATAACAGAACTGACACTAGAAAGCAACAAATGTTCAAGGTATTTCCTTACTTCGCCTTTTAAAATATGAATGAAATGTTTCGAAAACTTTAATTTCCCTGAAAGGCTACACAGTCATCAAGCACTCAAAGAGCACAGAATAGTGCTGACTCCGTAGACTGTTTACAGTCTCCTATTATCCCGTAAGATAGTCGAGATCGAACGTTTTGCGTTGGTTTCAAGTGTACCAAGGAGGCGAGTCCCAGGGTTCTTAGCAGTGGGACGGGAAGGGAGGGGGAAAAAATCTATTTCTCTCCTCCTTCCAAACCGTCCCCTCCCGTTAAATAGATTTGATACTCGTCCCCAGGCTAGACTCAGTACACTTAAGGGGAGTTGCTTGATCCCGAAGATCCTACGAAAGACTAAGGGATTGTGAACAATCTTCTGGTTCCTAGCCTTATTTAAACTTACCACCAGACTGGAATACTGTACGTTCTCTGGGAAATAGAGGACAAACAAATGAATCCTTCCACACATCAGAACCATTATCCTGAGTAACTCTAGCTGCATTTGTGTACAACAACTTACGAAACAAGCTCTTCTCCTGTGAAAGTGTTGGTGTAAGTAAGTAAGTGTTGGCCCACAGTAAAATGGGAGATGGAAAGAGAGCTTTTAAGGTGCGAAGCTTCCCTTGATTTGGTACACAAAATTTGCGTTTGTTTAGGCTCAGCAGGTGCTTTTCACACTTTGCAGAAAATCGAAACTTCCCATTCAGCATGCCGGATGGTGTTTGGTTCGTTTAATCCGCACCCCGATCCGACACTACACAAGTTGCTGGATTCTACAATCTACCCCGCAAACAGAGTCTCCTTCGATCTTCCTGGATATTTTTCCCGACCTATCTAGGAAAGATCGAAGCGACTCTGCTATCAGGGTACCATTAATCTTGAGGGAAGCTAATTCCACATCCCCTTCTTAGCCTGAACCCATTTGTGTGCAGTAATGAAGAGTCAGTGACTGAACTAAATGTTTCACCGGCAAATAAAGACATGAACGAGAAACTCAAATATTGCACGAGGCGTAGCCCCAATGCAGTAAGAAGAATTTCGAGTAAAAACTTATTTACTAAGTTAGGGGTACAAATCTTATACCGCAACCCACCTGTTGGTTAGCGAGAATTCTCTCCACCTTGCTTAACCAAGTCACAGACCAGAAGGAGCTCATAACTCGTGAGCCTGTGCTTTCATCACAAATCTGGTGAGCATACTTTTCACAGTCATAGAAGATAACTTTGGCGACAGGCACGTTCTTCCATTTGTACAATCCCAGTACTTTGAGGATAAATCCTCTTTTCTTTGCTAGGTTGTCCGGTGTTTGGTATGGTTCTTGAATAGTCCCAAGTTCTTCAATACAATAAACCTTGGGAGTCTTTCAGGAAATGGAAAGGAAACAGGCAATATTTAGAGGGTACAACAGAAAAAGAGAAATTTACGGTTTTATGAATAATGATCTAACCTTTGAGGTCTTTCAGTGTTCGCGAGCCTGAACTGGTTTATTTGCAACAATTGCTGAACGGTAATTCAAACCTATGAAGTTTCTTAATAATACAGTGAGGACTTGGCAACGTTAAAAAAAGAAAAAAAACTCGACTCGTTCTCTTTCTTAGTCGTCCTCGTCTCGAAATTATTTATTTGTCAGTAGAATAAGTTGTCTCGCATGGAATAGACAGTGATAAAAGGAAGGCACAGAATTTTGCTAGTTGAACCTGTGGCTCTTTCACATGCCCATTTAGAATCATTGAAATGCTCTCTCTCAGGTCATAAAATGGCGAACCACTCGAGTTTTGCATCTTCAGTTCTTGGTCAAGCCTGGTACGAAACATCATACCACAGATTCTGAAATAAAAATAGAAAGTTAAATTACTCAAGTAGCAAAAGAGATGATACAAGATGATCTTGTATGTCCGCTTGTCTGGTATGCTACGCTGTATTGTATGATAATTGATATTTTTTACTCATTCAAACTATTTCTCAGTTTAAATTTCTGATTGGCTTAAATTTCCTTCATTGTAGATAATTGTTTATACCAACTAGTGTTCAACATTGTCAAACTTCATGCTTGGCGTATGTTTTGAAGAACGAAGCAGATCTTGAAGGGTGTTCTCAGCCTCGGCCGACATACCGCTTAATCTGCATAATTGTTCATATTATACAAAAGCCGAATTGAATAGTTCCTAAAATAGTGGTGTGCCATCACTGGCAAATCCAGGGGGAGGGTCTGGGGTCACGACACCCGCCCTCAAAATGAAACCATTATACCAGAATGAATTATTGCAGGCGACAAGAGGAGACCGCAATCCTAATCTCCAGGTTGTTATTACGCATGCGTCGCATGTATGTAGCCAGCATTCGTTCGGACTTTCACTAAGAATGAATGGAATGCACAAAACGCAATTTGATCACGCGCGTTTCGACCTTTACCCCTCGAAAACTTGACCATCTGTCACGTGAAACTTGCGCAAAGCACGGCGTTGGAGCAAAAGCGTTTGGACCTCCGATCGTTGTCGCCTGCACTCCCTAACCTTTGGTTACTACTAATATAATGGTGCTTTGAAACTGAAAATATTACCGCGAAGAGAAGGGATCGCGTAAAACCTTTTTACGCTCCTTTTGTACTTAGCAACCTCCCACGTTTATCCGGCCATAACGCGATGGTTGCACGCTGCATGTTTACCATTTCTTATGAATGGTACGAAAAGGATCGCATCAACTTTTGTCTCGTATGAAACTTGCGCAGCACTTCAGGCACTTCGCCTCAAAACTGACCAAACTGTGCAATACTCTGTTTAATAAAGCTTTTTTTTTTTGAGGCATCACCCAGTTCGCTCGGATGAAAAAGCAATTTTGAAAGATTGTTAGCTGTAAAACCATACCCTCAACCAGGGTCATTTCGTGAGTTAAAAGCTATAGAAAAAACGATAACAAAGGTTCAGCGTGCGTTTGCTAAAAAATGCTGTTATTGATATGCATACATTGCAATTGAGTCCCTCAAATTGCCATCCCATAATGGTAAGACGTGAAAGGGTATTGTTGCTGGGCATTGAATAACCAGTTCACCGACAGTTCCCTCTTCTCTCTTGGGAATGTTGCAAGTGACTTTTCCTTGCTTTCGTGAAATTTGAAACCTCGTTGAATTCTCATCAACTGCACAAGAAAAGTGCATGATGCATTTTTCCCTGCAAGAATAATGGTAAAAATTAATTATTATTATTCGGGCAAAGAGATGTCGAGCATATGCTACCCGTCGTTAAAATAACTAAGGAGAGGCCTGGGGCGAAACAGTCATGGCTTCTATTTTTACTCTCATCTACATACCAACCTCAGAGACACAGCGGCAAAGAGAACTGAAAGGGCGGACGATAAAAACGGCAAAGAGAGGTACCAGAGAAAATTGAGAATATTTTCATTGTGCTTTAAAACCCATATACTCACCTTTCGGCCGCTTGGAAGTATATAGTCACCTTATTTGGACAAATGACAGGCTCAAAACAAGTCTTCATTGTTTTAGCTTTACATCGAACCGAATCCACAATTTCAAGTTCTGCAAGGTATGAAAACCTGTTTTCCTCGACTTTTAGAACCTAGCAACAAAGACAAAGAATATTTCATGGCAGGAACCCTTAAAGGTGATCCTACACAGGACAACTTAGTCTGCTACACGGCCGTTTTTAGTGTCGTCACGCAATGCTCCTCCCCACTCCAGTGGGGAGGAGCATTGCGTGACGACACTAAAAACGGCTGTGTAGCAGACTAAGGACAACTCGGCAGGACAGCGTTGCAATGTTGGAGCAATGTTGTAGCCATTCAAAACATTGTCGCAACAATATTGCAACATCACCTTAAGGGACTGTGTCACAGCTGTCTAGTTCATTGGGTTAATATTGCCTATGACGCGTCTTTATTTGTTAAGGACTTGGGAACTCGACATAAGCCAACCATTTACTCAGTAGTAAAAGACAAAATCACAACTTTGTATCAAACGAATATCTCTCCCGAAGCATTTTATCAGACGTTACAAACAACAAGAATGAAACCCTTGAATAAAATGTTCGAGGCTAACAAAGTTTCAAAATGGCAATTGCATTTTGTTGTAATCTTCTTCAGGTTTGTCTATCAGTGCCTTCTTTTCTACTTGTTGTGCTGTTATTTAAACCTTCGATTCCTTTAATGTTATTTTTATGTTTTAATTAATTTGGAGCCTGGTGGGTTCTTCAAGAATTTTTGAGTGGGGATGGGCCGCTGGGACCTTGGAAACCTTAGTCTATACCGGTGCTATTTCAGCTGAATTTTGCTACCCTATACTAGCCCCCGCCTATCCTAGAGTAGCTTTTAGGATGAGTTGCGTAAATTTAAACTTGCCGATTTTTTTTTTTACTGATTTTTGAGTGGCAATTCCCGGTTTCCCTAGTCTAGACTAAAATCGTCAACCAATTGATCAGTTTTCTGGAAAATGATACCTTATTCTAGACCCAAACTCTCTGATTTATTTACCCTATCCCAGAGTAAACCGCTTGAAAACCATACCCTTCACAACGGCACGTACCTATATAGCCCATATATGGCAGTCCCCTCCCCCCCGGGATTTGGAGACAGTTGCACCTTTCGAATTTCGTGACATAGCTCCTTTGATAAACTATGATCAGATCTAGAGGGGTTTTTTTTGTAGCTTAGAGCTGTTCGAAATGAGCTGCGCTACTTCACGTGGATTGGGATTCTGTCTACTTCGTCTCAGCAAATAATTCTGGGTGTCAGCCCAGTTGTTTGAAAGGTGGATAACGCTACCCACCGGATAAATAATCTCTTTTCATAACACTGTAACAGCGAAAACCCAGAGAGAGGTTGCAGCCAGCCCCCTGACCCATGTACCCCCGGGGAGAGCGAATCTGCTGTACGCAGCATTCGTACGTAAATCGACTCTTAGCGAGTACCCGCCAGGTATATGTCTTTGGTTGCCTAATTTGTGGTGTCTACATCAGTAACTTTGGCATTAAACTAGCTGGAATTGGTTCCCAGAAATTGCACACGCAGGATAGGTAGATTTTGGCGAATTCCTAGGCTTTTTCTCGGTTTGGTATCAAAAATTTACCTTTAGAATTTCACAATCCCCGGACAATTCAACGTCGAATGTCTGCACAGCGAACAGACCAAATTTATCTACAGGATCAATCTGTTCAACTGCTTTTACTCGATCACCGTCAAGAAAAATTGTGTCACGTTGTATGACTGGGGCAAGAAGGTCGCTAGAGGCAATCCACATCCTGGCTGAATTTGACTTGAGCTCGTCCCAGTCCTTTTTTCGAAGATGGAATGTCACCAGGCTAGCGGCGTCGTCATATCGTACACTGTTGTAAATAAGTGACAATGTCTCTTCCACTGGCAGAGGTAGACCAAAAAACCACTATAACAATCAAGAACTGCGTTACAAAGTAGCTATAACAAGGTAATTTTTGTTGCTAATGACTACTTTTTAATGCGTGGAAGATACTTAAGCACAGAAAAATGGCAGGCGTTAGAAAAAAACGAAAAAGGGGCCAAAGAAACAACGAAGAACAAATGAAAATAACAAAAGAAATTATTTCATGAGAACTAAACTATGTAAATGTTGTTGTAATTCTCGGACTGAGGTAAAGCAGTGAGCAACCTTTTTCACTCTCCAAAATTTTGAAACCCAAAGTTAAAACATAAATATACTTGTTGAACAGAAAATTTCAAAAGCATTTACTTGAAATTCCCTCTCTTCAAAAGGTCTGTCTTCTTTTTTAATGCAAGCCGTCAGAATAGGTGTTCCTTTGTATCCAGGTGCAACTGATATTGAGCTTTCCACTTTTATTTCAACAATAGGCTCTAAAGGAAAGAAAAAAGTATATTGACTATATCAAACTCAGTACCATGCTTGAAAATAAAGTCAATAATACTTTCTCTTTAGAAACATGCCTTACAATGTAGCCAGCTCAGTTGTTAACAAAAAGAATCTTCCCTCGCGTCAGTAAGTTACCAAACGTGTCTGAACTGTCATTTTGGGAAACGTTTTGTATTGTGCAACTCGGTTGATTTCAATGACCTTGTTATTAATAAAAGAGGAAATGATTAGCTTAGCTTCAGCTGAATACGTCGCCGTTTACATGCGGCCCGGTGCACGATACTATATTGCTAGCGTCTCCAGTTTTGTCTATCAACTATCAAGTAACCCCTAAGAAAACATTAGTCGTTTCAGACATTTATAAAAATGGTTTATATTCTTAATTCATTCTCATTTGGTTTTTATTCTTTCTTCTATGACAACGTAATTCCAATTAAATGTATGTCCATACAAAAGTAGTGACTTTCAACAGCTGTTGTCATCTTAACTCATCTCAGACTTTCTTTTCTTCTTTCAACCAGTTAACGAGGTATGTTCTCATTCGTCTATCTCCATATTCCAATTTCACTGAATTTGTTCAATGTTTAATCTTACCTCGTTCCCTTCCAACTGATGCCCTCACCAAATTCCACGAAAGACCAAACTTTTTCTTGAAATCAAGTGGTAGCTTACTTTCAAGAGCATTGAAAAGGGCGGTTGCTAGAATAAAGTAAATTAACAACGCAGACGAACATTGGAAAATTTACCGTACAGAGATCCATACCAGTCAAAATTTAGAATAAAGTTGCACTTAGACGCGTGGTGAGATAACAGGTTAGTTTTCAGGATCGCAGGAAAGAAAATACACCAAAATTTCCCAGCAATGAAAGATGATAATAAGCAGTATTCTGACGCTGCTTAAGATTAACTTGAGTTATTTGGAACTTTTTTGTTAAACAATTTATCACGGCTACAAATAAGTATGAAATAGATTTACGTTTTATTTGAATTCAAAAGTACAGAATTTTTACTTCTCACGAAGGTTAAGTTGCTAAACACCAGACTTTAAATTCCTGGTGTCGGATTTTCATTTGCAGGTCTAGATCGCGCAAAATTCGGTTTTTATCGATTTCAAAGTTTTTCGTTCATTGTAGCCATGGTGATATCGATTTTGATAAAAACTCATTTTGACAAACTTCAATTCATAGTCAATCACTAATGAAAATTGTATAGCGATCGAGCAAGGATAAAATCGCTTTTCAGGTGATTGAAAAATATCGGTATGGTCTCCGAAAACCTGTATAACACCTTACAGCTCCCTACAATGTTTCAACCAATAGCGTATCTCCACCACTAAATGAAAACCATACAAAACTCACAAATACTTGCTTCACTCTCATGAAATACGTCAGCTTTCATTTACTGTGACCAATTTACATCCTATAAACTTTTAAAATTAATGAAACCAAATTTTTGCACTCCACTTCCTGACCAACGTACAGAACCATCACATCACATCACATTGCATTTCTCCAGGAAGTAATTCTTACCTCCACCTCTGAAAAGAGGATGTATCTGATGAATAATTCTGAGGAAAGTCAACGGCGAGGAAACAGTTGCCCCATATGTACTATCAATCTCTTTCGATATGTTGAAGCATCGCTCAGCAAGGCACAGCAAGGCATCAATAATGTCGCCATTTTCCCCTGCGATTGCAAATAAAACTACAATCAAACTGATGTCTTAAAATGGATTACTTTTCGGCATGGCAGGGTGCAAAATGGTGCCCGCAATGTACAGCCATCGAATCCGGCCCCTATAGGATGGGCTGCCCCCAGGGCTTTTTTCTCTAAGGCCGGGGACCAGGAAATTTCCCCTGGTTACCATAAGCACGATCCTCGACTACTTCCAAACGAAACAAAGACAAAAAAAAAGCAAAAGGACTTTCTTAACATTTCTGTTTCTTGTCTACTTATTGTGTCTACCGGACAAACTTAAAAGTCCTGTGGCGCAGCTGTAAACAGCTGGCTGCAGATAGTACAGGTACGGTCGATCGATATTGCGCTAAACAGGTTGTCCTTAAGACAACGTTTAACCATAATTGTTGAAAGAAAGGCTGAGATAATGAAACTTTGATGCGCAGGAAATATTCGGTAGTCAAAGCTAATGTGTTTCCAACACGTGACGCTTTAACATGATGTAAAGTGAGAACTCTTAACAGTTGTTACAAAGTTTCAAGTTTCGTTTTGAACGGATATTATTTTCCTTTGACAGCGTAGTGGGTGGATAGAAAAAAATATTAATTCTCAGGAGTTGCACCAATAGAACTTCCATGAAGATATCTTATAACTTAGTGTGAGTTAAGTTGAGACGTCTGGCTCAGTTAAGATCGTTTGAATGAGTTTGGATCGTACAACACGTTCCATCCGCAAACTGTTCCAGAGTTATATTAAACTAGAGTTAATCATTGATTGCGGATCCGCGTTGGTCACTTACAGAAAGGAAATCGAGTCGAAAGGAGTCCAGTTTCCCGGCCGAGATGCCCCTGATAACATTAATGGGGGCGGCTAATTTCCAGTCGCCCGTCCCCTGATTACTCGAAAATGTCTGCCTTGGTGCCACAGGAACACCAGATTAGGATGCGTTCTGACGTACGCGATCAACAACCAGTCTTCCAATCCCCCATTTCAGGTCTTAGATGTAACCTAACCTGTTGATAGCAAAGTCCTCTTGGGCTCCGCTTTTACCCAACAGAGAATCTCTTCAGAGGTCATCATGCTGTCAGGTAGTTTACTACAACAAGAAGAAAAATATAGTGGAAAAAGAAATCCGGGGTTTGAATTTTAACACCGGGGGTGCTTAACATTTACACAAACAACCCGGGTAACCTCTCTTCCGCACGCAAAGCGAAGATCTTTATATAAAAGGATGTTAACGTAAATTCCGTCTAACATACCTGCTACCAAGCTCTAGATCAACAGCCAGCTTCAAACCAAGGACAGTTGGAAGAAGTTGCACTGGAACACCGATAGATTTGTCGTAAAACTCGTCAATACTTTGACAGCTACTCCATAACATGCTTGAGGTATACAAGAGCGACTTGTTTGGCCTAGGTATACAATTAACATTCTAAACGATCTGTAACTAGTCCCATCATCATATTTTAGCAATTATTCCTCGAGCCCGAATGAGCTCTGAGGAATCATGAATTGTTTTAGTAAAATCCAACAAGTTGGTCAAGCTAGTTCTTTGCTGTTGTTGTTGCAACGTGAAACTTCCAAATAACACGTACTATGGAGAAAATGTCGTTGTGCTTACAAAAAATTTTGTTATTTGTGTTCCTGTTCGCTTTTTTCATTTCACTGCCGCTCATTTTCACCTTGAAGGCCGCTAGCATCTCTCATTTACTCACTGCCGGTATAAAATTTTCATGTTGTTCTTCCAACGAAATTCGTCTCCTTTTTGTTTTTTATCTCTCGCTCTAGCTCTTTGTCGCTCTTTTTCCGTTGAGCTTCTCTAGCCTGTCGCCTACTTTCTCTTTTTCTCTGTCTTGTGGACATGACAATTAATTTAAGCTTAATACTTTAGACAACACTGATATAGAAATAATTTCCGCTTTCCATGTGATCTTTGTTGACTCTTTAATTGTCTCTGCTTCATAAGACGCGGTTGGCCATGCAGTGTTCCGGCAAAAAAAATGTCGAGTTTCATTTGGGTTGGCATACCTGTTGATTGAGTTATTTTACATTGGTATGCCTGTGATGCGGACAAAAATTCTCGGATGCACAGATAACCAAATTTTCCCACCCACGGTGCTCCGCAGCGCGCGCGAGAGAGCTCAGCTATAATCACTTTTAGATGCCACTTAGTTCGAAATAACATATTTTATCTGCGAATGTGATTCACAGTTTACTGTAGCCAGCAATCTTTATTAGGCCCTAGATGGTTTGTTGTTCGCTAAGTGAGAACAGTAGAAAATTCGTTTCTTACCATCCAACAAACAATGGAAAGTTTGTCCCTTAAATGTCGTGGTAAAATAAAAATAGTTATAATGCAAAAAAAGGGTAAATGGTGAAAGGTGAATAATACTGGATATGTAAACGTACTTTTTCAGTCTTGGGACACAACAAACGAGGACATTTAGCAGGCCAATATGGTCGCCAACGTTACTGGTATCAATAACATCGAATGTCTGGTCTGGAGGTAAAACACTTGTACACAAAGATAGAGCATCACCAGTCCATAAGATTACCTTTAAATGAATATGAGACCACAAATCAATCCCTGAACAGAAAAAAAAGAGTCAAATGAATAGTTTAATAAAATTTGTGAGGTAATTTCTCTTAGAAAACAGTTAGATAAAAGGTTAGATGCATCAGTTACATATACGAAAACTTTTGAATTTGAAACTTGAGTTAACTTTTTACTGTTCGAGGACAAAAGACTAAAATCATGTTCTAATTGCATTTATATTCATCACTGTTGATTTGTTTATTTTTGTTTGCCCTGTAAACTTATTATCTCAAGTAAAGACAACCAAAAAAACCGACCAATAAAAAGTGAAAAAGAAGCACGAGAGTAGCTTGCCTTAATAGACGTTGATTGGATGTTCTTGTACTGTTGGTAGCGTTTAACTAAAATCTTTAGGCTTTCTTTGCAAGTAGCTGTTAGCGTTTTACATCGAAGTAGCTCTTGCCTACAAAAGAACAACGAAGTAAATACGAGAGCAAAAGTACTAAGACAGCGGGACTTTTGCTACTTTTCCTTAACTCAAAAAAATGATGATAATAAGAAAAACAAATGATAAATAATTGAATATAAATAAAAAGGAGGTAAATTAGTTACTTAAAGATCGTTAATAAATGTGTACTTGTTATGTAATGCACATGCGGTCAAATAGCCATGAGCCGCATTATAAAGGCATATTTATCACTAGAAATACGTATCGCGCAAATTTTATCATCATCATCGTCATCATGATCGTGTGTTTATATGATAGTAAAAATAAGAATAAATAACTAATATTTATATAAATAAGCGATTGGCATTCGACCCTCCATGATGTCATTAATAAATCAAAATAGAAAAAATAATAGTTAAAAATCAGTATTTGTTGATAAAAAAGAAATATTGCGTCATATTATTTACGCAATGGATGTTTGCTGTGCTGTGCCCACAAAATACTGGCAGTGGAAAATAAACGCGGAGAGCGATGACTTTTTCTCTCTCGCGTAGCATATTTTACTCGGGCAACTTCGGCGATACTAGTTACTACGTTTTAAAATTTTCACAGATGGTCAGCCTTCTTGCAAGAGACGACGTTCCGGGATCTTGCGTGTTCTATTCTCACCACTTTCTCTTTGCTCTTGAATAGTATTAAAAAGCTGAAGTCGTATTCTAAAAGCAATCTTGATCAGTAAAGCTAGATCTCTTTGCACTTATGAAAAGGCAATTCATCAGAAGGAGCCGGCCTCTGCATGAAAAAACACGACTCGACAAACCAAAGATAAGGAATATCAACATTTAACGTTCTGTCTCGAGTGCAAGGAATACTGACAAGGCTCTCTACAGTCTCTACTCACTTTTCAAACGGGAGATAGCCATCAAAAGGACACGCAGCATAATGCTGCTTCCACTTGTGAACAAATGGGCGAATCAAAGTCGGATTCACTTTATCTGATTCATCACCTGTGGAACCCTCTATGAACCAACGCTCAACTTCCGTGTAAAACTGACTTGAAAATATCCCTTCCGGTAGAAACACGTCTTCACCTCCTTTTTCTTTTCCTACCCCCATCAAGATTTTCGATACAACCCCAAAGCAGTGATCTTTCATTTTAGAGCCTTTCGCTTGCATCTCATCTTCCATAAACTTGTTTCTTTCTTCTGTGACGCTTTTTACGTTGGGGTCAAGCGTCAGCCAGTCCTTCCAAATGTCACGGCATTCTTTAAGGGCAGCGCTATCTTGAAACTTTAAAACAGTCATCTCGCTGCCATCAAAACTCTTCTCGATCAATCCTGAAATAACTTGTCGTAGTCTGAGAAAGTGTGCTGCAGACAGCGTCATGTTGTACCAGATATTCCATAAAAAATCAATATCTCCTGATACACTCGTATTAATCGAACCTGCTACTTCGAGCAAGATCGCATTTCGAGCAACCACCGACGGATCGTAGTCGTTTAAATGGAAACTTAAACTCTTGGGACAATCTCGAGTTTTTTTCAAAGAAATTTCAGACACGGTGAACAAAATATTTCTCACATCCCCCGAAGCTAAAACCAGCAAGTCTAAGTGTTGTTTCTTCGAAGTTCCTAAGAGTTCTGATATGTCTCTTGCTCTGGTGTTTCCAATGGAGTAGGAGTATAAACCATTAGGATAAAGAATTGTCCCCGCAGGATTATCAAATCCCAGAATTGGAACTCCTTGGCTGTCATATTTTGTCATTATGCAAACGTTGTGAGATATTCGCTAGGGACGGGAAATAATGTTTTTATCTTTTTCGTTCTGGGAAACAAAAGTGAGTTCCAAGAACACCGTCCGAGAGAAGCCTGGACCCAAAGAAATTCCTTTCTGGCACTTTGCAATGATTAAAATATATTAAACTGTTGCTTGAAATATGTGGTGTGTGTTAACTTAGCTAAAAGCAAAACAATAGGAAATAAAATGCAAGGGCTAACGCTTTTGCGAACGTCATTTTGTAGACCGAGTAAATGGTTCTGGTGCGAAGCGAATTAAGTAATTTCCTTAGTTTTACTTCTGAGGTCTCAAAGATCTGCTGGCTCTTACCGTTAAAACAGCAGAAAACTAAGGATTATTGGAAAAATTAATAGATTTACAAGCGAAATTGGAAGCCAATAAAACTCACAATAAAAATTGTTGCCAACAATTTTTATTGTGTACTTGTTCTATTCCCGTAAATAAATAAACTTCGTTAAGTCTCTTATCAAGGAAACTCTTAAGACTAGTGCATCCAAAATTGTACATGGACTGTTTTTCCGACCAGCAAAAAACTGCCGAATAAATAGTCTTTACGTTCCTGTATACCAAAAAATATATCCACGTCTGAAAGATGGTTTATAACCTTACGAAGATCGCTACACCATTTGATAACTTCAACCCCGAATCTCGTAGTGTTTTGGCAACATATACATGTGCAAAAAGATTCATACACCACATTACACAAAGAACATAATGGAAGCTTCACGTATACCGCAAACGTCAGGTTCAAGTTGAGAATTTCTCAAAATGGAAAATGAGCAGATAAAAACAGCTCAAAACAATTCTTTTCGATAAAAAGTCCTCGCTACATATATAAGACAAGGTATTGCGTACCCAGCTGTTAATCGTAGTACATATTGCATGGTGATCGGATTGATAAAAAAACTTCATTTTATATTATTGTTATGGTTGACACGAACTTCTCATTGGGCTCCTCGTAATTTTTATTTTTTTTGTGGAAGAACAACAGTTCATGGCTGGGAAAATTAAGCCGTTTCCAAATTTCAGTTTTGGGAGTAATCATCAGGTAGGCTTTAGTTCTCCACTTTTTTCGGGAAATAAACTAATTAAAGAGGGTAGCCAAATGGGGTTCAATCGTTGAAGGACATGCCTAGCTTCGCCGGCGAAGCAGCAAAAAGAACTTGGCCAATATTTAACTGAAATTTTAAATGATAGGTAAGAAATCGCCGAAAATATAACTCTTTACTAAAATCGAGCACCCCGCCGCCCCTGCCCAGACAGAACATACAGGCCCTACAGTACCAAAACACCGCGGCAAAACGTCTACGCATGCGCCAGGTTGAGCATTTCCGGTCTCTTTTTCAGTCACACTTTCCAGTCAAAGTCTCCCGCGCGCTTCATTGTGTGTGCAGCTTGTGGTTCAGTTGTTCTGCTTTATGCTGCTCGTGTTTTTGACTATTTTGTAGTTATTGAAATTGCTTTTATGGATAACTAGGCACAGATCACTGAAACAATTAGTCGATTAGATTCAGAAAAGGTAAGATGATAATAACTCAGCGTATAATTTTGGCTAGAGCGTCAGGTAAACTGATTTTCATTCACGAAAATAAAGTTTTTGACTGTTATTTTTCACTTAACCTGGCTGAAACTAAGACATAAAATAAAAACGTTATCATTGCAAGCTTGTGTATTGTAGTTCTAATTTTCAGTTCTTCAGTTTCTCAGTCTACATGTGTTAAAGCCGATTCAAACTTTATTTGGAAAACGACAACACACAATCGCTTTGTAGTTTTGTTTACCAGTGGGTTTTACCGTGTTTTAAAACGAAACTCTTCTGGGTTGATTGCCATGAAACATAAGCTTAATTATACTGTTGAGCCGGTTGGCAGCAAGTTGACAACTCTATTTATTTATTTTTTCATTCTCAGAATCAGAGAGCGAAAGCTGGTTCAGTGGCTTTTAGAAGTCGAACTTTTCATGCCATGTATTTAGCAGCTAGAAGTTTCGTGTTTGCAGCCGAGCCGCACAGTTTGAAATTATTGAAGTCTTCAACAAAAGGACAACCATGTAAAAGAATTAAATAGGCATTTTCTTGAATGAAAGTCATTTATAGGCATGTTTAGTTTCCCGGTGACTGCAGTCATCAAAGTCAAAGTTGTTATTAAATCCCGCCCATCTTTTGTTTTGAGTTCTTGTTTTCTCTGATAATGAAACAAATTATTGAACGGACTAAAATTTTATTTCCTGGTTTTAGTGTTTTTTATGATAATGATGACGTCTTTATTTTGGTTTCTTTCATAAGTATTGTTATTATTTTCTTAGTTGTCGCCTTCTCCTAAATTAACTTATGCCAAACCAGTAGCATGCAAGACCATGCAAGAAAGCCAGTAACTGACAAATTCGTCTTGTCGAGCGCTCGCGACCTGCAAACTTCAAACATCATTTTCACCGTTGGTGCAAACAGATAACCATGTGGTGCAAAAGTTTGAGAATAGAAAAGTATATAAGCTTTCGAATGAAGTGATTTTTTTGGCCCCCTTTTTTGTCTGTTTCGCCCTTTTTGCTTTTAAACTTGGCGCGACGGCAAAGTTATGCTTACGCTATTGGTTTATATACTAGACCAGAAATAAAAAGCTGACCGGATATTAAATTTTGTGCTCATGCGCATTGCGTTTTGCCGCGGTTGGTGTTTACAGTACCTATCTTTTTCTGGAACCCAGGCTTCTCACGGACGGTTTTCTCGGAATTACTTCCGTTTTGCCGAATGCGAAAAAGTTGTTTCTTGTTTCATCCGGTGACTGTATTAAGCAACTTCGACATGACTAAATATGACAGCCAAGGAGTTCCAATTTTGGGATTTCATAATCCTGCGGGGACAATTCTTTACCCCAACGGCCTTTACTCCTATTCTATCGGAAACACAAGAGCGAGAGATATCACAGAGATGTTAGGAACCTCGAAGAAACAACATTTAGACTTGCTGCTTTTAGCTTCCGGGGATGTTAGAAACGTTTTTTATACTGTGTCTGAAATTTCGCTAAGAAAAGCTAAGGAATGTCCTAAAAGTTTAAGTTTTCACTTAAATGACTATGATCCGTCGGTGGTCGCTCGAAATGCGATCTTGCTCGAAGTTGCCAGTTCGATAAATACCGATGTCTCAGATGATGTTGATTTCTTGTGGAACACCTGGTACAACATGACGCTTTCTGAAGCACATTTTGCCAGGCTGCAACGGATTCTTTCAGAACTGATCGACAAAGGTTTTGATAGCGACGAATTGACTGTCTTAAAGTTTCAAGATAGTGCTGTCCTTAAAGAGTGTCGTGATATTTGGAACGACTGGAAGAAGCTTGACCTTAACGTAAACAGTGTCAAAGAAGAAAGGAGCAAGTTTATAGAGAACGATAGGCAAAGAAAAGGCTTCACAATGGAAAATCAATGCCTTGGTGTTGTAACGAAAATGGAAATAGGAATTACAGCGCGTGAAGACGGAGACGAAGATGTCTTATCGCCAGAAAGGATGTTTTCAATTCAGTTTAACCCGGAAATAAAGCATTGGTTCATGGAGGGGTCCACGAGCGATGACTCGAATAAAGTGAACCCAACCTTGATTCGCCCATTTGTTCACAAGTGGAAGCAGCATTATGGAGCGTGTGCCTTTGATGGTTACCTGCCATTTGACAAGTGAGTACCAAATCCTCCATTTCTCCCGTTTTCTCGTGCCTGGCCAGGGTCTTCTGGAATAAAACGAGTGAAACACGCGAGTGCGCGAGACACGTGGGTAACGTGCGTCGCGTCAAGAGGGGCGATTTTCTGTACATTTGCGCGTTCCACTCGCTCAGGTATCTCTACATTCGTTTTCAAAGTTTGTATTTAGGCCGGGAAAGAAAAATGTAAGTTATATCACAAAACCATTTGTTCCAATTACAAAGCCTAGTTTGGGCGCGATCCATTCAACCAAAATTCCAACCGGTCCGACGGGGAAAAGTGGTCCATCTCAAAAGATGGACCCGTTTTTCCGAAACTTTTCCGGTTGGACCGAACCGATTTTTGGTTCAATGGATCGCGCCCAAACACCAATCCAGTATTCCCACGGACGGGTCGGACGTTGCTGGAATAGAGACGAGAAGTGTGACGTCACGTTACCACGGTAGCACTATTTCTGAATGACAACAAAACCAACGACGACAGCGACGGCAGGGAGAACGGCAAAAAAATAAAATGTTTATATTTACAAACAACAAATTTGCACGTGAATCACGCTATTTTGTACATTTGTTTGCCGTCGTTGCACCACTACGACATGAAATTTCCTAATTTCACGAGCCCCGCTTTATGGAGTAGGTGAACACAGCACAAAAATTGTCGTTTTCTTTTTCTAAACTTAGATAACAATAGATACGATCCCAAAGAAAATTTCGCCAAGATTTGGCAAAGTAAATAAAATTTATTTGGTCGGTGAAGTTTGAAATAGTGCGAATAGACTTTAAAGTGATTTTATCGGTTTGTTGTCTTCCAAAAATTTTGCTACCATGGCAACGTGACGTAAGGACTTCTCCTCTCGTAGCCTTGCTAAAAAAGCCTTCTCTCTCGCTCCGCGCAAAACGTCCCCGTTTTCACACGCTACTGCTGGAAGGTTTCAGTTGGTATTTGATCGAGGTGTGCATTTTAACAAACACGAGAAATCGGAATAGTGTATGCTTTTTCCTGATCCACCATACATTTAACTGTTACTGTCTGAGAATTTCAGTAAATGATATCCGAAAACGTTTGGGTACCCTGAACGGAGAAGTCGCCTGTACATTATCACTGATCTGCATCAGGAGTTCCTTGCTGCAGTACTGAATGATGTAAAATGCAGTGAATGTTTTTTTTTTGCTTGCGTTTCTAGTTTAAAGTTGATCGTTCTTTTGCAGACAAGACCTGCTTCGATGCAAAACGTTAACAGATGCCTGTAAAGAAAGCTTAAAATTTCAAGTAAAATGCTACCAAAACTATAAAAAGAGTCACTCATTGAAGGTAAGATTTGTCTATCCGAAATACTGGGCAATAAAATTACCATCACGAGTGATTTAGCTGTCTGATCAGCCTTTCATAATAATAAAATCTTCAGGACACCATAACAAGAAATTTGTTGCTAGAAAATATACAAACATGTATCTTAAGTAAAGTTTTACTGTCAAACTCACTAAAACAATTAGGCGCCGTCCACACGTATACGGATATTTTGAATCCACAACTTTTTCTTTCCGAATTCAAAAATTTCCACGTCCACACCGGATTCCGGCAAATCGAATACTTATGTGGCAAGTATCCGGATTCACTCTTCTAGTACCCAAAATCCCCTAGTACCCAAATTCCGAAAACGAATTCATGAGAATAAATTTAAATCCGGATTTTTAGGATTTATGAGCCGTGCGTTTTTAAAGCGGGCATGGATCCGAGAAAATTTCGTCAAAAATATAAGATTCGCAGATTCGTTCCCGTTTTAGCAACGGCGATGGCAGCAAAAAAAAACACAGTTAAGACGAATTCGCGATTTTTCAAGTAGCGATTGCTCCGGCTTGCTTAAGAAATCAAACTTAGTTTAATTTTTCTGAAGATGGATAATAAAATATTTACAATATTTACAATATTCTTCTGGCCGCACCAAAGTTATAGAAAGGGCTGAGAGAAAATTTCATCTTTACGTCATCAGTGTGTTTGCGTCCTTTATTAACACAGGCTTTCTTTTTTAAAACTGGGGAAGTTGCGTAGGTAGGTAGATAGGTAGGTAGATTTTTTATTTAAAACTCAGTAAAATCTTCAGTAATAATAGAGTAAAAATCTAATCACAATTAATTAGACTAAAAACTATCGACATACTGTTTTACAAGACAGCCGAGTGAGAGTCCGACGACTCAAATACATGTTTGATTTGCTCTTTAAATTTCCTGACTGATTTAGTTTCTCTCACATTTTCGGGTAAAGAGTTCCACAACAAAGCACCGCTGTAACTGAAACTTCGTTTCAAGTAGTTAGTACGCGGCCTGGGCAACGTCAATTTATGAAAGGAATTGCGCAAATCATAGTCTGTGCTTCGTTCGTGAAATAGGTTCTGCAAGTACACTGGAGCTTGTTCATTTAGAGATTTAAACATCATTATTGCTTTATGCTTCTTTCTCCTTATAACTAATTTGTCCCATTTGAGTATATCAAGAAGCAGGCTCGAGCTAGTCCCATAGTTGGCCTTTAAAATTACTCTAGCTGCACGGTTCTGTAACTTTTGTAATTTGTCACTCAGTTGATCACTTAAGCCATCCCAAACAAGGCTACAGTAATCAAAGTGAGGTTGAATTAAGGAGTTATAGACTAGTACCGCAGTAGATTGGGAGATAAGGGGCCTAATACGTCTAAGGGCACCTATAGCCGAAGTTACCTTCTTACACAATTCGTTAACGTGATTAGACCAGGAAAGCCGATTGTCAATAATGAAACCTAATGATTTTGCGTGATCAACATTGCTGATAACTTGGTCTTCTAGTTTGATGTTTATTTCGTTATGGCTTTCCGCGAGAAGCTTCTGGCGAGAGCCAATAACCATAAACTCGGTTTTCGCAACATTAAGACTAAGCTTATTGGCTTTTAGCCAACAGTGAAGGTTCAGTAGTTCTAAGTTAGTCTCTTGTTCAAGGTCAGCTAGAGAGGAACCAGAAATGGTAATAGGCGTAGTAACTGCGATTATCTTCTTTGCGTTTTCTTCTTTATTCTGCTGTTCCAATATATAAAATTCATATATCCATATTTCATTAGCAAGTGTGCTTTTCAAAAGCCAATGAAAACAGACGTTTTCTGCGTGACTCGAGACCTGTTAGACTCGCTACAAGTCGACCTTTTGGCGAGCGGAGCGAGCCTTTTTAGGCGGCGAAACGGCTGACCGAGCGACGAAGTCGCGAGAGGTCGTCCATCGTCCCGCGCCATATTATTAAGAAATGTTGGGTATGCAAAGGCAAATTCCTTCGTATTCGTAAAGCTTTTGTGCAACTACGGCGAAGAAAAATGTGATACACGAGCAAAGTTGTTTCGCGTATTAAATCTTTTCTTTTTTGACTTCTCGTTGCTGTCGCCTTCGTCGTTGCTTAAACTCTGCAAAAGAAATCGTGAGCCAGATTTGTTACGTTTTTTGGTTCTGTTCCGTCTTTGTTTAAAGGTTAGCTTGTGGACTGGCGATGCTCTTTCTCTGTGTGCAAATGGTTTCCCTCCAGACCTTGCATTTGATGTCATTGACACCAGTAATGTTGGTGACCATATTGGCCTACTCAATGTCCTCGTTTGTTGTGCACCAAGGCTGAAAGAGTAAGTTCAATGCTCCATTATTTAGCTAACTGTTTCCATTTTCTGCTTGTTGGCCTCCACCATTCATCTCTTTGATCGATGGGTCAACCTTGCCATTCGATGCTTCTGTTACAAGGTTTTGTCCAGGTAGGAGAGTTGACCCTAAGCAAAAAGGTTTCTGGGAAACTGCCCTAAGTGAGAATTAAGTGTTAATGTTGGCTTAGGGGATGGGTGGGTGGACAGTTTCCCGGAAACGTATAATGATCAAGCAAACCTATTTAAATTCTGGAAAGGAGGAAATCCAAATTAGTCTGTACTCTACCCTTTGGCCTGTCTAGCATGGTTGATTCTACCAGGAGCTAGTGCCCCTGCTAGCATAGCCCTCCAGGTTGCTGTGTAGCACGCACACCACCACACAAGATCACACAACGACAAGTAATTGACAATGCGGACCATAACATGCAGACCATGGAAAAATAGCGCGGATAAATATATCGTAATCGGGTAATTTATGATCACACAACTGGTTTTAGTAGTGAAAAATGTTTTGCTATGTTCAATTTCCAGACCAAACACATCACTTTTGTACACCTCAAGCATTTTATGGGAAAAAAGCTGTCAAAGTATTGAGGACTTTTACAACAAATCAATTGGTGTTCCAGTGCAACTTCTTCCTACTATTCTTGGTTTGAAGCTGGCTGTTAATCTAGATCTTGGTAGCAGGTACTAACGTTTGTTTTAGATCGTTTTCGGCAGTGCCATAAGATGTTTTCATAGTCAATGCCAACTGGAGTATTGTACAATTTTTATGGGTTTATATTTTCCTCCTATTGCACCCCAGGGAATATTTAAGGTGCAGGGCTCCATCATTATAAGGGCGCAGCGAACTATGACTACGAACTTTTTGTCATAAATGTTTTCGGTTTTAACGCGATGGCTACAAAAGTTTGAGAAGAACTTCAGCCATCACCAGCTATCATATCATCATGCAGCCATCGTGAAAGTCCAGCTGTTTTGTTTTTGAAGATAAACTGATAGACCTCTTCGCTTATGTCAAATATGTAGTTATGTTTGGGTTCTTTCGATTGGGAAATCCTATAGTTTTGGAAATCAGGGATTTTTGCGCAGGCAAGAAATTCGTCACATGCATGATGCATTTTATGAATTTCTTTCAAAAACTAAGGTGAAAAAGGTCCATTTATAGATTTTATTGGCAGAGGCTATGCGCGGAGTTCCTTTTTAAGAATCTCATCCAAACAACTATTTCTCAATGGGAAGAACCCTTAAATCTGATTAGCTTTTGCTCTTTCTGTAGTAAACTGCCGGGCAGCTTGGAGTCCAACGAGGAGATTCTCTTGTGGGTAAAAGCGGAGCCTAAGAGGACCTTGCTGACAATAGGTTAAGTTACATCACCGAAGAGAAATGCTGTTTGTTGGCCTAGTGTTTAAACAAATTCCTAGATCAGGAAAACACCAAAGCCTACTTATACACCTCTATTGCGACTGAGCTCAAGTTCTTTACAAGTTTTTTTTTCTCTTTTTTCACGGGATAGAAGGCTGTAAAATCCCGGATATCTTTTCCGAAAAGCCTCGATTTTGCTATAGAACTTCAAAGAAAAAATAAGAAAGTTATCAGCTGTTCTTGCAACCAACAACCGGTTGACCAGCCACCATTAGTTGACCAGCAGCAACAGTGGCCGGCCGTCTTGACGATCCGCTCATCGAAGTTAAGGAAGGTGTTCAAAGGAGAGTAGCGCTAGCATTAACTCGAAAGGTATCGTCGATGCATTGATAAAAAACTTTCAAGTTTAAAAGGCTTTAAAAACGCTTTCCGTGGAACGCAAATTGTCACCATTCTTTGTACGAAGTTTTAGTGCAACAATCACTTAAAGAATCGTTGTATATATCGTGAATATGAAATTGTTTGCCAAATAGAATACACAGTAATTTTTCTTTACGCTTACAATCACAGATGAAAATGGTGATGTTGCTCAGGCCTTCCTTCGCCTTGCTGAACGGTGCTTCAACTTATTTAATGAACCTGATAGTAAAGATGGAATAACGTTGTCTTCGCCGCTGACTTTCCTCAGAATTGTCCGTCAAATACAACCTCTGGTCAGGGGCGGAGGTAAGGCAGACAGTGGTGTCACGCTGCTCTAGCTTTCCATGCAGACGTTCTCAAGGAACGAGCGTCAAATCCCTAAGAACGTAAGCCTGTGAAAGCAGACGCCTTTCTCGGCTCTTGTTTCACCCGCCGAGAAAGTGAAGTCTCCTTAATCTTCCTCCATGCATTTTGTTCCCCGCGTATAGCGAGATCTTCGCGCAAACCCCACGCGTGTCACCCCCACAAAATAGATAAGAGCCGAATTAAGTTTCTAAGAGAAGAACGCACCGACAACAGTACTGACAATTCACTGTTACCCGTCAATATATATTCCAGTGACTTTTACCTCATTTCATGTTGGAAATTCCATAAAAGTAATTTCTTTTTAGTTGTGCTCTATCTCGGCTGATATCAAATCACAAAATGGACGCCCAATGAACAAGAAATAAATGTTAATTGTTTCTTTTGCAAACGCGGTGTGTATTTTTTCCTTAGCCACAGCCCTCCTCAATCTTCTTGAAAGTAAGCTACCCTCTGACTTCAACAAAAAGTTTGGCCTCTCGTGGAATTTGGTAAAAGCCTCAGTAGGAAGTGAACGAGGTAGGAGAAAATTTCACATTGTTTTCTCAAGGATACACCACCACGTTTTTTTTTCAGTGACATTACCATTGAAAATACCAGAGCGTAATTTATCGGTATATTCTCTCTTCCCCTCAGAGCCTATTGTTGAAATAAAAGTATCGACCCCAATATCCGTCGTCGTTCCTCGGTTTAAAGGAACGCTTAATCTGATGGCTTGCATTGCTAACCACAAACCGTTCGAAGAGGGAGAGTTTCCTACAAATGCCTTGGTAAATATATTTCTATTTATTTAACAATATACCCTCATGGGGACCTCTTTTTGATCGGGAAGTCATTAGCTCGAGTTTCAGTGTAATGATTTCACGGCAGCTGTAGCAAAAATTGATGCTCGAATAGTCAACGGAAGAGAGAACGCAAAATAACTGGTATCTGTGGTTTTTTTGTACAGTATTTTTCGCCATCACCCGCATAGTACTTTTGTAATAAAGTTGTTGTGGTTACATTTAAACCTTCTCTTCGTTATCATAGGATTTTTTATTTGGTGCACATTTACCTTTGGAAGATACCGACTATTCACTAATTTACAACAGCGTACGATATGACGACACCGCTCAAATGGTGACGTTCCATCTGCGAGAAAAGGACTGGAACGACCTTAAGTCGACTTCCTGCATGTGGATTGCCTCCAATGACCATGTTCGGATTCCATTCATAAAACAAAAGAAGGTTTTTCTCGGGAGTGAAAGTGTTAAGGCCGTTGAACAGGTTGACCCTGAAGAGAAATTTGGTTTGTTCGCTGTGCAGACGTTTGAGGTTAAATCGTCCAGCGATTGTGAAATTCTAAAGGTACGTTCTGGCTATCAATACTGGTGTTAAAATTGCTGTCTACCGATAACTGCACTATGTAAACGCACAAGAATTAAATGTACTCTAGTAAACAACTAAACAGAACCTGCCACCATTTAAATTAAGCCCAAAATATGTCTAATTACTTGACCCAGGAGAGAAAACTGATTCTGAGACAAATTACAGCTAGTTAAAATTCTATTAGGTTACACAATATGGACTCAAGAAGCAGGCTAAGAAAAACGCTGATATATAAGTGCTATCATTACAGTTATGGAATATTTTGTCATTAGAACAGTTGTTTGCCATTATATAGTTCTAATACTGAGGTACCGAAAACTGACCTACATTAGCTGAAAATAGTTGCAAGTTAGTGAGACTACCCAAGCTGTTGACGAACATGTACCACTGGCCTTCGTTTTTTAATTTTTTTTAAAGAAGGATTTCAAACAAAATTAATCTGTCTGTTCTATATAGGTTTTGAAGGTCCAGGAAAACACTTCTTCATACAGCGCAGAGCTTAAAATTTTGGATGCGATCAAATGTAAAGGAAAGGAGATGAAGACTAGATTTCTTCCAGACATTTGTCCGAATAAAGTTGCAATATACTTCCAAGGAGCCGAAAGGTGGGATACGTACCTCCTTCCGATAATAGAAGGTTCTTGTGAACTTGAAAATACCCTGCGTAGGTGGCGGCATTGTTGTAACCGGGATACTCTTTTTCTTGACTTTCTCCCAACCCTCTCGAGGCTACGCCGCCAAAAAATAACCTACAACATCCCGCCAGCAACGCAACTTAGCGTGAAAAGTGATGAAAATAGGGTAGGTGGCTAAAATTAGAATCCTCAGAATCAGGCAGGTAATTCTTCGTTTAATTCCGGCGGGCAGTCACGGATTGTTGTAGAGAAAAATACCACTTGTTAGTAGTCATTACGAGAAAAGGGCAATTCATGGTTCATAATGCATTTAGTTTAGTTTTAAAAATTTTCACATGTCAATGTATTATAGTGAATTAATTAACGTGATGTGCGTAACTATTTTATAAATAAAATTCTTGGCTCAGAGTTGTAATGGTCAATAGCAAGACGTCATTACTATTTATGCCTGTGTGGCTCTCTCTTAAGTTCCTTTAGTTAATTATTTAAAAAGATCTAAACGGGTGAGCTGAGCAATTATTTGAAAATGTCAAACTATGTTAATGGCTCTTTCATAGGGAAGAATGCATCATCCACTTTTCTTGTGTTGTCGAAAAGAATTCATCAAACTTCCGGATTTCGCGTAAGCAAGGAAAAATAGAATGCCACATTCCAAAAAGAGAGGAAGGAACCGTGGGTGAACTGGTGATACAATGTCCAGCGCCAATTCCATTTCACGTCATGCCATTATGGGATATAGAACGGAGAGACTTACTTGTACAGTAAGTACATCTGTTGCCTTACTTAAGGTTATCCGAAAGAGTTAATGATTTTGGACTCCATGTCCGTGGATTCCGGATTTTACTAGCGTCTGCATCCCAGATTTTATTTTCTAGCTTAAAGCATTTTCGTCGCATTGTTTATACAACTTTTCGTTTAAGGGTCTTCTTCAGCAACAGTGACGTTTTAGAGTGCCTGAAAAATTGCAGTTTGAATAACGTAAGCCAAAGGTCTCCATTGATGCTTTTTTTAAAAACCGTTTCCACCGAAACCTCTGTCTCTTTATTAACTGTTTCTCAGTTAGTCACTGCTTTATTTACTTAATTTAGTGAAAATGCTTAAAGGTTTGGCCAATTCACCGGCAATCAACAATATAAAAATGTTTTAGTGTCTACTTATGAAAACTGCTTATTCCAGGGTATTTTAATAAAGCAGAATTTTACGAAAAGCCAAGATGGTGGCCAAAGTGGATGACGTAAAAGGTGCCCAACCTCGTCAAATCTCGTAATATTGACAACACAGCAGAGGCCCAAAGGGCAGTGAAAAAGGGGCTGAAAAAATCCCTCGTTATATACTATCGCCGCGGTATACTCGGGGTTAAAATGATTGATTTTGGGTAACACGGGACACCCATTTATACCTCAAGTAATCACTTTTCGATTGTCTATGCGTCCTCAGTTTCCAACAAAATGTTATGTGAATGTTAACTCACCACACCAAGTCATCAGACACTATACATGAAAGATACCTCCTTTTCTTCTCTTTTTGATTTATTTGACTTTTGATCTTCATTGCAGATTATGCGGCATAATGTTTCGGACCAAGCAAGATTTGGAGCTGAAGTCTCGAAATTCGGGTGGTCCACCATTTTTTGACCTGAGAGAGAGCATTGCAAGAATTCTATATGGGCACATACAAGACCCAAAGGTTCGACAAGAAGAATTGCATGCCGTGTATTTTTGTTGAAGTTAATTGGTTTATTATAAATTACATGGTTGGTTCAGTGAGCGGTTAGGGACGAATCCTGTGATTCTACTGGCTACCCGAGCGGTCACAGCTGGTCACGATTAGCCGCCACCCGACAATAAAAGAATTCTAAGCCATTTCAGTAAGAAAACCTTTCTGGTACGTCCAAGATAGCTGGATAATGGCCTCATTTTTTTTCTTCACCATCGCTTAGTATACGAGATAAATACTTTTTTTACTTAAACTCGGCCATCAAAGCATTGATGCTGCTGTTATTCGCCACTATTTTTAAAACAGCTACTTTGTATAGACTTTTTCTGTGCACTTTCTTGACTTTATAACAATAATTTTTTACTAAGGTCGACGTGAAGGATGGTATCTTGTGAAATCCAGAAAAGACACGCTTAGGTTTATCGTTCTTCACATGAGACCAAGCTTTGACTTTAAAAAGGGGACACGTACCTCAATAACCGATCAAAGCGCATGAAATTTACTGCCTTTTATACCAAAAAATAGCTTTTTTTGTTTTTATTAGCATCCTACAATATATTGCCTTGATGAACGTGAGATCATTGAAGAGCCATATCAGACACCAAACGACTTTGCAAGGAAAAGAGGATTTATCATCAAAGTGCTGGGATTGTACAAATGGAACAACGTGCCTGTTGCTAAAGTACTCTTCTATGACTGCGAAAAGTATGCCTCCCAGATTCTTGATGAAAAGACATTTCCGCCAGTATGGGGCTTCTGGCCTCTAACTGATCCACCTAAAGTGGAACGCATTCCTGCTGATAAGCAGGTAGGTGGGTTGTAATATATCATTGAGAGCACGATTGGGAATGGCATGGATGATACGTCTTAAGGTCGTGGGAGATCTCCTAACCCTTGCAATAAGTAAGCAGGGTTAGGAGATATGATGTAGCAAGTTCGTCCTTTCGTATGAATGGCGTTCCCGGGACGCACGTGCCATAGAGGACTTCATATTAGTCTGTACACGGAAGTTGTTTTATTTTTCTTTTCGTTATTTTCGAAAACATCGGCGAGCGCGGAGCGCGAGAGAGAAACCACTACGGACTTTGAAGGGAATTTGAGGGTCTCTGAACAGGCTGACTGATGTAGCAAGTTCGTGCTTTCGTATTAAATTGCGTTCCCGTGACGCACGTGTCATAGAAGACTCCATATTATAAAATTGTCAACCTCGTCACCAGATTTTTTCCCTCACATTTCTAACGGAAAAGCCCTGGGACGAATTTGGAAGATAGTAACAAGTTACTTATTTCCAACAAATCGTGTCTAACTGTAGTCTTCCTCGCAGCCGTTCAACGCTCCCCAATAAAAGAAAAGGCCCGGAACTGCTCGATCCGGCGTATGCGTAGACGTTTTTCCTTGGGCCAAGGGAAGGGTTTCGTTCTTCCAAAGGTACCTTGCGCCTTTCGAAAATTCGTTTCCGAGCTTGCTCCTCTTTCCGCCTGAGTATAAGGCAGAACTGACTGTGGTTACTGACTCCCACGCGTTTAACCGCGCATATTTTCGCTTTGGTTTTTAATTGGCCATGGATCCCATCGTAAGCTCAGTCTGTTATTATGGGCCAGAATACTCTGATCGATTTTGCTCTCACGAATGGCAGATAAACACGGCTTTGATACATTTTAACATTGATTCAACAGGAGAAGAGCTTGCTTCGTAAACTTCTGTACACAAATGCTGCAAGAGTTACTCAAGATAATGATTTTTATGCGTGGAAGGATTCATTTCTTTGCCTTTTATTTCCCAGAGAACGTTCCCCATTGTCGGGTAAGTTTATTCACTATCACTACTAACCTCGTTCCCAGGGTTCTTTCTCTTGCTTATCGGGATCGAGATTATATCACTACAGAACCATATGCTTCTGATCACTATCTTCTCATTTCCATTGTTCCTGTGACGATATCGACGTTCTCTATGTAACGTCTTTCATACAACAGTGCGATTTCAGCCCCCAAAAAGGGAATAAACCAAATGACGTTAACTAAGAGTTTTTAAGACATTTTACCATTATAAGAGGCAATTTTTTTTATTATTTAGGACAATTTTTTGTTTATCATGTATGATTAAAAATTGTTATTCAAAGGAAAAATAATCAGTGTCTGACACGGCCGACGTTGTTTGTGCCATCTCAAATCTGTGAAGCAAAACTCGACTATTTTCCCCTACTGAGAAGTGATAAAACTGACGCCAAAAGCATGTTAACCTCCGAGATTTCTAATCGGCAACTCTTTTTGCACTTCCTTTGGAAATGTCCTTTCTTTAAATCTGTTTGGAATGTTATTGGTAACTGGATGAAAAAGATCTCTTGCTTCCTTAACCAGGATTTCTTATTTCTTTCTTGCCCAGGCTTCCTGAAAGATGCTACAAACCTGCTATTTCATCATTTACTTTTAGTAATGTTTCACTATTACAGCGTTATTTACTTCGTGCTGTTCAACTTATAATATTTAAACTTGTGTTATTCAAAGAAAAATATTTTTGTGTTCGGTCATATCTAATGGAACTTTTTCTAATTCTGATTCTATTTCTAATGTCACAGAAAAGGAGGACAAGGAAAGGGATAATTTTCTTTTGTCTCTAAATGCAAGATCAACTACACCAGAGTCTCTTCAAGATAATCCTTTTGAGCTCCCAACAAACTTGTCGCGCAGTGGACAAATGGGCCCCCGGTTTACCGGGCATGATCGTGCCTCCGACTGTAACCCTCCTCAGGGGACAGCTTCTGTCAAAGTGCTAAAATGTGCCTTTTGTCAAACACATAAAAGCGATTTAAAGAGATGTTTGGGCTGTGAGAAAGTATCGTATTGCGGCAAGAAGTGTCAGACCCAGCACTGGAAAGTTCACAAGCCGGAATGTCGACAAGCACGCAATAAGGATACCAGATCCGACAATCGCCCTTAAAGGAAGAAAACAGCAGCCTAGTATAGTCCCAAAGTCCGTAGGCGTTCTCGGCGCGGTCAATCCTTGACTCTACCAAGACTTCGCGCGGACAACGGGTAAAGAGAGAACGCCTAGGGACTAGGCTGAGGAAACATTATTTTATTAATTGATACAGACGTACGTAATTATCAAGAAAAAAATCAATTGACGATTACCTATTAGGCGACCCAACCTCTCTGGCGAGAATCACACACACTCGAACAATCAAACTCGCAAAACGTTCTCATTTTGTGATGAAAATGATCACTGTCAATTCCTCCTAATTACGTGCTTTTTAAACAATTTTCGTGAATAGATAAAAATAAGTTTGAAAAATGTAGCATACAACCTCTAGCATACCCTGCGAGCAGAGATTTCTCTTTTGCATTCTGCTTTTACCGTCTACGAAGTCGTTCGCGTCGCTTGTCTGCCGCGTAGTTGGTTTGTTTTATCCGCCCAGGGAGAAAACAAACCAAGCGACGCCAACGACTTCGTAAACGCTAAGGCCCTGCTCGAAGGAAACCTCTAACGCCAAGATGGGTAAGATATTTAGTTCACTTAAAACTGAGGGTGTATTCTTATTTCGAGATATTAGAGGATAGGATTAGCTATGACGGTAGTTACTTTTCTAACTTGCAATGGGTTAGTATTTCCTTCCATGAATTGAATCCTTGATATTTTAAAAGTGATATTTGCTTGATCCAGTTGTAAAACAAAACCCAAGCTGAGCACCTCAGCCAATCACAACAGTCTTAAACAATATCCAAGGACTGAAGTAGTCACCACACGAAGCAAGCAGATTTAGATCACGGTTGGTCCTCTGATGACTAGGTCGCGCGGAGACTGGAAATCGGACTAAGGGTAGCCGTTAACATGAAGCGTCCGATTTGTTTATCATGATGTTATGAACTTCTCATGCCCATTAAACATTCACGTATAATTAATGTAAGTTGTAGAGGGAGAAATTTATGATGCTAACGGATGGCATGTCAAATTAATATGTAAAATAAACGTTAAAAGGCAAATCCGCTTAAATCATTAATAAGAGAAAGCAGCACTGAAATCATGGGTTCTAGCATTTGCTCGAAATTTCGAAAGTGGAGAAAAAATCTGGGGTCGAAAAAAGGAAAGGATCAGGAAGAGAATACCATTTTGAAAGTTAACGCAGAAACTACTACAGATGAAAAACCCGCACCTAACAAACTGAGGGAGATAATTCGACAAGAAGACGATGAATTAAAAGTCGTCCCGTATACTACATTAGAGTTAGAGGAGTTGATAGTTGATCTCGAAAAACAGCTTCAAGAACTTTGGTGCAACAAACCCGAAAGAGAAAAACTTTTTTTAGACTTAGGACATGCGTACTACAAATTATGCAAGTTTGAAACTGCAAAATATTACTACGAGCAGTATATTTTAATCTTGTGAAACGCAAAGGCTCTTTAATTCATTTACAAAGAGCTTACTGTAATCTGGGATGCGTTTACAGAAGACTTGGGAACTTTGACAAAGCGGCGGAGTTTTTAGAGAGTGGTTTAGCTATCGCTGAGGAACTTCAAGATTTAAGAGCCCAAGGAAGGCTTTATAATAACCTTGGAAATGTCTGCGAGATGCAGAAGGATTTTGAAAGCGCCATATACTATCACTCAAAAAGACGGAAGATGGCTGAGGCATTAGGGTATTTCCGGTTTCGGTGAATGGCCCAGAGAAGAATTCCATGTGAATAGCAGGCATTCTAACGACAGGTATGACATATTTGTTAGCTGCCTTTGATGCATGTTTCTTGAGTTGTAGTTCTCTCCTCTTTTACTTATTATCTGAGAAAGAAAAACAGTGCATTTCGGCAAGGCATCGAGTCCACTTGACTTGAGATATCCTCAGATTGAGGTAAGACATTTGATAGACACTGCTCTGACGAACACTACCCATACTTAAAGATCAAATTTGTCATAACAAATTCTTGTACACGGAAAATGTTCCTCCACCTTATTCACCGTGTTTAGTAGCAACTGCTGTTTCGACAACCTTTCCTGCAAGCAGAAACCTAGACTTACCCCACAGACTTTCAGAAAAGCTTGCGGGAACATTCCTTTATCTAACGGATGATTGTTAATGTTTGCTTGGTTATTTTATTTTTTCAGTATAGTAAACATTACTTTGCTTAAGGTTTTCGTGTAATGTAATTGAGTTTCTTGTCATTTTATTTCTCCTTTTGCAGTACCGAAGGATACGAATACGGACCGCTTTAACTAGAACTCTTAGATTCCTCTGTAAAGTCGGAGAAAGTGGGTTTTATTTTGACTGGTCTGTACAAGATAATACCTGGCTATGGAGTGTGCTTGAATTGTCATACCCTTTGGTGGTAAACGACTTCGAGGTTCTTGATGGCGGGGAATAGACTAGACCAGGCGGCGTGAAAATAGAATCTGTGAGACAAAGATCCTTCGCCAGAGACAGCTGACGGAAAAAGGGTTCATATAAATGGCAGGAAAATGGAAGTTGTGAGGGAAGGACATATGACGAGACACGTGTGGAAACCCGTGAAGGAAAAGAGGTGCAGAACGCTATGATGGAACGTTTATCCGCCCCCTTGACACGTTTTCGGAAACGACTGAAAACTTGACGGTTGAGGTTCACGATGGCAAGAAAAAGCCGTTCTGTTGCACCCAGTCAGGGTCAGAAACAGCTAAACGTTAATCAGGGTGCATTGCATTTTGTGTCTTTAAAAAAATAGAGACTTCGTTCCAGTTTTGTGGCGATAATTGAGTCGAAACCCTAGAAGTTACTAGGCTATACATAACTGAAAGTTGTTCGCTTCACTTAATGGTGAGGCAAAGGTGAAAAACAGCTTCAGTTAGAAGTGATTTAGATTTATGACATTTATGGCCCAGAGCGGGAGGCAACTGGAGGCAACATGGCAAGAAATAACATGGAAAAAGAGGAAAAGCTGTGATTTTGAACAAACTTTTGGGCAAATCGTCTTTATAAGAGTAAAGACACTTAGCCGTACAAATTTGGTGGCGTCGAGGCATATTAAAAGAGAAAAAAGCTCATTTTCGGTTGAAGTGTGTTTCTATAATAAACGTATAGCACACACTGACACAACTCACCCATTACAGAAACAAAGACAGTCCCATTAAACAGTATTTATCGACGGTTGTGTGCCAAGTATCAACAATTTGTATTGTGTACTTGTCGTATTCCCGTAAATGAATAAACTTCGTTAAGTCTCTACCAAGGAAACTCTTCAGACCAGTACATCTAAAATTATTCATGTACTGTTTTCCGACCAGCAAAAAATTGCCGAATAAATAGTCTTTACGTTCCTGTATATCAAAAAATATATCCACGTCTGAAAGATGGTTTATAACCTTACGAAGATCGCTACTCCATTTGATAACCGCAGCCCCGAATCTCGCAGTGTTTTGGCAACATACACATATCCGGAACATTCATATGCCACATTACACATAAAGGTGATGAAACAGCCATTTTGTTAACTCGAGCCTCGCTACATATGTTAGACAATTTATTGCGTACCCAGCTGTTGATCGGTAGTACACATTGCATGGTGATCGGATTGATGAAAAATTATTGTTATGGTTGACACGAGCTTCTCATTGGGCTCCTAATATTTTTATTTTTTGGTGGAAGAACAACAGTTCATGACTGGGAAAATTAAGCCGTTTCCGAATTTCAGTTTTGGGGGTAATCAGGGATGGCGGAGCATCAACAGTAGGCTTTAGGTCTCCACTTTTTCCGGAAATAACGACTTATTAAACGAAAGAGGGTAGCAAAATGGGGTTCAAGGACATGTCTGGCCCTCGCCAGCGAAGCAGCAAAAGGAGCTTGGCCAATATTTAACTGAAATTTTAACTGATAGCTAAGAAATAACGAAAATATAACTCTTTACTAAAATCGAACAGTATCCCCCTCCCCGCCCCGCTCCCGCTGCCCATACAGAATATACACACCCTCCAGTCCCTCCAGTAACCTTCCAGCCGTCCATTTTTTTTCTCGAACCCAGGCTTCTCACGGACGGTTTTCTTGGAATTACTTTCGTTTCGCTGAAAGCAAACAACTTTTTTCTTGAATCAGAAGGTGTGTATTAAACTACTTCGACATGACTAAATATGACAGCCAAGGAGTCCCAATTTTGGGATTTTATAATCCTGCGGGGACAGTTCTTTACCCCCACGGCCTTTACTCCTATTCCATTGGAAACACAAGAGCGAGAGATATCACAGAGCTGTTAGGAACTTCGAAGAAACAACATTTAGACTTGCTGCTTTTAGCCTCGGGGGATGTTAGAAACGTTTTATATACTGTGTCTGAAATTTCCCTAAGAAAAGCTCAGGAATGTCCTAAAAGTTTAAGTTTTCACTTAAATGACTACGATCCGTCGGTAGTCGCTCGAAATGCGATCTTGCTCGAAGTTGCCAGTTCGATAAATACTGATGTCGCAGATGATGTTGACTTCTTGTGGAACACCTGGTACAACATGACGCTTTCTGAAGCACATTTTGCCAGGCTGCAACGGATTCTTTCAGAAATGATCGACAAAGGTTTTGATAGCAACGAATGGACTGTCTTAAACTTTCAAGATGGTGCTGTCTTTAAAGAGTGTCGTGACATTTGGAATGACTGGATTAAGCTTGACCTTAACGTAAAAAGTGTCAAAGAAGAAAGGAGCAAGTTTATAGAGAAAGATAGACAAAGAATACGCTTTACAATAGAAAATCAATGCGTTTGTGTCGTATCGAAAATGGAAATAGGAATTGAATATGAAGACGGAGACGAAGATGCCGAAGATGTCTCATCGCCAGAAAGGACGTTTTCAAGCCAGTTTAAGCCGGAAATAAAGCATTGGTTCATGGAGGGGTCCACGAGCGGTGATTCGAATAAAGTGAACCCGACCTTGATTCGCCCATTTGTTCACAAGTGGCAGCAGCATTATGGAGCGTGTGCCTTTGATGGTTACCTTCCAATTGACAAGTGAGTACCGAATTCTCGATTTCTTCCGTTTTCTAGTGCTCGCCATGGTCTTCTACAATAGCGAGCTTAAGCAACAACGACGGCGACGACTACCAAAACGTCACTTAACAAGACGCTGTGGAGCGTACACTTCGGCGTCGTGGTTGTGGAACTGATTAATTGTAAATGCGGAGGAATAGTAAGAAATGAAATATGGTAAGAGTAAGGAGTTAATTTGTGAAATTATGCGATTTGTCAGGATATTCTGAAAAGAGCAACATCCAAGAGGCCTACTTGCCAAAAACTAGCATTTCGGGGCAAATTGTCTCTGAGATATTTGCCCAGTTATGCTCTGATGACTCCATACAAATCGTTCTTAATTTGACTTGGGTCTAAACGTTTAGACCTAAGTCAAGTATGAGGATATTGGCGGTGAATACCAAGTCTAACAAAACAAAGCACGCGACTGACCGAACACAAACGAGCGACGAGGAATGGTGACGTCATTAATCACATTGCTGAGACGAATCGAAACATCAAATTGACTGGGACTCTGCGACATGTATAACGTATTCTACAGACTACTATCAACGTCTCACTTTAGAAAGCTGGTTTACTTAGAACAAACGCCACTGAATCGTAGCCAACAGTTACCAGCGCCGTACAAACGACTTATTGACGAGATCAAGCAAAACTAACTACGAGAGAACGACCGGAGAACTGACAATTTGACTAACAATAGACGACTGTTTAACTGTGACAACAGACGGATCGAAACGCGCCAATTACTGATTACGAGTCTTCATAGCCAATACCATCACGGCTTGACTGACAGACGACCAATAACATCGCGACGTAATTGACCTATCAGATCAATAACCAGAGTATGATACCATCAACTGACGTGATACAACTCACTTTGACTCTGAAGATGACTACCGCACAGGTTGTCGAAACGTCAGTCACTGTCAACAGCAACAGTCCTATTCAGGACTACGTTCAGACCCGGACAATGAAACTGAACCTTACTTTTGATATGACTCCTGGGTTCAAACCTTTCACAGTGATAAAAGAATTCTCTATTTTTCTTAGTCATATCAGGCTTCAAAAACAGCATAGCAGTCTCGTGTACTGATTAAAGATATGTAAGGTATGGGTAAGGAGTCAATGATGTTGAGCATGGAATTGGCTAAAACTCAATGTTACGAGTTCGAATGATTTGAGGATAATTATTCACTGACTATCAGCACGCAGTGATGTCGGATTAACACAAGGAAGTTTAATACCAAAGGAACATAGTCTTTACACAGCTTTAAAATACAGCATCCGCCAACACAAACTTTACTTGAACTTAAGTAAAACTAAACAGCCTCTGCCAATAAAAACAAACTCTCACTTCAACTTCAGATATCTTACGGCTTCTGCCAACTTGAATATCGACCTTCGTCACACTTGACTAAGCACAGCACTCTAGCTCGTGGGAAAAAACTTAGTTCGTCAAAAGAACTCGGTTGGAACTTGTATACCTTTTTGACTTAAGGTTCTAGAAAATACGAAACAGGCGAACAATAGTAGGTTTTCGATATATTTTATGATTTCGGTCACTGATGCAAATCTGCTGACTCATGCTGAAACGTAAACATGCCCTAATTGATTATCCAAAAACGTAGAGAACGTTCGAGAAAGTCACGCGACGCATGAAAGCAATTTTACTACGTAACACTCAACAAAGACAAAACGTCTTTGTGCAGCATTTTGTAACTTAAAGTTCATCATAAAACAGTTCGAAAGGAGCGCTAACTCGTGAAATGTTTTCAACACTCGAAGAGTAATTTCGTGTCTCTGCGCAGCCATGTAATATCCTCTATTTATTCCTCGAGGAAATTAAAGACTAAACTCGAAGTGATCTCAAGATATCACGAAGTACTCCGGTCTCATTTCGTAAAATAGCCATCCTCGGAGACCCAGGGGCGGTCAGTCGGGCCTGGAGAAAAGGCGCTACAAAAGTTTTTAAGTACAAGCGGAAAAGCCCCTGGGTACCGACTCTCACCGGACCATTTCCATACGGTCAAGCGAATGCTGGTTCCTGATTGGGCACAAAAAATGCTTTGTATTATTGTGCCCAATCGGCGAACAGCATCTCCTGAGTTCTTTTCGTGAGTTCGTACACGACGGCTATTGACTCGATCACGGCTTGTCTGGCTCATGCACCGAAGAAACGCACGCAGTCAGGAATCTTTCAGTTTGATATAAACGCTACATTTCAAAATACTGCTAGTCTTAACACTAGAGGCTAAATAAGCTAACAAATATTTCAAGACAAGAAAATTTAAAATTCTTCAAGTAAAAGAAAGCTTCACACACAACCTATCTTTTTTACTTCAGGTTTTCTCACCTCACGTAGTTAAGATTGATTAACATGCTTCGCCTTTCTCAAAGCTTGGAAACCGCAAGTTCGCTAAGTCGGTTTTAATGAGATGCAAAGTGAAGTTACTTGAGATTTTGCTTAGGCCTTCACACGCGCATTTTTGGTTATGTAAAACTTAGCAGCTCTTAAGTCTTACTTAACAGGATAGTGTAAAGACAACCACTGTCTACAAGAAAACTAAAGACGCTTTTCCAAAAATAAAGCTTGAGCTTACAACAGGTATTCACGCTTGCATCGATCACGCCTTCGTAAATATTAGGGACTTTAAGATCCAACGACGCGACGACGACAAGGACGTCGCGTAAAAAGTGAATTTGCATTCTTTCAGTCTTTATAGGGATTATTCCTACCCACTTACTTTGTCAATTGTAGGCGAACCCTCCTAAAGCTGAATTTCAAGGGACCAAATTCAAGCTCAGAAAGAGAAACAAAATTTCGTCGTTGCTTGTTTACGTCCTCCATAAAACGCGAAATTAGGCATTTTCACGTCGTAGTCGTGCAAACACGGGAAAGAAATGTACAAAAAAGTGTGAAAAGTTGTTGTTTTGCTAATTAAACCTATTGCTTTTTTGACGTTCTCGTTGTCGTCCGCGTCGTTGGATCTTAAAGTCCCTATTAGGGAGTTTAATACGCCGCGACAGCTGACAACCGCGAAAACGTCGCATGAAGAGTGAACTCACATTTTTTCAGTCTCTATCGTGATTATTCCGAACTCACTTACTTTGTCAAATGCAAGCGAACTCTTCTGGAATTGAATTTCTATCAACCATATCCAAGTTCATAAAGAGAAAAAAAAATTTGTCATTGCTTGTTTACGTCCTTCACAAAACGTGAAATTAGGCATTTTCACGTGGTAGTCGTGCAGTGACGGCAAAGAAATACAGTATATGCAAAAAAGCGTGATGCACGTGCAAAGTTGTTGTTTTGCCTTGTCAAGCTATTGCTTTTTTTACTTTCTCGTCGCCGCTTCATCTTAAACTTCCTATTATTAACGATATATTGTGATCCGTCAGAAACAGAATTTTCTCAGCGCAAATTGGCTCCTGCTGATAGCATCGGTAGTTCCTTCGTTTCTGGTTAGGAAAGCTTGGTGAACGAACCGGGCAACTGTGGCGAGATAATAGCCGTCGTGTACGAATTCACGAAAAGAACTCAGGAGATGCTGTTTGCCGATTGGGCACAATAATACAAAGCATTTTTTGTGCCCAATCAGGAACCAGCATTCGCTTGACCGTTTGGAAATGGTCCGGTGAGAGTCGGTACCCAGGAGCTTTTCCGCTTGTACTTGAAAACTTTTGTAGCGCCTTTTCTCCCGGCCCGACTGACTGCCCCTGGGTCTCCGAGGATGTAAAATAGCCGAAACAAGCCGAAAAGTACGTCACGAACTTTCGCGCCCAATCTTGTCCCGAAACTAGTGCATAATGTCATAGCTATACTACTTTTATACCGTGGGTCGCAGTAGCGCAATCGGCTAATCCCTCAACTTAGAGTGTCCTTTGATCTGACGGGTCACACAGGTGAGTCCGTTATAAACCCCGGGAAGGCCAAAATAATTCTTTCCTCCTCGAATAAGTTAAAGAATAAATCAAAGAAATCGAAGTGATCTCGAGATATCTCTAACTAATTCGGCTCTTACTTCGTCAAATAGCCGAATAAAACCGAAAACCTACAGACTTTGAATGCCCAATCTTGTCCCAAAAATGTCAACTTTGATACATTTCTGAGCGTCACGAATCCTTTACTTCGCGCTCAGGTGAAGTAAAAAGCCGTGAAGTCGCGCTGCTCCAAACTTTATCGCGCTTATTCTATCTCATTCAATTCGTCAAATCTTGGCAACTTTTCCTGGAGTTGAATTCTAAAAGACTGTATCGAAGTTCAGAAAAAGAAGACGAAAGTCGTTGCCTTGTGTTCACGTCCTCCACAAAACGTGAAATTAGACAATCGTTGTAATCGTGGAGCGACGGCAAAAAAATGTACAAAAAAGCGTGATGCAGGTGCAAAGTAACGTGAGTCGCGTCACCTCGTTTGGTAGTAGGGGAGGGGCGATTTCCTGTTCATTTGCGCGTTCCACTCGCTCTGGTATCTCTAAGCCCGTTTTCAAAGTTGGTATTTAGGCCGGGAAAGAAACAGTGAGTAAACTACCACAAACCATTTGTGCTAATTGCAAAGCCTAGGATGGTAACAAAGTTACCAATCTAGTTTTCACAGGACGTTGCTGAAATAGCCTGTTAAAAAAGCCTTCTCTCTCACTCTTCGCAAAATGTCCCTAGCGGCGAGGAGGGAGGGCTGTTTTCGAACGCTATTGCTGGAAGGTTTCAGTTCGTATTTGAGGTGTGCATTCTAGCAAAAACAAGAAATCAAAATTGTGTCTGCTTTTTCCTGATCCACAATACGTCTAACTGCTACTGTCTGAGAATTTCTGTAAATGATATCCGAAAACTTTTGAGCACCCTGAAAGGGGTAGTCGCCTGTACTTTATCACTGATCTGCATCAGGAGTTGCTCGTTACGTTACTGAATGATGTGAAATGCGGTAGATGTTTTTTTACTTGCGTCTCTCGTTTAAAGCTGATCCTTCTTTTGCAGAAAAGACCTTCTTCGATGTAAAACGCTAACAGATGCCTGTAAAGAGAGCTTAAAATTTCTAGTAAAATGCTACCAAAACTATAAAAGGAGTCACGCATTGAAGGTAAGATTTGTCTATCCAAGATACTGGGCAATAAAAAACCACCACAAGTGATTTATTTAGCTGTCTGATTAGCCATGTATATACTAATAGAATCTTCAGGCTACCATAACAAGAAATTTCTTGCTAGAAAATATACAAACATGTGCCGTAAGTAAAATTTTAAAACAATTATACCCCGTCGACACGTACACGGATATTTATGAATCCGCAACTTTTTCTTTCCGGATTCAAAAATGTCCACGTCCACGCGTATCCGTATTCAAATTGAATTTGTCCATCCACACGTACCCGACACATATCCGGATTCACTCTAGTACCCAGGACTCCTCTGGAAATATTGGTAATAGAGCATGCGTCGTAAAGCGGGGCGAAATTGGCATCTTGCTCTGTCTTGAGAGAACCTGGGAACGAGGTTACCATCTCGAATACAGTATTCACGGTAAAGAACTGGGCTCGATCTTGTTACGTCACCGGATAAAAATATCCGGATTTAGCGTACACACGATTCCGGATTCACAGCGTATTAAAAAATTTCCACTCTGGAAAGCGGATTCAAATAGTTGCGGATTCGTATGCCGGATTCACCGGATACGTGCGGACGGAAGCCGTATCCAGAACGAAAAAGTTTCGGATTCAAAAATATCCCGATACGTGTGGACGGGGCCTTAGTTAAGTTTACTTGGTTGTATCAGTAGCACTTCTGAGGAAGCCATGATCAGGCTTAAAGTTGTATCGTGACTGTTTCTGAACTTAAACTTAAATCTATTATATTTTGGGGGTGCTAGCCCAGGAATTGATGTCAACACTGTAATTAAAATCTTGTTTAGTGTTCATCAGATACTTAAACATTCAATTCACCACCTTCCCACCCTTCAGCGACCTAAGTTGTGGGGAGAAACTCTTTGGAGAAATCCAAATCAATATTCTTCAATCCAAAAACACTCATTTGTTTTGGATCTCATTTGGGATCCCAAATTAATAAATATCCAAGAATTAATTCATCAGAATAAACTGACTTCTCGTTGCCATCGCCTTCTTCGTTGGTAAAACTCTGCAAAAGATTTTGTCAAATTTGTTTCGTTTTTTTTTGGTTCTGTTCCGTCTTTGTTTAAAGGTAACCTTGTGGACTGGCGATGGCCTTTCTCTGTGTGCAAATGGTTTCCCTCCAGACCTTGCATTTGATGTCATTGACACCAGTAATGTTAGTGACCATATTGGCCTGCTCAATGTTCTCGTTTGTTGTGCACCAAGGCTGAAAGAGTAAGTTCAACGCTCCACTAGTAAACTAACTGTTGCCAAATTCTGCTTGTTGGCCTGTACCATATATTTCTCATCGTCCCTTGAATTTGTTTCATTTGACATTGAAAATGAGAATGGTGGGTCAACCTCGCCATTCGATGCTTCTGTAACAAGGTTTTGTCCAGGTAGGAGTGTTGACCCCAAGCAAACCTATTTAAATAGGCCATTTGCACAATGACATCATTTTACTACTACAACCAGAATCCTTCAGGGTTTTGCTTTCTTGTAAAAATTAGGGCTGGGATTACAAAATTTAAATATTAAAGGATTCTGGTTGTAGTAGTTAAACGAGGCCATCGTGCAAATGGCCTATTCTGGAAAGGAGAAAATCCAGAGTAGTTTGTACTCTACCCTTTGACCTGTCCAGCATAGTTGATTCTACCAGGAGCTAGTGCTCCTGCTGGCATAGCCCTCCAGGTTGCTGCATGTGTGGCACTTAAGCCACCACACAACGACAAGGAATTGACAATGCGGACCCTAACATGTGGGCCATTGGGCTACGAAAAATGGCGCGGATAAATATATCGTAATCGGTTAATGTATGATCACACAACTGGTTTTAGTAGTGAGAGCTTTTTTACTATGTTCTATTCGCAGACCAGCCACATCACTTTTGTATACCTCGAGCATTTCATGGAAAAATAGCTGTCAAAGTATTGAGGACTTTTACAACAGATGTATTGGTGTTCCAGTGCAACTTCTTCCAACTATTCTTGGTTTGAAGCTGGCTGTTAATCTAGATCTTGGTAGCAGGTACTAATGTCTTTTCGTAGATCGTTGACTTGAGTATGGTACAATTTTGATAAGTTTATTTTCTCTTCCTCTTGCACCCCAGTGAACATTAAAAGGTGGTTCCGTCATAAAAAAAAAGCGCAGTGAACTATGACTACGAACTTTTTGTCATAAACTTTTTCAGTTTTAACGCGATGGCAACGAAAGTTTGAGAAGAACTTCAGCCATCACCAGCTATATATATTAAAATCACATCATCAGCCATCATGAAAGTCCTGCTGTTTTGTTTTTGAAGATAAACTGATAGACCTCTTCGTTTATGCCAAATATGTAGTTATGTGCGGTTTCGTTCTTTTGGGAAATCCTAGTTTTGGAAATCAAGGCATTTTTCTGCAGGCAAATACATAAAAAATTAAAATAAATAAGTAGAAAATGATGAATTTCTTTCAAAAACTAAGGTGAAAAAGGTCCAAGTATAGATTTTATTTGCAGAGGTTATGCGCGAAGTTCCTATATAAGAATCCAAATCCAAACCCAAACATCAATTTCTCAATGGAAGGTACCCTTAAATCTGATTGGCTTTTGCTCTTTTCTGTAGTAAACTGCCAGACACCAGATCGTACAACGAGGAGATTCTCTTGTGGGTAAAAGCGGAGCCTAAGAGGACCTTGCTGACAATAGGTTAAGTTACATCACCAAAGAGAAATGCTACACCGTAATTTTTAGGGAGTTATTATAACTCCAAAAATGGAGTAAAAATTTTAGGTACAGGATAACCCCATTTTTGGGGTTATTTTAACTCCTAATTTAACTCCGAATTTGGGGTCATTTTTACTCCTGAAAAAGAGTTCTTTTTACTCCCAGTCTGGAGTTAAAATTACTCCGAAATGGGGTTTCTTGTACTCCTTACATGGGTTGTTTTTACTCTTTTTGGAGTTAATTTAACTCTGAAAGTGGAGTAAAAATTTTAGGTACAGGATAACTCCTTTTTTGGGGCTATTTTAACTCCTCAATATCTGGGGTCACTTTTACTCCTGAAGAAGAGTTCTTTAAACTCCTTTTTGGAGTTAAAATAACTCCACGAAAAATAACTCCACTGTCAGGAGTTAAATTAGCCCCACTAGAGGAGTTATTATAACTCCCTGAAAATTACAGTGTAGTTGTTGGCCTAGTTTTTAAATAAATCCCTGGATCAGGAAAACACTAAAGCGTACACTTCTATTGCGACTGAGCTCAAGTTCTTTACAAGCTTTTTTTTTTCTTTTTTACGGGATAGAAGGCTATGAAATGCCGGATAACTAGTAAAGATTGCAAAGCCTCCTGCCATTTCTCTTAAGTATCTTTTCCGACAAGCTTCAATTTTGCAGTAGAACTTCAAAGAAAAAATAAGAAAGTTATCAGCTGTTCTTGCAACCAACTACTGGTCCCCTTTCCACCGAATCAGTGACCAGTCGTCTTGACCATCTCATCGATGTTAAGGAGGGTGTTCAAAGGAGAGCAGCGCTAGCATTGACTCGAAAGGTATCGTCGTTTTTAACTGTTGCATTGATGCAAAACTTTCCAGTTTAAAAGGGCTTTAAAAACGCTTTGCTTGGAACGCAAACTGATTGCCTCTTAAAAACCATTTTTTGCACGAAGTTTTACTGCAACAGTCGTGCTATATATCGTGAATGTGAAATTGTTTGCCAAGAGGGCTTACGATGTCGAAATTAAATAGAAATTACTCAGAAATTTGTTTTTACGCTTACAATCACAGATGAAAATGGTGATGCTGCTCAGGCCTTGCTTCGCCTTGTTGAACGGTGCTTTAACTTATTTAATGAACCTGATAGTAAAGATGGAATAACAATGTCTTCGCCGCTGACTTTCCTCAGAATTGTCCGTCAGATACAACCTCTGGTCAGGGGCGGAGGTAAGGCAGACAGTGGTGTTGCGCTGGTCTAGCTTCCCATGCAGACGTTCTCAAGGAAAGCGGGACAAAACCCCAAGAACGTTAGCGTGCGAGAACAGACGCCTTTCTCGGCTCTTGTTTCACCCGCGTATAGCGAGATCCTCACGCAAACCCCACTCGTGTTAGCTTGAAAAATACTGACGTCGCGGAAATCGTTTCCCAGCGCGGAATCGCAGACGCCATTTTCTTAATTCTCATCATTGACCTTTTCTCAAATTCTCCCACTACGTCTTCTTCTAGAAACGTATGGGAAAAGAAAGGAGAATTTGTGTTTTAATCCTGGGACTGAAAAATTTTAACAAGCATGGTGCTGGAGAGGGAAGGGCAAGTAGATGATAATAATGAGTACACGGCGCTTTCTTAACTAATCTCCCCGAAATACCTTATTACATGAAATTTTCGCGACACGTTAATTTTGCGAATTTCGTGAAAGTCGTTTTATTTAATTCAAAGACTTGTTAAATAGCATTGTCTGTGAAATGTAAATTGTTGTACTCAAAATCGCGAATTTAAACTGATTCAAAATATAAAATTTAAAATCCCGAAATAAACATGTCGCGAAAATTTTATGTAATATGGTAAGCGATCGCGAGTTATTGGGGACGTGGCAGATTTGCCTCAAACAGTGTATGTAGCCTGTGTACAGACCCCCTCCCCCTCCCCTCAGTAAAATCGGAGAAGGGGCCCTTCTCCGATTTTTACTGAGGGGAGGTGGGGTCGGTAGCTACGTGGAGATCACATGAAATCTAACAATAAAACTTCCTTTCCGGCAAAACTTTGTAAGTGGAGGACCGACAACAGTACTGACAATGCACTGTTACCCGTCAATATGTATTGACTTTTATCTCATTTCATGTTGGAAATTTCATAAAATTATTATATTTTTTGTTGTGCTCTATCTCTCTGATATCAAATCACAAAATGGACGCCCAATGAACAAGAAATAAATTTTAATTGTTTCTTTTTCAAACGTTGTGTGTATTTGTTTCTTAGCCACAGAGCTCCTCAATCTTCTGGAAAGTAAGCTACCTTCTGATTTCAACAAAAAGTTTGGTCTCTCGTGGAATTTGGTAAAAGCCTCAGTAGGAAGTGAACGAGGTAGGAGAAAATTTCACATTGTTTTCTCAAGCGATACACCACCACCTTTCCTCTTTGAGTGACATTACCAGTGAAAATACCAGAGCGTAATTTATCTGTATATTCCCTTTTCCTTTCAGAGCCTATTGTTGAAATAAAAGTATCGACCTTAATATCCGTCGTTCCTCGGTTTGAAGGAACGCTTGATCTGATTGCTTGCATTGCTAACCATAAACCATTTGAAGAGGGAGAGTTTCCTAAAAATACCTTGGTAAATATATTTCTATTTATTTAACAATATACCCTCGTGTGGACTTTTTTTGGATCGGGAAGTCATCACCTCGAGTTCCAGTGTAATGATTTCATGGTGGTTGTGGCAAAAATTGATGGTTCGAATAGTCGGCGTAAGGAAGCCCTTTTAAAATGGTAAGCGTCTATTATATCACCATGCGCATTGAATTTCATCATTTATTTTGCATTGCGTCCTTTTGAAATGCTTGCTAGAATTCATAACTACACTAGAAAAATTCATAAAAAAAGGTGACGGATATTTCAGAGGGGGCACAAAATAATTGGTATCTCTGGGTTTTTTTGTACAGTATTTTTCGCCATCACCCGCATAGTACTTTTGTACAAAAGTTTTGTGTTTACAATTAAATCTTCTCTTGTTATCATAGGATTTTTTATTTGGTCTACCTTTACCTTCGGAAGATACCGACTATTCAGTAATTTGCAACAGCGTACGATATGATGACACCGCTCAAATCGTGACGTTCCATCTGCGAGAAAAGGACTGGAACGAACTCAAGTCGAATTCCTGCATGTGGATTGCCTCTAATGACCATGTTCGGATTCCATTCATAAAACAAAAGAAGGTTTTTCTCGGGAGTGAAAGTGTTAAGGCCGTTGAACAGGTTGATCCTGAAGAGAAATTCGGTTTGTTCGCTGTGCAGAAGTTTGAGGTTGAATCGTCCAGCGATTGTGAAATTCTTAAGGTACGTTTTGGCTATCAATACTGATGTTAAAATTGCTATCTACTGCTAGCTGCACTGTGTGAGCGCACAAGAATTAAATATACACTCTAGTACAACTAAACAGAACCTGCCAGCAGTTAAATGAAGCCCAAAATATGTCTAATTACTTGGCCTAGGAGCGAAAACTGATTCCAGTGATTACAACTGATTACAGCTAGTTAAAATTCTATTAGGTTACTCAATATGGACCCAAAAATCAGGCTAAGAAAAACATATATCAGTGCTCTCATTACAGTTTTTTGTAAATATGCAATATTCTGTCAATAGAACAGCTTTTCACCATTATACAGTTCTATTGTAGAACGTATCACGTTGAATTCTGAAGACGGAGTACCGAAAACTGACCAGAATTATAGCTGAGAATGGTTGAAAGTTAGCGAGACTACCCAAGCTGTTCACGAACATCTACCACTTGCCTTCGTAATTGAATTAAAAAAAGGATTCCAAACAAAAGTAATCTTTCTGTTCTATATAGGTTTTGAAGGTCCAGGAAAACACTTCTTCATACAGCGTGGAGCTTGAAATTTTGGATGCTATCAAATGTAAAGGAAAGGAGATGAAGACTAGATTTCTGCCAGTCATTTGTCCAAATAAAGTTGCAATATACTTCCAAGGAGCTGAAAGGTGGGATACCCACCTCCTTCCGATTATAGAAGGTTCTTGTGAGCGTGAAACTGGCGGCATTGTTATATCCGGGGTGCTCATTTTCTTGACTTGTTCCCAACCTTCTCGAGGCTACGTCGCTAAAAAAGAACCTACAGCATCTCGCTAGCTACGCAAGCTAGCGTGAAAAGTGTTACAAATTTCGAAAGTGTAGGTGCTATGAAAATTAGGTGCCAGTTAGAGCAGGTTACAAAGTACATCATTCCGGTGGTCAGCGGATGTTGTGTATGGTGTCCCGTAGCCGGCACAGTGAAGGTTGCTAGGCTTGATACCACCACCTCTGAATCAGGCAGTTAATTTTTCGTTTATTCCAGTCAAGGATTGTTCTCGGGAAAAATACCACTTGTTAGTAGTCATCACGAGAAAGGGGTAATTCAAAGTTCATGCAGTTGAGCTAGATGGTCTTATCATTGGGTTCAATTAATCTTGTGTACCTACGTCGCCGGACCGGTTTGCCATTGTGTTACTTGTAAAACAAGGAGAAGGGGTGCATAGATCTGCATAAGCATTCCTCTGTCCTGAGAGACTTCCATCCGGGTTGTTTGAAGAATAACTTAGGTGAAATTCCTCTCATTCTTGCATGGAATGTCTCCAAAGACAAACCATCGAGTTTCGGATTAAAAGAAAAGGACTATCTCAATCATATTAGAGAAGAACTATCAGTCAGGCCCTGCTGGATTAAGTTAAGATAACTGGAGGGTCACCCGAGCGCTTACAATTGATCAAAATCTCACAAGAACCGTTATTAACTAGTACTCCCTTAAACATGTATCAAGGTGTAATTTAAATGTCCCGTGTGTTCACATGGATGGCTTTGGAAAGTTTTGATGAATTTCCAAAATTCTTGGTGTTTGAAGAATGAATTTTCGCCTATAAATGTAAGAACGGGGACAGTTTCATTCCGGCTCTTGGTCAAGGCTAGCGCTGTCGAGCTGTCTTCAAGCAGTGCTATGTTCATTTTTACTAATAATTATACTTATTGTTGTTAAATGTTAATGAATTAAGTTTAGTTTTAAAGATTTTCACATTTTAATGTATTATAGTTATTAGTAAAATCCAGCTAGTGGTCTATTATCAAATCTGCGTTCTGATTGGTTGAGCTACTACTAGGCTATATGTTATAGCCCACTAGTAGCGAAAAGCGCGGGCTTTTTGGCAGCAAAAAAGGATTAAAGTCCAGCTTTGAGCTAACGTTGTTTTGTCTCGATATTTTTGACCAACTAGTTGGATTTTACTACAACAATTATTCCTCTGGTCCTCATAAGCTATTGACTCAGAGCCGATTCGGGCTCGAGGAATAATTGTTAATTAATTAATATTATGTGCGTAACTATTTTAGCTTATTTTATGGAAATTCTTGGCTCAGAGTAGTAATGGTCAATAGCAAGACGTCATAACTACTTATGCTTGTGTAACTCTTAAGTTCCTTTACGTAGTTATTTAAAAAGATCTAAAAGGGTGAGAAATTATTTGAAAATGTCAAACTATGTTAATGGGTCTTTCATAGGGACGAATGCATCATCCACTTTTCTTGTGTTGTCGCCGAGAATTCATCAAAGTTCCGGATTTCACGTAAGCAAGGAAAAATCCAATGCCACATTCCCAAGAGAGACGACGGAACCGTGGGTGAACTGGTGATAAAATGTCCAGCGCCAATTCCATTTCACGTCATGCCATTATGGGATCTAAAACGGAAAGACTTACTTGCACAGTAAGTACAGCTGTTGCCTCACTTAAGTCTGCATCCCAGCTTTAAACATTTTCGTCGCGTTATTTATACAACAACTTTTCGTTTAAGGAACCTTTTTCAGCAACAGTGACGTTTTAGGGTGCCTGAAAAATTGCAGTTTGAATAACGTAAGCCGGTAAAAAAGACATTAGCACTTTCTGCAGGATGCC